CATACGATTTTGCAACGGCGTCCCATCAGTCCATCGGCCTGCTTTTTTTTCCTGGCCACGTCTTCTGGATCGCCATTCTGCACTCATTACTTGTGCAACTCGTCGATGTGTTTTGAGTTTCTTGGCGTGAGGTTGCTGAATCAGTGTCTCTTTCATATCGTCTGCTTCGATGGCCATTTCCTCTAGTACATCAATCTTCCGCTTCAATTTCCCATATTCCCCATCGATACCCTTATTAGAAGCCCAAATCTTCACCCCATCCCAAATCAAACAATTCCTAATAAAAAGCTCCTCTCTAAACCCCCTCCCCATCATATCACGAAAGACTCTCTGTCTCCTCCCCCACCAAGCCCCAGGAACTCTCTTCAAACCACACCCCTCCATTCTCTCCCTCTCCGCATCTACACCCTCAAAAATCCTCCCAAAAACCCCCTTCGATAACCCCGCATCAACTATAATCGCATCGACCTGCGCACTCCACGAAAACCTCGCAAATTGCTCCCGCAGCTGTACCACCTCCAAAATCTTCTTATTAGGTATCTGCACCGGACAAAAACTATCATGCCACTGTTCTCCCTGTACCCGCGCACGATTCCATCCCGAATTTAAATTTAAATGTGGATATGGGTTTAGTTGCTCGTCGCGTCGACATTTCGCCATGAATCCTTCCATTTGGTACCATTCTCGCAGATTCTCTTTTATTACTCTGGGATGCATGTTTACTTTTATAGGAAGAGGTGTTCTGGAGGCGAAAGATTCGGCGAGACGATGGGAATCTGGTTGGCCGTATTTACGCGGTGAGGTTGGTGGTGATCGTAGGCTTTCGAGATAAGTTTTCTGGTTGAATACCCGGTTGAAGAAAGCAGGTGGGGGTGCGGGAATACTAGGACAGATATCGGGGAACTTTTCGTAGAGTGCTCTGAGTTCGATGCGGGTTGTGGGAATGTGGATTATTGGTTTTGCGGGAGGAATACTGGGTCTTGTAATTTTGTCACTTTGGTTGCAAATCTCTCTTTTTCGTAGGTGCTGAACATCGTCCATATTTGGAACTATTGTACTGTTAGATGTGAATTTTTTATGTCCGCTGCCAGAGATGACTACAGTGTGAGCTGCGTTATCCACATCCAGACTTGGAGTCGTACTGGCAGACGTAGAGCTAGATCTAGAACTGGAACTGGAAAGCGATGATTGTGGTGTCAGAACGTATGGTTTTCTGATAATGGTAAGAGGATCAATCTCTTCCTCATCATCAATAATAACCTCATTCTCAACGAATGTATTAGTATTAATTTCATCTCCATCAGAAGGCGACCCAGGCTTGTCAATTACCCATTTAATTTCAGATTTGTCATCAGAAAAAGAAATAGAAGAATTGAAGAGTTCCGCAAAATCAACATCAATGTAAGAATCCAGTGCCCGAAGTTCTTGCAATGGTGCTTGTATCTCAGAAATGTGTGCCATGGCAAGGTCTTTGTTTGTTGTACCCAATATGCCAGAAATTGTGTTGATAAGTTGAAGCTAGTTGAAGGAGAAGGCATTTTGTAGTTGTTAAGTAGATGGTTGGCATGAGATTAGAAAGAGGCTAAAAGGAAATTAAAATAGTTATTGCACCATATGTAGTGAATTGGAAACGGTTCACAAGATCTCTAGGCACTGGCATGGGGATTTTTAATATAGCCGATGACATGACTAGTGACTGAATATGATCAAATAATAGTAGTTTTATTACTATTGTAACTCAGTAGACTGTATTCGCTTAAGTCAAAAAGGGGATTTCCCCAGTGACCGTCATAAAATAAACAAATGACAGTATCTCAGCTGGCAGTTCAAAAGCCATCCCAATTTCACTAGCGAAGCTTCAAAAATAACCATCAACAAAAGCACTTACTTACCTAAATAGGTAAATTCGGACCATAGATTTGTCCCCATTAACTCAACATTTTTCGCATCTTCCCAATGTTGGAAAACCCAAAATAATAATCATACACCAAACCACACCGTTACACCAATTGTGTTTGCCTTTCCCAAAAATTTACCAGTACCCCAAATGACCAAGCTCTGTTATGACGCCGCATCATTACATTCATTTCTCATATCACTGACCACGCAGGATCCCGATTACCGCCAATTCCCTTGGCTCAGTGATAGAAGTCCTTGTATACAGTCGACATCATCCTTCTTACTCGGGCTCGCCGAGCCTCGCATAAAACGCGTAACATCATCATCAGGGACTTTTGGGGTCTCTACTCTAGTTTCTGTATCCTCGTAAACCTGAGATTCAGCATGTGCGCTCTTTCTTCTTTTATTTCCATTAACACCAAAGTCTGCATGAGTAGGGATTTTGAGATTTTCTTGGAGGATTCCTTTCGGTTGTATCTCAATCTCTTTTCTAATATGAGCAGGTCGTCGACACGGGTTTACGCCGTTTTGATATGGTAACCAATTCTCCTTGTCCGAGTCCCCTGATGGAGATCTCGTTGATGGATCTTTATCATTAGTAGGCTGTCTCTGTTTCTTGACTCCGTTCTGCATTCTCGCAACACTTGATGAAGCACGACCCATCTTGGGCCTTTTTCCTTGCGGATTCGATCGAGATTGCGTATTTCGTTTGCTAGGGTTGGATTTCAAAGCACCGCCACTGGTCGAGCGGATAAGACTGATAGCCGCAATCGCTGAACCATTGGACTCATTTTCAGCCTGAGTTGTGAGCTCATCACGAGGTTCTCCTTCAGCGCAGAATTCCCAAGTTCGTGCATCACGCGAGCGGCCACTTGGTAAACGAGGCATAAAAGGGCCACCGAAAGATGAAGATCCGAGAGGCAAAGCACTGCGGCTACGTTGTAAGCTACGCATGCGCTTTAGCGGAATGACACTTGACAAAGATGAGACAGGCCGTTCAGCATGTGGGCGCGGAGGGGTGATTTCTCCTTCGACTAATTCTGCTCTACCATCGAGGCCAGTTGAGAGACGCACACGAGATTTAGGGGTTGTATCTGTTGTAATCCTCTCGGGACAAGATGATGGGAAAACTGGTCGAGAACTAGGAGCAATTTGTCAGTAGCTCATCGGCGATAGACAGGTTCAAATGGAAATATTTACATGGCGGGAGTTGTGAACATAACACTTTGAGCAGCAACAGGGGTTGAAAACAGGTTCACGTTATTCCATCGATTGGCCAAATATCCAGGTGTGGCGGAAAAGGATTGGGACAAGGCTTCTGAAACAGATTGAGAGCGAGTTTCATTCGTGGATGTCTCTGAGACAAGAGTATTGGGTTTGATTTCCATTTTTGAATCTTCAGCCCTTTCCGCAGTTGTTTCTGTAGGTTTAATCTTTGGAGTAGTTTCACGTGGCGGCGGTGATTGAACGTCCCGTGCAAGTATAGCCTCCTCCTCGTTATCGGCTGTGTCCAACGGCTCGTGTGGCGGAAAAGGCTCGTTTTGCTCCTCTGTTTCCTGGCTGCTACTATAGCTGACTGCGGATGCAGGATCAGAAGACAGAGGATTTATACCAAGACCAAAAGCTGCAATCTCATGTGGGAGAAGTGGGCGCGACTTTCTTCGATTGATTTGGCGACGATTTTGAAACCATATCTAGAAGGATCCGCCAGTCAGCCGAGACGCGTCTCGTCATAACGTACAGAAGCAATTCAGCAGTAACCATACCTGTACCTCTTTCTCATTTAACCTAACACTCTTGACGATTTCCGCACGCGCTGCTTTATTTGGCTTCGGATTTTCCTTGTATTGGGCTTCCAGGAATGCCTGGTCTTCCGGGCTGTAGATTCAGACTTGTCAGCACACAAGTCTGCTATACATAGTAGGGCAAGCATCTCGAGTTTGGATCAAACGTTTTGACAATTGGCTGTCGAAGGCCTGGTCATTTCAGCCCGCATACCTAGTCCGTTTCCTTTTCTGCTTCCCGCCCTCCAATTTCCCTTCATGATCAAGAATCTCCTCTTTCAGAGGAACAGTTGCGGTGAAATCGTGGGAAGAGTTGGCCGGCGCCGCTCGCTCGTTAGCGTTTGAACAGATAGATGTTTCAGGTCCAGGATTGGCTTGGAGTTCAAGTTGAGATTGGATTTGAGGATCAATAGATTTAGGTAGAGGGTTAAAATCGGTTTGAACATGAGGTTCAGGAAGGGGTGGAGGCATCGGGGGTAGAGTCGCGTCGTCCATATTAACGATTATTCATACCAAGTGAACATATGATTGAAGAATGGGTAATGGAAAATGAGTCCGCGCAACAGAAATGCCAATTCCCGTGCAAATAAAATGGATTGCGGAGTAAAAAGGAGTAGGGATAGGAGAATTTGTATGCATGAGGTTGACGCGTTTGGGGAACCGCGACGCAAGCGAGAATCTAAAGAATCTAAGAAATTTCCACTTACCCCCGGAAAAGATGCTGTTATCATCACGACATATTTTATTATTTAGTTTAAGTATTTCATGCAATCATATCTGTTTGCCCAGGAGGTTAAATTTTGAGAATATTTCATAATCAATTTTTCCATAAAGTTCTCAAGAAGTCTTGGTAATATAATGATTTGTATTCGAGTAGATCATGAAAAGCAATTGATCGTCAACACGTGACCTGCATGCACTTCCCGATACAAGGATCCTTAGTGGCAGTTTATACTTTCAACAGAGATCCTCCTCTATCTTTGCCAGTTAGGTAGTCCAGCAGCTGCCGTGCTATAACCTAATGTCGATGATGGCAAAGCGACAAAGGGTTCAGTATGGGTGGCTGAAGCGATACCTGGGCTTGAATAATTACTCGTAAGCCTCGATTTTCCATCGGCAATATCGAGGTTAAGTAATGTTCGTCTGAAAAATTCCAAACTTGCTATTGGCTGGTAGTACGGTACTTCATGGCCTTTCATATGAGTTAGCGAGTAAATCAAGGGCTGGGTATAGGTAAGTACAGGAATATATGACTTACCTGCTTCGTAGACTCTCAAGAAACTGAAATTCCCATACTGTCTCACTTCTCCGTACTCTGTTCCATCAACTACGAAAGGAGCATAACCTGCTGCCGCAAATTCGGCGCTGTGAGTGTAGTTCGCGGCCAAAGAAATGGCTTCCCCGCCAAACCACTAGTTTGTGTTAACTTGGACTTCTTAATCTTCGGGCTAGACTTACATTGCAAATATAATCCGCATCACCGTAGTATAGCGATACTCGAACGTCGTTTGCGAGTAAGTATTCTAGATCCTCCAAGAAAGTCGGATAGACAAAATCTCCAGTCTGCTGGAAAGTATAGTAAACTTCCAAATTGGAGTCCGCACTGTAATTTAGGTTGACACCCAAAGCAGCCTGCGTAGAAGCTAAGTTTAAGAAATCCATAAAATAGGTTGGTGGAGTAGGATCGGCTGGAAGATCTCGTTAGCTCAAAGCCAAATTATTGTTGCTCTTGGAGTCTAAGAAAAAGGGCTAAAAATGCATAGAAACGAACCATAAGGATGTCGAATGTCGTATGCTCCTCGTCCTCCAAACGTATAGTAAACTCCCTCCACGGTATCTCTGCAGATATTCTCGGCTTCAGTGCATACTGCTTGATCTGCGGCCGTCGTCAAGTTTGTCGCGCGGCAAAATTTAATCTGGTCAAGGCAGCCGTTACCCATATTCAGAGCAAATTTTGCAAAGTTGTAGACTAATGAATTAGTATGGACAACGAATGTTTTATTGGGCATTAAATACCTGTGTCATTATAAGCCTTGATGCCATATGTATTATTTACAGCGAACTCAGGATAACTAGTTTTTCACATGATTAGTAGATGTTGGTGGTTTTAGACAACTGCTTATATATCCAACTCACAATGGTGCCTGAATGTATTCGTCAATGATTCCATTGCCAACACCAAGGGTGTTGAAGTCGAGGTGGATGCCTGCAATAGTGCCATTTGCGATTTCCTGGTTTCTGTCATAGAAGTACTTGTAGAAGGCGGGACCATAGTGACCACCATAAGACTCTGTCCATAGGTTGAACTCCTTTTTCGTAGTAAGATTGACAGCCGGGTCGAGTTGGGGTAAACCACCGAGGAACCCTTGCCTAGAAAAAAATAAGCACTGGGATATTTCACTTATACAATATATATAATGGACTAAGAGAAACACAGAGGAAATATCCGGAATACTGAAGCATGCCCAGCTAGTTTCATGTCACCAGCGAAGAAGAGATATTTCTTACAGAACGTGCCAAGCGGCCACAGCCGCAAGATCTGTAGTATCAAGAGCTGTCGCATTGATGACAGGATACCTTCCCTGTGCCCCGGCATAGGAAGCGTTCTCATAGATACCAGTGACTATTACTGGAATTAGCAATCTTCATGGATGTGGCACTGATCGACTTGCCTGGATTCAGACTTCCAACACCTTCTGATCCATATGAAAACCCAACGCCTAGAGGCTGAGAAAGAAACAACAAATTTGAATATTCATTAAATGAATAAGGATTCAACTCAGTCGTGAGGTTTGCGGTAACATTGCAAGGGCCCAGCTCTGAAATAGTCAGCTTGTGTTTACGGAATTGTCTAAATAGCTGCATACCTTGAAAGAGACCAATCATAGAATCGGAACCCGGTCCACCATTCAGCCATAGAGTGACTGGTGCATTTGCAGGGTCGTTTCGGGCTTCAAAGAACCAAAAGAAGGTATGTGAGTTGCTGCAATCACTTAGCATGCTGTGACTGCAATTCTCATGAAGTGTCATGTGCCAAGATTCACGTACGCATCAAGGTCGATATATCCAGAGTACGAATTCACACCAGGCGTAGTCTCACATACACCTTCCTTCCCAGGTTCCTTATAACGAATTGTTATGTTTTGAGGTGTAACGAGAGTTTTTACCCCGGTGGCGTTTGCTGGAACTCCTCTGTCTACCAGATTAGCTTGTATGTTCCTTTGAGTAATTTTGGCACCGTTCACCACCGTGAACAACGCCAGTCCTGCTGTGATTCGGGAAATCATTTTCTATATACGAAAAGTATATTCAATGAGTATATCATCAATAGATTTTTTTGAGTAGCCTTCGGGGTGATATTTATAGGTGTTTCCAAAACGCCTCCAGATCGTTGTTTCCTAATGGCCTTCCTGATGTGCTTTAGCTCTTCAGTACTACTACGTACGCAAAGGGTCTGCATCATACTCCATCACCGCCCGGCGCAATAAAATCGAGTGGAAGATACGAGGGTTAAAAGGGTGGCACCATCATATTGCAGATATGATAGATATTGGAAGTGCCAAGCTCGATAGATAAGAGAAACAGACATTAACATTTTCGTTCTACAGTTGATACTGCATGGAGCGCAGGGAGATCCCGGAAACTATCTATCAAGAAACTCTTTTGGACAAACCTATCAGCCTCTATTCAAGGCTTGTATTGTGGTGACAAGGTGGCGTAGGGTTTTGTTGGCTGAAATATCAATGCAATATGTTCGTGTATCCTGATTCGGAGGTGTCTGTGGGACAAATTGGAACCTAAGGCTGACGATAAGCAAAGGTGTGATGAGGAATCGTAAGAACTTAAAAATCTGAATCCGAGCTTCCTTCCCTGGTTTAGTCAAATATAACTGAACTGCAGAGTAGATAAAATATGAAATTGGCATACAGTGAGATGCTGCTCAAACCTGCATACCTTCGGTGATATTCCGAGGTCATGTCCGATCACATTTTAACCACATGATTCCACACAAGGCCTTACAAGGCTTTCAGTTCGCAAGGCTGTCTGTCAAAAGAACTAATGGCATTTTATGCTTCTAGCTACATAAGCTGCCAATGGCAGTAATATCTCGAGAATTAATTTTAATTCCATCTCAAGATGTTCGTCGCTCGTAAAATTCCCAATCCATCCACCCCAGCATACCCCTTGGCCTGTGATGTGCCCTGCCCGAGTAGAAGAGGGAGGCGCCATTCACCTCTATCCGCAAACTGATCGACAGGAGAAATGCAAATACCACCGAGAAAAAGAACGATCTAAGATATTGCTAAATGATCGAAGGTCCTCTGGACATTATTGCGGTCGATTTACAAGTCGTTGTCATCCTCATCTGGAAGTGGCATAGCTGCGGCGTCCTCCATCTCCTTGTGGTAAACCTTCAAGAGCTCCTCATCGACTTGTGCAGTTGGTGGTGCCAAGGCTGGTGCAGCAACAAATTCCTATTACGTGTTAGCCAGGTCACTCTGAGCAGAAGGTGAGTTCTATCCATACCAAAGTTGGGTTACCAACGAGCTTGCGGGCCAACCACAAGAAAGGCTTCTCGAAGTTGTAGTTTGACTTGGCGGAAATGTCGTAGTATTGGAGGTTCTTCTTTCTGTGGAAGGTAATGGTCTTGGCCTTTACTTTTCGTTCCTTAACATCGACCTTGTTGCCGGTAAGGACAATAGGGATGTTTTCGCAAACACGAACCAAGTCACCTATTCAGGAAGATTTAGCTCGAGGACGGTTTAGGACAGTAAATTGGGGAAACTCACGATGCCAGTTAGGAACGTTCTTGTATGTGATACGGGAAGTAACATCGAACATGATGATACCACATTGACCATTGATGTAATATCCATCACGAAGACCTCCGAACTTCTCTTGTCCAGCAGTATCCCAGACATCGAATTGAATGTTTCCCAAGTTCTGCGGCTGTTAGTAAACCTTGCTTGGGATCGTGGTGGGGAAATCGCAACATACGGTAGTGAACCCAAGTGGGTGGACTTCGACACCGAGAGTGGCAATATATTTCTTTTCGAACTCACCAGTCAAATGGCGCTTGACGAAAGTGGTCTATTTGATGGTTAGTCTTTGATTCGAAATATTGCTCGCCAATAACGTTGGAACGAAGGCGCAAATCTCGCGACGATAGCATCCAACTCAACAATGACGATGCCGATGAAATCATCCGCAACCTCAATCTGCTTACCTTTCCGGTTCCTCCATCACCGACAAGCACGAGCTTGAAGGTTGGTGTTCCTGAAGCCTGAGCAGAAGCTTCCGCCATGATTTCTCGATGTTTTCCTTAGGTAGAAGTTTAAGTGAACAGAGCTCGCAGATGCCGACACTGTTGATGAAATGTGTCAGCGCAAATGAAATTTTTGATGCGAAAATAAACTCGATGACTGGCGGAGTTGTAAAGGACGAGGGGTACCTGTTATCTTTGAAAATTCGTCGTGGACGTGGTGGAGTATGATTTGGTCCTCAAGGATGGTGAGAATGTGAGAATGTTTTGATTGCTACAAGACCAAAACTTTAGTGAGAATAAAGCGGTGGGCTTAGTTTATGTAAGCGAAAAATGGAAAAATCGAGAAGTTTGGCCTGAATCACGTTATCGCCGTATTATTCTGCCGCTTAATTCATTCACTCCCAACCGTATCAAAAAATCTTGGAACAAACAGTGGAATTAAGTGGAATTCAAAAGCATTTTGTGAATCAAATCCGTCAGAACAAAGGTATCGCCCTTCCTTGCACGGAGTACTTGTACGATACTTACTACGAATAAGATTAAAGTTATAAGCGGTCCCAAATGCACATTTTTCAAGAAGCTACTGGTCAATCACTTGCATCATCAGTAGGCCATCTTATCGCTTCTCTAATAAGCCATGTAGCTTGACTTTGACGCACAGAAAACCTATTTCTTAAGAAAGGATTTGCTATGCTAGTAGCTAGGTAGTATGTATATTTCCCCAAAATATGCCTAAATTAACCTTATGCGTTGGCACGGAAAGCATTTGGGCCAAATTCGCTCTATTTTACAATTCAACCAGAACCAAACGCCTGCCATGTAACTCCTACGCTGGAATAGCACCTACAATATCATGAATAGCAGTCATGATTTCGGACTACAATGGCAGAATATGACAACCCAAAAGACCTCTGCCTCCCCAGTTTCTTCGTGGCGTCAAAGTTAATTGTAACTCTTGACGTCCTAAATCCCGGGAGACTTTCACGGTAACCTCGCGCTATTATGGGTAGATCAGTAAGGCTTTTGCATATCTTGTAGTGATTCGGAAAACATACGCCTTCATTTCCTTGTACACATTCTGCAACCCTCTTTAAGCCATCATGGTTCGCATGATTGACGTACCCAAAATTTCTGATTTTATCCCCGGCTTTTAAACCTGCATCATCAGCAGGGCTACCGGCTGCAATACTATTGACTTTTGCGAATGGTAAATCTAAGGGTGCTGGCTCGTCAAAAGAAGCTATAATCTCGCTAGCCTGGGCGTCGCTGACGACGGGCTCCTCTGGTTTTGGGTCTTCGGCAAGTCTCGCAAAATGTTCATGAATATGCTTCTCGATAACGCTCATAAGCGCTTTGTAGTCATTTTTGAGATGAATTATTCGTGATCTGGTAGTCCTAACTTTAGAGGAGAAATTAGTTCAATGGCACTTTTGGAGCTTGAATATCTTACTTTGTGCAACATCTAGATCTGCTCGAGGGAAACCATCGGGTGTCAGAAGCCGCGTAGTCATATCCACACCATGCTGCCAATGTTAGCAAAAGCCTATGTGACTGGAAACATAACCTGCCGAATCGAGGACACCACTCAAAGCTTTAATTTCAGCCTCTATATTGTCTTTCTTGGCCTGCAGTTGAGAAAATGTGAGGCCATCCGTTTGCATTCCATTTGTGGCTGCTGGACCAGAGGTAGGACCTGACGGAACTGTAGGCGCATGTAGATTTTCCATATTTAAAGGTAATCCCATCTCTTGTTGTTAAGTTGCTGCTTGATATTTATTTTCTAAGGCGAAATCATTCAGCCTTGTGAACCACATTAGATCAGGCTGTGATGATGGACGCGTTGTGTAAAAATGGCGGGGTATCCCATTCAATCCCAATGTAGCAATGATGACTAATCCAACCAAATCCCGAAGCTTCCACATAATATTGTTGTTTACTTCAGTCAACCAACTTCAGTCTCTGAGCATTTTAATCAAAGTCATGAACCGCAAGTGTGATCATAGTGTACAATTGTACTTGTATTGAATCGCTTTGACGCACATTTCACGAATACGTGGTTCTTTCTAATTGTAATACTAGATTGATGACCCAGTATGGCCACAAAGGATGGCAGGTTTGCCAATCGAAATTTCCTTCAACTTGAAGGGATCAGAACTTTGTATTCTTATATAGGCTTATGTATATGTTCTGAAATTGTTTGGGAGTATTATGGTGGTGGTAGACGCGAGGATATGGACCCATAGTCAATGGGAAGGAGGAGCCATGGCGTTGGTTGAGGAGGAGAGGTCAGCTGCTGTCTCTGAAGTCGTTTGCAGCTCGTTTTTAGCATTTCAACTCCTGATTGTTATACCCGAAATTGTTTGCGAGTGTTTTCGCTTTGATAATAAGCAGCAGTGCTTTATTTGAATGCCGTCTACGCAGTTCCTGTGAGATTGCGGGATTGACGTCGACAGATAAGAAAGTAAACACAGCCATATCGGGGGAACAGCATGACCTTCTCACTTTCAAAAGTGGCACTTGACCTTGTTGTCTGCTTGTCAGGCCTGGAACTAAACTGGGGATGCTTACATCGGACGCTATACCATAAGCTCCTTTCTTCTTTGTGTATCATGTAAGGACATTCCATGATATTGCTGATGAATGTGTCTTATAAAGAGCCATCAATTCTAGTAATCGACTGTGTGCCAGTGGCTGCGTTATACAACAGCGATGGGTTTGCTCGTGGTTATAGAACCTGTCTTCGTAAGATGGTTTTGATGGTCGCGGGCTCAGCTTCGCAGTTAGATCCAGCAGCGGTAGTCGAAGTACGGCATATCGTTTAGATCGCTCGGAAAGGGCTGTTCCTTGAGATCCTTGCGGCGTGGTGAACGGCTCTAATTATTTAGCTGCCAGCCACAGAACTTTGTGGCTGGTACAGAAGAGTTTGAGGTTCAAAAGAAACGTCTCGAATGTGGCACAAGCCAGGAGTCTGCGAAAGGAAGTCAGTTCTCACGAGAGACCTTTTCTTGATTAACAGATGATTTCGAACAATCTTAGGAAGAATTTATGTACCCCAAGAGGAGAGGTCGGCTCTTTAATAACAGAGCAGGAGTGAAATTCTGTTGAGAAGTGAGGACTGATCAGTGGGTAGATGAAATGCTGAATGTATCGATACTTCCAAGGTCATACCACTGCAACCAGCCAAATTCAAATAGATCGAATGAGAAAAGGTTATAGTGCTATAATTATAACATAATTCTTATTGAGATTTTAACTTTCATCACATAGAGTCCTATGCAAAGAATTACATCAAGTAACTATGTGTAATCATGCAGATTTTCATAAATGAAAGTTATTGATTTTGTAACAGAACTGGGAGCGAAACTCGAGGAAGGGACAAATTATTTTTGTCAAAATGTTCTGGCTCTGGATTATTTCTTAATTATCCATTTCTTGACCCGATGTAGTGTTTTGATTAAGGTTTTTATTTCAGAGGAAAATGAATTTGACTTCATATTTGACATACATTTGGCTTTCCTCCTTGGTTGTAATCAGAGTGGGACAAACCCTTCTCGACCCTTCCCGGGTTGGCTAGAACCCTGAGATACTCTTTCCTTATGTATTTATTAATACATTGAAGTGAATTTCTACTATTCATCTTCAAAACTTCTACAATTCTACATTGGCAAACCCTTCTTGGTCCACTGGAACAATTTTGTATCTACATTTTGCTCCACTTGCTCCCTTTGCTTTTGCTCCTTTTTGATTCAGTTTTGATTCAATTTTGTTCACCCCTATATTATGGGAAGCTTTATCCAGGGAGATAGAGCCGTCCACGCGTTACTTAATCCTGCTCACACAGTTGATAGTATTGATACCTCTAACCTAAAGCATACAGCGCTTCTCGCACCAATCGTTCTCAATCCTTCAAGCAGCACCAAAGATAAATTCGGCGAGGAAGTCCCAGTACTTGGCAAGAATTGGCATGCAAACTGCACAGCTGATTCCTCTATCAAGGCCCTCCACGAGGCAGAATACTGTCCAGAAAATCACATCACCTTTGGCACCAGATATACAATCAGCTACTTCACCAAAGAAGGTGTACCTATTGACCATCCTGTCGAGGACTTCATCGAAGAACCTATCCGAGTAAAGAAATTGATGTTTAACAGACAAAGAGCCTCCAATCTCGCCGATACTCTTCACCTCGCTAGCGGTCGACACATCGATCTACAAAAGCCTTTTAAAATGGAGTCAGATACAATTGAGCACCCAAGACAGCCAATGATCCCTGGCTACTTTGATATCCATTCCGAAGTTAGTCTCTCATCCATCAAAGATAAATGTGTGGATGAAAGGGTCACTATAACCCCCGTCCCTAGCAACCAAGATAAGCCTTCGATAGATAGCAGTCTCGGAATCAAAATCTCTAATACCATAAGCGACATGGCTACTGTAGGACTACAAGTTGTTGATCATCTGGATGAAAAACCAGCTACTCGTGCCCAATTTTCTTTTCATAACCCGGATCATGAATCGACGGAGCAATATAGCGCTACAATGCCAGCCACCAGCTATCAAGATAATTCTGCCAGAGATGGCAGTTTCGGATGCAGAGTTTCTAATACCATGCGTAACGTTGCTTCTATAGGACTTCAAGTTGTTAACGACTTGGATGAAAAAGCTGCTGCACGCGCTCAATTCTCCTTTGATGGCGCAAAAGATCAATATTCGGATAATCATGTCACCACAATGCCTTTAAGCAGACGTCACGACAAGTCTTCGACAAACAGCAGTTTAGGAAGCAGAGTTTCTAGCAGCATGCGTAATTTGGCTGAAGCTGGCTTACAAGTTATTCATGATTTAGACGAGAAAGCCGCTCGTCACGCTCGATTCTCCCTAGACAGTCCAACCCCTATAGCTCATGAGCCCGCTAACACAATTCAAACAAATCCTTTCGAGAAATGGCTCCATACCATTAAGCGAAGAGGTGGACATAGAAAAGCCACCAGCTGTGATATGCCAAGGAATGGGATTGAAGGGGGCATATATGAAAGACCCAACACAACAGAAAGCCGACCAGGCCACAGAAAATCCTTATCGGGCAGCTCTTTCGGTTTTGTGAGTAATATGAAGAGTGTAGGTACCAGTCTTGCAAGCTTTAGTATTGCACCACGCTCAAGGACTGGCGTTTCTTCTCGTCATCAACGAACCGATTATAGCAGTAGAGCATCGTACGCTGTAAGTATCATTCTTCTAATCACAAACTTACGAATATGCCAGAATTGCTCTTGAAATACAAAAGACGGCAATTCAAATGCTAATACAATCCTACAGGGAAGAGCTTCTGAAGATAATTCAAATTGCTTGTCCCGAGGCTTTATCCTGGATAAGGATGTTCTCAAACGTATGGAGCAACGTCAAGGTGTCATCGAGGAAATCCTTTCCACCGAGAAGGCTTATCTAGATGATATTCGGGCTCTCATACGTGTATGCGACAAGAAGTCCACTCTACTTGACTCTTTCACTGACACTCTGCTAGGTTTTTGATGGTCTTTTACTCGCCATTCCAATTCTCTCCCAGAGCTTACGCAAGTCAATTGCTCTCACACTGAAAGATATATGGACTCACAATAACGAACTCTACAATGAACTTGTCAAAGTTGTAGCCAATACCAATAAATTCTCTGGAGTAATCTCGGTTGATCTACCAAGTCATCCGCCCGTCAAGGGACATAAGAGATGGCAAAGCCTGGGAGAAGTACCTGCTTCAGAGTCTACTGAGAGCCGTGGCCGACATATTGGTGACCCGAAGGTAGCGGGAGAGATTGCGAAGGTCTTTTGTGGAAAGGTTCAAACAGTGCGTTTTGTTTGATGGCATATATTCTAACACATAATAAGCAGATCCCAGGCTTGTTCTTATACGAATCATATGGTATTATGCATAAGGAATTGATGAAGCAGATCCATACAGCATATCGAACAACCGATGAATGGAAAGATTTTAATCAAGCAATTCGGTCGACTGAGGAAATGATTGTCTCTACGGATAATCGAAAGAGTGGCTCCCAAAAAGGAAGAATTTTCGAGGATTATTTCATCAAGGTAATGATCTAACTTCCCTAAAATTTGCGATCAATATTAACGATATCCAAGCCTATCCATCGCATCGCTAGATACGAGGTTTTGTTTGGTCGTCTCCTAGAACAAAGCCCAGTTTGCGATTGCCCAGAATCCTCAACCACGGTAGAGACGACTCTTTTCCGAATCAAAGAATTACACAAGACGATGAATTCCGCGGCAGGTAATCATCAAAAAGTAACTACCATGTCAAGAACATGGCTGTTACAGGACCATTTGGTATTCACAAGTCAAGTACGTCTTTGAAATCCACCCGCGCGTTTTTCTTGCTAATATTATGTAGCCGGAAAGTAGATCTCGCGATAAGATTCGTACCCTAGAGCAGAATCATTTGTGTGGTGTGCTTCATGCTTGTTGGCAGACGAAAGATACTGTTGCGGGACATAATATCACCGGGCAGTACTTTATAGCTCTCTTGTATGAGAAATTTTTTGTCCTTGCCCAGCCTTCTGGGAATCAGGATGAGTTTTATGCGGTCCAGGCTTGTATTCCGATTAGTGAGCTTAGTGTGGAGGATGTTGATAATGGTAAAGGTATGTAATTATCTGCTTGATTCTATTAAATTTACTACGCTGCTGCGTAGATTCTAACATTTGGAATAGGTTTACAATGCCACACGGCGCCTCATTCATGGAAGATAGTCTTTGAGCACATTTCTCAACTTTTCGAAATTATTATGAGTGCATGCTCAGCAAAGGAGGAGTTAGAGTGGAAGAGCCGCCTTATTGATCGTTCTGGGAAGCAATGTGATAGCACTGTTCAACAGGAAATGACTGCATCGTTGTCACTTGATCTCAAACCAATGGGAACTATCTATGGAAAACCAGGTAAGTTCACACACTCATAGTACCTTCCGACAAGACAACTAATCTACCTCAAACCAGGCACCACCGCTCGCCGCAAGTCTATCCACAGAGCCACAACAATGAAAGGACAAACCACCATTCCCCGCAGCGTCATCGTAAGGAACACAAGCGCGGCAACTGAACCCTCCCTCTCCAGCTCCTCATCGCAACTCTCAATCAACAGATCCCAATCCCTAGCCGGTCCACATCGCCCCACTATCCTCGCTCCTCCACGCACCGAACGCGTTCGTCTCGAAACCCTCCTCGCCGACGTCTGGACCCGCGATATCATCCCCTATCCTGGCATGGGCAGCAAACCCCACAGGGAACACACGGTCCGCGCATCCGCCACTTCCATGATGCGTAAAATTAGCCACGCGAGTATTTCTAGCATTACGAAACGCTCTGGTACAGGTAGTATAGCTAGTCTCCACAAGAGCGAAGATCACACAGCAACAGAGTTGGATAGTTTAAGACCGATGATTCTTAATCGCCAAGCTCGTCATAATTCAAGTGATAGTATCCCATTACCTGATCTCGAACACTCTGTATCGCAAGATACGAGTTCTGGAAGACATGGCTCTCGTCTTGCGGTAATCATCGACGAGAAGGAAAGTAACCCTAGTACGAATGGTGCGCGCTCCACAAGCGGTAGTCCAATTATGGCGCGACTAGCAAGTTTCAGAAGTAAAAAGAGTGAAGGATCGCTAGCCGATTCGTTAATTTCTAAACTTTCTACTGCTTCGAAATCTCCATCCGGGAAGAGTTCATTAGCTTTACCGGTTGTGACGGCGGCGCATCATGGAGAGGAATTGAGAAAGGAGAATGTGTTGCATTTGTTGAAGATGTTGGATGATGGTGTTGATGGGGAGGAGGCGGCGGGAGATTTGTTGCAGGCGCAGCAGAGGAAGGGGAGGAATAGGACGATGCTTGTGGAAGGGTTTAAGAATTTTTTTCGTTGAATGAATTCGAAGGGGTGTGGATTTTTGGGTTGGGTTTGTATATTTTCTTAGGGAGTATCTTTTTATAATAGAGAATATTAATGATTATTTGATATTTGTGGGGTGGTGTTTTGTGATTGTGTAGATAGCTCTTCAGTGATGAAGGCTTTACCTCTATACTTGAGACGTTGATGATTGTCTTTCGTTGGACTTAAATGCTAGGACTAGGATACTATTTCTCCAAGGTTCATGGGATATTTAACTGTAATCCTCGACTTTGATGCCTATATACACTAAGAAAGTCTCACTCATACATTGAAGCTACGCAAGTAAAATACTTCATTGAGACAATATTCTTTTTAAATCCTACAAAAACTCCATATAACCATTCAACTCAATATAACCTTATTATATTGACTACAGTATCTTAAATATTTCCACAATACAATCTAAAAATCCAAATAATCTATAAAATACCCTAATCTCACTTCCAAATCCAAAACAATCCGCTCCAACCGCAAATTCATCTTAACCTTCCTCCAATACTACTTACTACCTCATCTTCTTCCCCCCCTAATCGCCGGTTGATTAATTTTATTAGACTTCCTCTAAACCCCACTCCAACACTATTCCATACCTTATTTCTAAACCGTTGAATCACCCATCTTATTTATTCGCGCATTCGAACTTCGAAGTCACGCTTTAGTGTCACATAATTCATACTTATTATAAACTAGATGCGTACGTACGTACGAACTTTGAATGTTCCATATAAGATTATAATAGAAATCATAATAATCGAATAGGAATTTGATGCGCGATTTGGATGTTTTCATGTGTTGGGTATTAAATATGTTTCTTATTGCTTGACTGCAAGTACAGCATGACTTTTTCTTCTTGTTGTTTTCCGAATCAAGTCTACGATCATCGCTCTGTATATTAAACATACAAAGAATATCGCTTCAAACCAACAGCAAAAAGAACTTCCTCGTAAGTCTTAGTATTTATTACCCAGCCTTCCAAAACGAGAAGAAAAAGAAAAAAGAAAAAAGATATCGGAATCTTACCCAAAAAAGCACTAAGCCTCCCCTTCACACAAATCCGATCAACACCCAACCGCATAGCAAACTAATAATACTCGAAGACTTTTACTACTCTACCCCGTTGTGAAACTCTCCATCCAGCCCCAATCTTACCCTGAATTCTTAGCTAAATATACCAGGTAGGTATACTCATATTTGACATGACTCTATAAAACCTAAGTGAAGAAGTCCTCATCAGCTAGATTATTGAACCATCGAGCCAATAACCTTAAAGTTGTCGCTAAGTGGTGGTTGATAGACATGAGTAACGATTAAGGAAGAGATGAATGGAATTGTAGAGAGCGAGCGAGATTTGTAACTTGTTATCTAGGAGAGTGTGCTCAAGGTGAATTGTGGGAATTTTTGATCTTCTCGTGGTGTTTTTATAGTAGAGCGATGATATTTGCTCAAAGATGGGCTTTCACCGTTTTTATATAGCATTGCTGCGATATATTTAGAGAGAATTTGTTGCTGAATAGGATGTATGTAGTTCTGCACTGTGTATATGTACCGATCTCAGCTTAGTGCTCGGCGTCCCTTGATGCATAACTGGTCATAGTAAGGGCGCGATATCAGGTTTGCAGCAAGACGCACACGTAGGCAGATTCGAGTAGTAACTTACGCTTATTCCGTCTTGCATCTTGTAATATGACAAGATTTCACTAGACAGAAGCGAGGACTCGGAAATATGTACTAAATGTTTCCAAGAGCATGCTTACAAGCTTTCAGGGTCTATTATGACTTCACCATTTCAAGCCAGGGTCACGGGAAAACCTTCAGAGGTGACACACCTGTCAGCCTAGTTTACTACTAAGGCGCCTTGTGCAGCTCCAGCTACCATGACTAATTCATGAAACAAACGGCAATAACGAATACGAGTAGTTCAAGACGACGGACGTCATGTGAGCTGGAATATGTTACCGACTTTATTTTTAACCGAAGCTTTCCCCCTTTATCAAATTTGCTCGTGACGAGGATATTTACTTGCTGTCTTGATGGGAAATGTCCCACTCATATCGATGCTCATGCTCAGTGTCATGGTTGACCAACTAGTAAACTTCTAGTTTATCAGTGCTTGAGTGAGCGTGGTATGCTTGATTAAGTTTCGAAGAAAATTGATGGCGTTAGTGATATTTGTAAGGCGTGATAAGTATGGTTACCGAGAAATAATAACTAGATAGAATGCTGAATTGATCCGAAGCTTACTTGGCATCGTCGGGGTGCATCGACACAAAATGAATGGGGGATGGTTGTGATGGTTGTGATGAATTTGAAGAGTTTTAGTTTCCGGTAAGTAGGTAGTTACTATGCTTACCGTCGCCCATCATATCAAAAGGAATATCCGTCTTCAATAATACCATTGAGCTTCAAATGATGAATAAATAGAATTTGTAGATGATGGAATAGGACAGAGTTTAAATTTGTTGTTGGATATTGGGATTGGGGGCCAGGAGGTGGCCAGGTAGCATACGGAGTACATTAATATATAGATAGTATAGATAAGATCTGAAAGCGCAATCTCGGTTTAGTCCTTATCACTCAGGCCCGTTTGGTGACATGACAGGTAAATTGAAATCCGGCAAACGATAATGATAAAGATAACTATAACTATAAAGAGACGGTGAAATATTTTTGTTAATATCCAGACTCGATATCCGCCATATTCATTATAACATTCATGAGATTGAAAATTACCAGATTAGTCACGAATGTAGCATAATGGCAATGTAACCTATAGTTATTATAGTGGCTTGGCTGCGCAGGGCAGTTTTTGCCTTGATGACTGCATGGTGAGCTTGCTCACGGTACAGAAGTACAACCAAGAGTTACACAACTAGGATCGCATGCGATACGAGACAGCGATGTTGTGAATTGAATTGACAAATCGGATATTTACAAATGCGAATGATGTGCGAATAAGAAGGGTACGGCGTACGTACTTGCGAAGAAGCGCGCGCATGGTTAATGGCCAATGGTAATAGTGGCAGGTAGTAAGGTATAGAGCAGAGTATAATAAAGAAAGAATAAATCCTTTCATGTTGGTTTTGGGTTGAGATTTTCTTTAGATAAAGAAAATGGGGTGGATTGTAAAGATTCACATGTTTACCGAATAACATTCTCATTCGGAAAAGGTAAAGGGAAAGGAAGCAAACGGTAAACATTATGCGATGACAACTGCCCCACCTACTGCAAACAGTAATTACTATTATGTCTTCCTACGGCCGACGGGAGACATCGTTTCTCCTATGGAGTTCTTTCTTTTCCCCTCTCCCTATCAATGCATCATCAAAGCACCCAAGCACCCAAGCACCCCGTTTTATAATAGTACGGACTAGGTAGTTACTCAAAGTCTCAAACTGCTACAATCAAGACTTTAGTCACTAATGATCAAGTTTTTGAAAATGTTTAATTCGGATTATTACTCATTGAATCCATGGTGTTAGCTAGTAGGTAGGTAGGCACTAGGTATCCATGATGTGAATGAATGAATGAATGTACAAGATATCCAATTTAGATGTATGGTATCCATATATTTACCACACCATATCCAATACTGATACAGTATACGAGTATATACGATAAATACAAGCACGACTCGAAATCCGACCCGACACACGGATAAAGGATTTTCAACAGGATTTGTCATCTCATCTCAAAACATCTTCCCTCAAGCCTTCAAGGTCTTTTTCTTCTTTGTTTTCAGCCCCCGTTCGATGGTATCAGCTCATTTGATTGCTGCGCCTTGTGGAGGATCGCATGCATACCTACCTAGGTAGCTACTACATCTACCTACACTCCGTAATACACCTCATCATACTATGAGGTAATTGTGCACCGAATAACATTTCATTATGCAGAATCTTTTGCCAACTCAAGCGCCCAAGCCAAACTCTCAACTGATTTTAACTAAAGAGAGTTAATAACACTTATCCATCAAAAGAAAGCGGACTTGATTGAATTCTCCATAAACCAAATAAATCAAAGCCGGTAATCCGCAGCTTAGTGTAACAAAAGTGGTGGCTTGTATCTCGCATTCCTTCTGTTAATATACATACTCCAGTACCTACAAGTACATACATGCCCCCCTTGCATATATAATCTGGGATCCCCGAGATACCCGGAAACATCAACTTTTCAAACTTCACTACTGCAGAATCGAGTTAGTAATGATACCTAGGTACGGAATATATGGATCTTTAAGTCACCGCAGTTCTTGAGACAACTCCCCCACCCCACCATAACTAGGTTAGCCATTTCTACTTTCGACAAGGCTGGAAAATACACAAAAAGCTGTAGCCTGTGCAGTCAGTGTTCATGCGTACATACAGCAGCAACTCAAGTTAATTACCTACCTACACAACCGTCACAACGACATTAAAAAGTTTGGTTACATCGCCTACCTAGCAAGGTTAAGGTCAACAACGTCGCAGCACGGAGTTGATTCAAATCTCCTGTTCCTTCCTAAGATCTTACCCGGTGTCTTCTAATAATAATTTAACCAACTACAACAACAATACAACTGGCTTACCTCTCCAATCACATCCAACAAATCAAAAAACGGAAGTTACCGACTCGGTGGGAATTTTGCATACCTACAGAGTTACCTACTCCGTACAACTTATCGTTCCTGACTCCCTGTAGATCTCCCGTGCAAATTTACTAGCAAGGTACTAAAAGCTTAACACTTTAACACCAGAGAAGTGTGGGCCTGCGTCATTTGGACATATAAAAGGACCAAGCCTCGTTGGGATATGGCTCATCAGTTACCATTTTAGTTTCTTTATAATCCCAAACATCATCTTCCGACAAGCACGGAGGAAGGAGAAAACATTTGACTTCTATTTTTTAATATCTTTTTTTATTATATTTATCTTTTTTATAAATCTTCTTTCTCTTTCTTCTTTCTATTTCGAGATATTTTCAACTTCATCTTGCGTTGCTTTTTATTTGTTCTTGAATATTCTATCTACCTGCCTACAGGTAGCAAGACAATATGAAAGGTTTTGGAGCTATACTCGCTTCCGTTGCATTAACTTCAATATGTGATGGTATGTATTACTCCAAAGAGAGTTCCGAGTTCAACTTTGGTTAACCCATTTATAGCTCGTCAATTGGTTTTACCTAGAGATGCATCTCCGGAAACTGTCGCTGCTGAAGTATTGGCGGCACCGATGGTAGCTTTGAAGCGTGCATTACCAGATTCGCCAACAGGAAGCTATACACCAGGAGCGGTAGACTGTCCCGATACGAGACCAACAATTAGAACCGCCAATGAATTATCCGCCAATGAAACATCATGGCTTCGACTACGGAGAAATAATACCATTCAACCCATGATAACTTTCCTCGAAAGGATGAACATTACAGGATTCAATGCGGCTGAATATATCAACAGTGTCTCAAACAATGCATCCACATTACCAAATATTGGTATAGCAATTTCCGGAGGGGGTTATCGTGCAATGTTAAATGGTGCTGGATTTCTTGCTGCGGCCGATGATCGAACCACAAATTCTACCAACACTGGACAAATTGGTGGTCTCCTACAAGCTTCCACCTATCTTGCTGGTCTTTCTGGCGGTGGGTGGTTGGTTGGTTCGATTTATACCAACAACTTTAGCACCGTCGAAGCTTTACGAGATGGTTCCGATGTGTGGAATTTTGATAACTCGATCTTCGAAGGACCTAACGATGATGGCATTCAAATCTTGAGCACTGCTGATTACTATAGTACCATTGAATCTCAAGTTAAAGGAAAGGCGAATGCTCCGCTCAACTTCAACACTTCCGTCACCGATTATTGGGGCCGTGCATTATCTTTCCAACTTGTCAATGCTACGGATGGTGGGCCGGCCTACACCTTTTCGTCAATCGCGCTAGAGGACAACTTCGCAAAGGCTAATATCCCAATGCCTTTTCTCGTCGCCGATGGCCGTGCGCCATACACTGAGATTATCGCACTCAACTCCACCGTCTACGAATTTAATCCATTTGAGCTGGGTTCATGGGACCCTACGACATATGCATTTGCACCGCTGCGATATATCGGTTCGAACTTCACCGCCGGAGCCATTCCGGACGGTCAGCAATGCGTTCGTGGTTTTGATCAGGTCGGCTACGTGATGGGTACTTCATCCACTCTTTTCAATCAATTCTTGCTTCAAGCCAACTCGACTTCACTTCCAAGCTTCGTTACTCAAGCCTTCACCGCCATTCTCGACAAAGTAGGATTCACCAACAATGATATCGCGCAATATCAACCTAACCCTTTTTACGGATACAACAATGCAACCAATCGAAATGCCCAAACTACACAACTAGATTTGGTCGATGGTGGTGAAGATGGCCAGAATATTCCTCTTTACCCACTCATTCAACCTATCCGTGAAGTGGATGTAATCTTCGCGGTCGACTCATCCGCAGACACGGATTTCTTTTGGCCCAACGGAACTTCTCTCGTTGCAACCTGGGAACGCTCTCAAAATGAAACTATTGCAAACGGAACGGCTTTCCCTTCAGTTCCTGGTCAAAATACATTCGTCAATCTTGGCCTTAACAAACGTCCCAGTTTCTTTGGTTGTGATCCTTCAAATTCTACAGGACCGACACCTTTGATCGTCTATATTCCTAATGCCCCCTATATCTACCATTCCAATGTATCGACCTTTGACCCGTCGTATACCAACGAGGAACGCAACCTTATCATTAGAAACGGTTACGAGGTCGCCACAATGGCTAATGGTACCATTGATCCAGATTGGCCAACATGCGTTGGCTGCGCTATCATTTCCCGCTCATTTCACAAGACCAATACCGCCGTACCCGATGTATGCACCGCTTGTTTCAACAAATACTGTTGGAATGGTACTTTGAATACTAGTGCTGTTGAATACGATCCCGCGTACATCGCGTCTTCTGGTGTCTCCTTGCAAGGAAGCAAATTCATGAGCATTGTCGTCGCTTTAACTGCTGCTGCATGTATTTTGTTTGCATAAGGGTGAAAATTGTATTTTGGGATTGGATTATAAAAAATTGGAAAAGATGTGGGAATTTTGTATATATATCGATGTTCTAATGATGGGAGACCGGGGTGTAATTATATTTCGCATTTTATTTCTTTGAGGATTGATATTAGTCTTGAGGAACTGTCGGATTATTTCAGACTAGATGTTAGAATGTTCAATAATACCTAGTTTCTCCAGCTACAGAAAGTTCGTCGGATAGTGGGATGTTTAAGAACATGAGGGGTCGGTGGTCTTTTGTTGATTGATGTAAGATTAGGTTCCGTGAGTTTAGATGATATTGTCAATTTGAACGTTCAATCGGTAAACTAAGACTTATTACCTAGTATAATGTGACAGGCCATGAAATGACCTATGTTAGGCAAAATGACGTTGTTGCTACGAAAATGCTTATATCACGTGATGGCAATATGCTCGTTGATCTGGCAACCTTGGGCGGTGAAAAGCTTTGTTTATCAATATTTGCCCTTGCATGAATGTAAAATATAGCTTCTCAAAATCAACAATATCCACGACAAACATTCATATCACACCCAATGTAACTCTTTGCGGTCGAATCCAAATTTTACTAACATTCAAAAATCAATTTATTTTACAGCAATGGATCAATCACCCCCCAAACGTGTTACCCGCGCGCGAGCAGCCGCAAAGTCAACGAAAGACACTGTTATTAAAACTGCTAGAATCGCACCTACCGCATCGAAATCAGCAAACATTAGCCGTGGTACGACTAGTACGAAGAGAAAGACCAGAGCAGATGATGATGAGGAGGAGCAAACTGAAGAATTGGCAGAAGAGACCAAGCCAGAACCAAAAACCACTCGAGGACGACCGAGAAAAGCTGCACAATTAGAGACGGAGGTAGAGGAAACCATGGCTCCTGCGAAAGTCACTCGAGGTCGACCAAAGAAAGCTACAATTGAAGCGCCAGCACCTCAAGCCGCAAGATCCTTGAGAGGACGAGCGAAGAAGGATGAGGTTGAGCCTCAAGCGGAATCAGAATCAACCGTGACGGAGGAACCTGTAAAGAAAGTCACCCGCACCCGAGCTCCTTCTGCTACAATTTCACGCGCAATGGGACCAAAGAAGAGGGTCAAGTTTGAGGAACCAGATAAGGAGAATATTTTACCACCAACCAGAGCAAAGCCCAAGGCAGCAGGAACAGCTACTGGACTACGAGCGAAACCGGTTCGAAAGCCTGCATCATCTGCAACCGCTTCAACTCGTGCAACTCGTGCTAGAGCCAAGCCTGGCCAGGACGAGAAGGTAGAGAAACCATTACCGTTAAGCCCGAAGAAAGCGACACAAGTTAATGCGAACAAGGGACAATCGTCTGAGGATGAATTATCAACAACAGTGAAGACTCCAATGAAATCATTGATGAAAAGTCCTGTCAAACCGCCTGGAAGTATTTTCGATACTGCGAAAAAGATTGATTTTTCAACATCTCTTGCAACACAAAAGCCTATCGAAGGTGGCAAATTAGATTTCCAAGCGTCTATTATGATGAGTCCAGCTCGTCGGCCCCCACAAACTGCAGAGAAGAAACTGGATATCGCTACATCTTTTGCTGACAAGCCTTCAATGGAACCTACCCAGATTTTCAATGCATCAATGACAAGCCCTGCTCGACGCCCACCACAATCATCGCCTTTCAAAGAGACGTTGAAATTAAATGCGCAAAGATTCGAATTCGGACACAGTATGCGATCACCTTTTAAGCCTAATTTATTTGCACCAGAACCTTCAACAACAGCATCTCCACTCAAAGCTTCCCTTCTTCAATCACCGGCTAGGAGACCACAATCACCCACCAAAGTTGATGAAGCAGGCTCACCAACTAGAAATAATCAAAGTGCTTCAATATTCGCCGCAACTCCAAAAGTCAGCACTTTTAAGATCTCGAGATTTGAAACTCCAAGAACTTTAATGAAGAGCGCAATTCGTCCTGGCCCTATGTTTCCCCCGATTCCGTCAAGTACCTTGAAGAACTATGTCTCGAATGGTAGTCCATTGCCAAAGGAGGCAAAATCTTTAGCGACTCCCGTCCTGGAATTTTCTGGTCGACTTTCATCCATCTTACCTCGTTCTGCTGACCCGGCTCTCTCATCAGCTGTTGGACTTCCTCCTCAAATAGATGAGCCTGTAAAATCCGTTGCAGATGATATCCAAGAAAAATTCGATGATCCTATGACTGTCGACAACACAGATGAAATAGTCGATACAATCGAAGCTCAAAGTACCACTCCACCATGTTCACCTCCTACAAATAGTACTATCGGTGGTTCATTCCAACTCAGGGAAGAGAAAATTTCAATTGATGATGATTCAGACTCAGAAGATGAGCTCGCTTCTGTGGCTAAAGAACATTCACCCACTCCGCTTGCCGATTTCCCGATCTCTACCAACAATTTTGTATCTTCTCCATCGACACTTGCCAAGTTTGATAGTATCAACAGAACTCCCAAGATGGCAACGGTTCAATCATCTGCTCGATATTCACGCAAATTCAACCAGGAGAAGATTGGTTTCACTCCTTTGGCGAAACAGTTGAGTGATTGGATGGCCGCGAGCTCTGAGGAGTCTAGTGAATGCGATGACGACCTTGATGAGCCTCTTTCACCCACACGAAAACCAGCGGAAAAGGAATTGTCTGTCGATATGGGCAAGACTGCGGCATCTCCTGCTGTTGCTTCACCAGCTAAAAGTAGTTATTTCGAGGATGAAATGAAAATTCGAGACGAGCTCAACATGGCAGAAAACGAATCTACTCCTTTTGACGAGGTTGAGGCCGAGAACAGTGAGCCAGAGTTCAACGATATGGAATTACTTGAGGAAGATATCGACCTTGCAGAAGAAGCGGATGAGTTATCGATGTTGGACCCTGAAGCTTTTGAAGAAGCTAATGACGAGGAAAATGAAGAAAGCCAAGAGGAGAATGACGAAGAGAGCCAAGACGGAAATGATGAAGAGGGAGAATATGAAGCAACCATCATGGGTAACAACTTCCAAGAACCTGTGCTTGTGCCAGAGCCCACTCCCTCAGAGCCTAGTCAGGAATATGGAGATGAGAATGAAGTGCCGATTGATCCCGCACTATTAGCCTCTACACCTCAATCACTAGCCGCGCCAGTCTTCACAACCCCTAAACGTGTCTTGACCGAAAGGACATTCCATACCGTCGCAAAAGTGCCGCTTAAAGATGCTCATGAAACTCCAATGCGTCCATTGCAAGCAAAGAAAAGCGCTAGTATCTCCAAGCTTTCATTCGCACGACCATCTAGCCCGTTATCTCACAATAATACTGTCACTCCATACTCACCCTCAAAAAGTACACCAAAATCAAAAAAGAGTCAGAAATTCACTGAGAGTGCAGGCAGCCAAGAATTTACTACTCCCACTAAGTCAGAAACTGTTACATGGTTTACAAACGCAACGCCAGCTCGTACACCACATCCTGATCTAAGTGCAGCACTTTTGAGGGGAGCTGTAGTCTTTGTTGATGTACACACCACTGAGGGTGCTGATGCTAGTGGTCTATTCACTGAATTGCTTACACAAATGGGAGCGAAATGTGTTAAGACTTGGTCGTGGAATCCAAACAGTGATGATGGAAGCAAAATTGGAATTACCCATATTGTCTTCAAAGATGGTGGAAAAAGAACTCTCGAGAAAGCTAGGCAAACTGGAGGAGTTGTTTCTTGTGTTGGTGTTGGATGGGTTTTAGAGTGAGCTTCTGCGAAAGATATGTTTTAAGATAATTTGCTAATATGCCAATAGCTGTGAACGCGAAAACCAATGGCTTGATGAAGCTGCTTATGCAGTCGATACATCCATGGTTCCACGAGGTGGTGCACGTCGTCGTAAGAGTATGGAACCTCGTGCACTTGCTAATTTCAATGGTACTCTTGTTCCTTCAACTGTTCCTGCGAAATCTGCATATTCAACCTTAACCTATCCTGATACAACTCCACTTACACTCAAATCCAAGAGAAGAGAATCAGTACAATGGCAAAGATCACCTATTCCTAACGAAGAAGGAGATGTGGATGAATTGGGTGAAGATAATTGGATGTTAAGTCCTGTTCCAGCTACACCTGCTCCGGAAACCATTAGTGCATATGCGGAAGAGGGATTATGGGGTGCTGAAACACCAGGTGCTCAAACACCTTATTTCTTTAAGAAAGATAAATTGGTACAAATGACGGCTCCAGGTGGAAACAAAAAGTTTGTAAATTTTGAGGGGGGTGAGGGTGAGAATAGTGAAAGTGGAAATTCGGGAGATGGATTGAGTTTCTTGAGAAAAGATAAGGAACAACAAAGTGTTATGATGAGATTAATGGCTGCTAGGAGAAAAAGTTTACAATGGGCTCCAAAGGTAGGAAGTCCACTGGCTAGAAGATTTGATGGTGGTTTGTGAGTTGGAGTTGGAGTTGGATGAGAATATGAATCTGGATTGCATGGGAGTTTGGGTTAGCTATAGGGAATACAGGTGACTGACCTGTTTGTGATAGAGATGTTGCTATGGCTGCATTGTATGTATGTATTGATTGCATTGATTGCATTGGGCGAGGATATAGTTTTTTAGACAGATGTAATTTATTGATGTATTCTTTATTGACTTATATTGATTTGATTGTTTGATTGGTGGTTTGGTTTTATGGGTGATTGGTGAGTGATTGGTTAATGGTGGAGGCTTATTGTTTATTATTGGCTTGATCGAGTAAGATCAAATCAAATTAATGATGGTGCTGTTGATTAGGGTTTAATAGAGTGATGGAGTGATGAGTGATTAATAAAGGACTATTTATTTGAAGTCGAAGTTTTGGTAAGATTATAAAAAAGCCGTCAAATATGCAAGGCATTACCGGTGAGCCCGTTCCCAAAAAATATAGCCTTTCATCCCCAGCCTCGTCAAAATAAATTTCTCCTCAAATTCCCCCCCCAAAAATATATAATTTTCTAAATTTCTCCATCTATTCATTTTCTCAATTAAATGAATTGAACCAATTGAACCGCACAATTCCCTTCAGTTATAGAAAAATAATTATGTCATTATTCCCATAACATAACCCTCCAACCATCCATTACAAAAAAGCATCCATCCATCCATCAAAACCACCATGTTCGAAAACCTCTGCACCCTCCCTCTCAGCTCCGAACTCTTCACTCAAACTCTCCACCCTACAGAACCCATTCTTGCAGTTGGTCTTTCGGGCGGTCATGTGCATGCTTTTCGTTTACCGGTTGAGGAACAGGAGCTGGATGAGCATGGTGATGCGGATGGGAATGGGAGTGTGCTGAGTACGGGTACGAGTACAATTGAAACGGAGTGGAGGACTAGGAGACATAAGGGTAGTTGTAGGACTTTGGGGTTTAGTGGAGATGGGGGAGGTTTGTTCTTTTCTGTTTAGTTTTAATCAATGAGTTTTTTTGGGGGGGGTTTTTTTTTTCCATTAATTACTGACTTCAAAACACCAGTTCTCTACTCCGCAGGCACAGATTCCCTCCTCAAAGCAGCTGCTTCTGCTACCGGCCAAGTAATCTCCAAAATCCGCATTCCGAATTCCAACACCGATGCACTGGATCCCCCAACCCTTCTCCATGCACTATCACCCCAAACTCTCCTCCTCGCCACCGATTCCTGCGCTTTACATCTCTATGATCTCCGCGACGTGTCATCTTTCAAATCTGGTAAACCGGCGCAAACGCATTATCCGCATGATGATTACATATCGAGTTTATCGCCGCTTCCTCCTACGGAAATGAGCACGAGCGGGTTTAGTAAACAGTGGGTTACGACGGGGGGAACGACATTAGCGGTGACGGATTTGAGGAGGGGGGTTTTGGTTAAGAGTGAGGATCAGGAGGAGGAGTTGTTGAGTAGTGTTTTTGTGGGGGGGTTGCCGGCGAGGGGAAAGTATGGGAGGGAGAAGGTTTGTGTGGGGAATGGGAATGGGGTGGTTACGCTTTGGGAGAAGGGGGTGTGGGATGATCAGTCTGAGAGAATTATTGTGGATGGGGGTGGGAAGGCTGGGGGGGAGAGTTTGGATTCTATGGTTGCGGTGCCAGAGGAGTTGGAGGGTTCGTATGGGGGGAAATGTGTCGTGGTTGGGTGTGGTGATGGGAGTGTAAGGGTTGTGAGGGTGGGAGGGATGAAGGGTGTAGTGGAGGATTTAAAACATGATGATATTGAAGCGGTGGTTGCGGTGGGATTTGATATTGGGGGAAGATTAATTTCTGGAGGTGGAGAAACAGTTAAAGTCTGGCAGGAAAAAGTCGAGGATGAAGAAGAGGAAGAAGAGGAAGAACAAGAAGATATTGAAGATCATGATGATGATGTCATAGGGGGAAGTGGAAAAAGAACATTAGAAAAAGATAGCGATGATAGTGATGTAAAGGCAGATAGTAGTGATGAGGAAGATGGAGGTCGTAAGAAACGTAAGAAGAAGAAGAGGGGTAAGAAAGGTCAGGTGGGGAATGGCATTTTGGGTTTTAAGGGGATGGAATGATAAATTTTAGTTGGTTTGGTTGAAAAATACTCTCTGTAAGATTATTATTTTTTTGTGTAGTGTAGTATAACGTCCAAAATTTGTAAATCAAAATTATATATAAATGGAAAGAAGGTGAAAGATTGTAGATATATAAATTTACGGCAAATTACTTTTCATATCATCAAAACCGGAATTAATTAATTTACTCTTATACCATTTAGAATCTATAGTACGGGAAGGATAGAATCAATCTATGGTGGAAAAATGGAATAGTGGAGAGGTGAGGGAGTGGAAGTGTGAAAGGGTGGTGCAATTTATAAAAAGTTAGAATCTAATATAGTAGAGTGATAAAATCTGTCTGTAATGGAGAAGTGGAATCTATACTATAGATTCTAAATGGTATGAGAGTAGAATGACCTCACTTTTTGTGGTATAGAAGAAGTATGTTAAAAGGAATAGAAGTTACCGGTACTAATCACGTGTCGTGATTAGTAATACGGTTACCTAAACAGGCTAGATTAGACGAACCATAAGCAGGCATATTGGTCCCCTCCGAGGATACCAAGAGGAGATCTTAATATGCCTACACACGTAGTAATATAGTCAATATAGAGGCCTCTTCCACCCAATCTTTTAATAAAGTAGATAGTTTGAGGTTATTTTAAAGGCTTGGATGGGTGGATAGATGAATAGGGAAATTGGGGAGTAATAGGTTTTGTTGTTGTAAGATTATATTTTTATGGGGAATGTATTGTTATTATTGTTGGTCTTTCATCTGTCTGTTGTTTAGAGATTGATGATTTGAAATATAAGATTTAGAATCGAAATATATAAGAGCTTACCGGGCACTGGATTCATATAATAAAAAAATAAAATAAAAAAAAGATATAATAATTACCTAGTAGGGTTGATGGGCTAATAAAAATATAAGATTATGTTAAAGTGAATGGTTCCTGCGTAGCACGTGCACAGGGCACTAGTCCTATTAGGACTAGATTGAGAAGCTCTCTGTAAGAGAGCTTCGCACTTCCGTAGAACTTAGAAGAGAGATGAACCTACTAGACCAATATTACCTCAGTTCTGCCCTATCAGCTTCCCACTATTCCCTGTGTGAGGTCATTCCTTTTAACAGATTAGAAGAATGATCTTTTATGAGAGTTCACCCGCACAGGGCAGCACTAGATGTAATCTTGTATATATGGTAGAAGTTAATAACTGTGATTTATAGTTGGGAGATTTGTATATGGGAAAAGACGAGAGCATGAAGGGCGAAATATACAGGAACCTTGGTTTCATCATGTTTGATTTCCGCTGAGGCATTGAGATCTTCCATCTGGGTCGTCTGCTGTATTGGTTTGTAATCTTATATGTTGTGGAGTATAGGTATAGGTATAGGTAGGGTGGGATGGGTTATCTTGTATTGTGTGTATGTATATAATATTATTTATTGGGGTTAGGGTCAGGGTTGAATGTGATATGATATGATGATGAATATAATGTTTTGAAATATATATTCTTCTATTGTATATAGTTTAAGTTTTTAGAAATAAGTATGGATTATTTGTTGATTAATTATAAATATATTGTTACTACTATCAAATAATTGATCAAAGACGCTCCAAATATTCTCCAAGCACTGCCCAATACACCATTCACCTAATAGACAACAAACAAACAACCACAAACTCCCCTCCCCTCTGCAGCTCCCTCTCCCTCACCAACCTCTCCGTAACCTCCCCCAACCTCCCCCTATCACACCCCCCCATTTCCCTCCCTAGCACACAAAAAAAATGATCCGCCAATCCCCTCGCCGCCTCCTCAATCCCCCTATTCCACCACATCACCTCCTTTTCCACAATGCGAATATTTTCCCCTGAAAATCCCGCTGCGAGAAGTATATTCCGCATTGTATCCTTCTGGGACCATTTTTCTACTTGTGCAGATGTGGATTTGAGGGCAGGAGAATGGGGATTTAGTATTTTGTGGATTTCGTGGAGGAGAGAGTAGAAAGGGGGGTCTTTCCAGCAGGTTATGGCGGCTTTACCGCCGGGTTTCAGAGTGCGGTTTATTTCTTTGGCGCCGGCTATAGGGTCTGAGAAGAGGGAGATGCCGAAGTTGGTCATGGAGACGTCGAATTTGTTGGTGGGGTAGGTGAGTTTGGTTCCGTCCATGATGTCGATTTCGACTCTGTCGCCCCAGTTGTTTAGGATTACGTTGTTGTTGACTAGGGCGATCATGCTGGGGGCTATATCGGCGGCGTGGACGTGGCAGGTTGGATATGCTTTTAGGAGTGCTTCGGTTGCGAAGCCCGGACCACAGGCATTGTCTAGGAAGATGGGGTTTTCGGGTAGGTCTCCGAGGAGAGATATTATGTATGCAATTATGCGACGGGTGCTACCTCCAAGATGACGCTCGTAGGTTGAGGCTTCGGAGTTGAAGGATTCATAGAGTGTGCATACATCAGACATGGTTACTGGCATTCAATGCATAAGCTAGTACGAGAGAACAAGGATTCAAATTATCTATTAATAGTATTTTGAAATAGAGTAGTTGTTGTTCAATGTACAAGCTGGTGCTAAACAACTAACGCCTAGTGTTGTATGGCGGATGAAAAGATTTGGAGACAATCATTTTGTTTGTGATATAGAAACAAACTTTTCCTACCTGGACAATTGAGACATATTTATGTTTGGAGGACTTCTATATGTATCGTCAAATAGAAAACATCTATTACGCGGTAAGTACCTAGTAATTATCCTTTATCGCCCATCTCCACTACCCAATTGTTACAGCAATTGCTGACATGCACTTGAAGACCAATTGAGCATGATAGAAATTACTTCAATGTAATTTTCTATAAGACCTCTCTACTCCATATACTTGAGTAGCTATTCAGATCCAGAACAAAGGCAGTTGCGAAATTAATCGGCCCTGTAATATTGGTCTAGACTCCGGATGCAAACAAAGACATTCGTGACAACGGACGTATGAAAGATATGAGCGGGAAACTCCACACCCGCTAGAAAGTATCCGCTTGGCGGAAGAAGCCATTCAAATTATTGAATAGTCCTAGGTAAAATGAAATGAATATTTCGTGGCCGTTGACATTGTTGTTGCGTGACAATGTTTTGTAAAGTGTATGTCATCATTTGGCGATAAAGGCACACTGGAGCCATATATAGTACCCCAGAATTCGATATATCTCGAGAGATCTATTATCGGAAAGATACAACTACTTCCGTATATATAAATGGACGAGAGGATACAGATGAGGGAGAGAAAATTCGATGATGGAAGGGCTGGAAACTCCCATGATCTGAGATCTGATACTTAATGAGCTTATGTCCACGGTTAAATATTCCATATTCGAGTAAAAAGACAAAGACTGCTTGACTTTTGATGTTCAGAATAGGAAGAAGTTGATCAGGGCAGATCTGTAAACACTAATGAACTGTGTCAATCGAAGACGATGATGACCACGCGTGAATGCTGGTAACATTAACCTACAAAGTAGACTATTCGAAAACCTAAAGCTGTATTTATCTCTATCAGAATAGCTGACTTGGAGATAAACAAAAGATTCGATGGTATTTCAAGTATAAGTCTGCAGGAAACACATCCTCATATTGACTTCAATAACGTGAATTCGCTGGATTGATGTTGAAAGATAATCCATGAACGGAATAGTATTGCTTACCTAATTAGGATGCTAATTGAGCTCACCGCTGATTGAAGAATCTAACCCTAAATAAGCGACACACCGGCAGAATACAACTACCAGCGTATTTCAAATTTTGATCACACTGATCAAGATAGACATAGGCTACTACCCAGGCCCTCCAGTAATGACTGAAAAGACCGTGATTAGACTCAATCTTTCATTTGCTTAGTGTATTGCTTGATATCTGAAGCCCCAACGGTTTTCAAACTTCACATACCAACCTAGTGGTTACCTACATAGAACAAAATATCTGAATAGAAGAACTATCTATACACGAAAAACACCCCTGATAAGTACATACATTATTACATGTAGCTTTTATAACAATAGGTATCTGACTAGCGAAAAAATGCTAGCATAAAAGGCCTCCCCCTTCTTTTCCTCTCCTTGTACTCGTACTACTCATCCATGCATCCCATCATTATAGTTCATCTTCCAACCATTCATCCCAAAATCATCGTGATAATAGTAATATAGGATGCTAACCTCCTTTAGAGACCACCTGCATGAAAACTTGAGGGGCGCGTTTGTTGTGAACCACGTATTAATGTTTTCTTCATGTGCAGCAACTGATGCAAAGAAATGCAGCGAGGATGTGCAACAATCAGATTTGGAACCTCCTTTTTTCAACCGAGAATAAAAGATGACCACCTAAATTTTATTGCCATCTTTTCACATATGTTATGATGTACCACCATCCGATTTTCCCTATCCTAAAACGCCTTGATTTAAAAATTAAAGCCTTGCGAGTAAATTGGGGTTTTCATGCAGTTGAACGAAATGACATTTTCTAGGCGTTGAGTGTAGCAGTTCTTGCCAATAAACGAACATTGTCGATAAGACCTTCCACCAACTTAAAGTAATCATTTGGCTCGCCATTTCTAGCTTTGAGACCTTGATCTATGACAGCTGCTGCTGAGAGTTCGACTTCAAGCTCATGTTCTTTTTCAGTTCGAGTTACATTCTGCTGATGTTAGTGAGGATTTTAACAAGGGACCAGAAGAAAACTCACATTCGATACCAAGCTTTGAGTGACTTGAGTGAGGTCTACTTGATAATGCGATTGTTTATAACTCAAACGGTCCTTGTTACGATCAGGCCTTTGAGCTCCGTCAGTTGAAGAGACTAGTTCTTCTACTTCACCATCAAACTTCATTTCGAAGTTTATACTAATTCGGCAATCAAGACTTAAACTAGGAAAAAAGATATCCATGTCAGCCACTCTAGCTTTGATGATCTTTGCCAAAGTTTCGCCCGTCTTCTGATCGTGAGTGACACGAACTTTGACAGTGTAACGAGGATTGAGCAAGGCCCGAAGAGCCGGAGGTAAAGTGCCATGCATTGATGAAGGCAGTTCATAAAATTTATCCGTCTCCCGTCGGTGTAAGTAATCGATCTTGACTCGTCGTTTCGGCTGACTAGGATTATTCGGAAAACAGTCCTTAACACGTTCATTCAAAAAGTCGTTTAGCTTCTTATGTTGGAACTATTACAGATGTCAGCAAGACGATACCAAGGAATGTATATAACATACCTCCGTCATTGTGCTTTTGAAAGCAATGAACTGGTTATCCATAAGTACTGTTTCCGAACGGATTGGCAAATTCAGTCGCTGGTTCGTCTCCTTACTGACAAGCTGCCCCAGCTTCGCTTCAATTTCTACCTCCACGCCTCGACTGGCCAACTCTCGTGTGTCCTCACGACTAACGACGTTCATATATAGGAAATCTGCCACCAGCTTTGTCATCTCGGCACGCGGCTGAGTGCCAGATATGCTCGGCTCCCATGGGCCGAGAGGGCCATCCCAATCAACATCATTCCCTGCAGGTCGAGGAATCGCTGGTGATGCTTGGCGCATCCCATTACTCTCTTGCTTTATTAATGTAATTGGCGGGGCTTGCGCCGAAGGTTGAGGAGTCTCTTGTCTCCCGTTGATCTTACGTCCTAAGCCCTTTATTCCTTTGGCACTTCGGGCCCATATCGGTGGCTCGGTGTATCGAGTTCTCTTTCTGGGTGGTTGCTGAGGGGACGGAGCAGTCGCAGAATTGACTTGATGATCGCCGTTGATTTCTGGCTTAACATCGTACTGCTCAACTCGTTGTGGTGCTTCAAAAGACATTTCCTGGTCCTCCAGTTTGCGTTTTGTTGAATGATTATATTCTTCCGGTTGCTGTTGAACCATCGAACTTCCTTTTGTTTGGCTGGGTAGACGCGTTTTGGGACTGACGCTGATAGTCCTTTCTCTGTCGTTCATAGATCGCTGTTGCGTGGAGCTTGTTGACGTTCTTTGAGAGTCGTAAGCGCTTCGTGGAGTGGTCGGCAATCGAGGTGGGATCGAAGCGTTCGCGGGGGCAGGGGATATTTGATTGAAATGAGTACCGGTGAAAGAGCTTGCGAGCACTCCCCGTTGTTGATAGGGACTTGTAGGTTGTGCGAATCCGCCAGATGATTGACGCTGTGGTTGTAGAGGAGGACCTAGAGGGGTGCCTGGGTGAGATTGTTGAGATTGTTGTCGCTGATGCTGAAATGGAAATTGATTTGGTGGTAATTGATTTGTGGAGATGGGACTATCCTGAGTGAATTGGTTTTGATATTGCTGCTGCTGACTGTGCGCTGACGTGGGTGTAGAATTCGAAAGTGAAGATTGTGATCTTTGATGTTGAAGATAGGGATGGGTCGCCCCTGGAATTCCAATTGGTGGTGTTTGTGGAACGGGCGATGCTTGAATCTGTGAATTATATTGTTGTTGATGAGGAGGTGGGTTGGATTGTGAGTAAGTTTCTCTTTGAGGTTGTTGAAAGGTCGGGGGATAATGATGACGTTGAGCAGGACTTTGCGGATTTTGGAGACTTTGCGGGAATGGGTATTGAGCACCGGGAACACTAATTGATGAACTAGGGGTATGCCGATATGGCGAGGGAACCGAATATGAACCCGTTGGAGAACGAAGGTCATTCGGAGGAGGGGCTTGAATGGGAGTAGGAGGAGGCGGACGATTTAGATGAGCTGCTTGATAGGTAGTTGGCGATGCATAAGGCCCACCATTTTGTGAACCGTACTCTTGTGATTGTGAGCCATGTTTGCCTGGACCTGGCGAGACCTGCGACGAATGACTATAATTCCTATAGATTTGTCCTAATGGGGGACCCGTCTGAATTGGAGTTACCGGTGTAGGCGTATTTTGTTTGGATCGTCCCCCTTCGCCATTTTCCGTATTGATGATTGAACGAAGGTCCATGTTTGCGATTCGTTGTCCAGCACCACCATATACGCCCTTCTTGACCCCACGCGCTACACTCTCAATATCTCTTTGTAATCTTCAACCGGGCGTTCATTTGATGGCAATCTGATAATTCGTTGTACAGTTGAGTCGATCTCGTTCTCGAACGTAAGGCTTAATGATGTTGGCGCAAAGGCGCAAACACATTCGAACAGAGGAAGTTGTCAAGAATAAAAGTTTAGGACTACGCAAACAATGATGGATGGGAAACGGAGGGATTAGCCAGAGTAATCTTTTTTTTTTCTTGGGGAGAGTTCGCAGATGGGTCAAATGGAATTTTTAAAGTATTATAAATTTACTGCAGATACATTTATTTTGAAGCCATAGACAAACAAGTATTGGAGATTTGGATATTTGGATATTTGGGGATGAATAGGGGGTTGGTTAGGAGGTTTGAGAGGCAAGAATAAGTTGAGTGGTTTGTGGTTTGTAGCTTCCAGAACCAAATTCCCATAATGATGGAATTACAAGCAAGTTCCTACCTAGTACAGAGAGAGAGAGGGACTGACTGTACTGTATTCGCATCTCAGTCTCAGGACCGGTAGACGAATCATTTACCTTGGAGAGGGTACACAGCATGATAAATCTTTTTGAATGAACTGAGATGAATGAGGAATGAAATGTGTATATAAAATGAAGCTCAGCAGATGAGCTTTAAAAGTATATCCTCAAAAAGTTGATATTTTATACAAAAATAAATTACAGGATTTATTCTTAAATTCATTTAACTTTTTGATGAAAATTAATGGAAAGTTTATTCGATGGAAATTCGGTCATTTTGTGTATTCTGCCTATCCACGACCCCATTCATACCAAGTACCTCTACTGATTGGTTGCTGGGACCAGAGAGCGGCTACAAACATCAATCTTTACTCTCAACCCACAACTCAACTCGAAGATTCAAGCTCCGTCTTACCTAAGCTTTTTCACGTGCTTTACTACCTGGCTCAAGTACATGCCTCAGACATTAATAATTACCCAGATGATTTCCTAAAATAGTTAGCCACTTACTTTTAATGCTCAGCTTTACCGCTTTTCCCACCAGAACAGATTCGTGGTTGAAGCTGTTGACGTGCCAAAAGGTGTGCCTGATTGTTGCGACACTTTTACTCAGAGGTCTTTGTATACAACCACAATAACTCATTTTCAACCCTCATCCATCAAACATTTCAATCCTCTAAACTCTTAGAGACCTTTTCAATAAAGGTCCTCAAATAAATCACCTTCTGAATTCAAATTTCCACGGTTATCAAACCATTATCCAACCATGCCGAGTTTGACTTCAGCCTCTGGTGTCCTGGGCTTCCTTTCTGACGAAGAACCGGAGCTCAAGATTTTCGCCCTTCAAACCCTGAACGACGATATCGATACACTATGGACAGAAGTTGCAGGCTCTGTTTCTCAGATGTAAGTTAAAATCCATGCTATCGCAGATATCAGATGTTAATGCAGCTCCATCATGATGACCAACTGAATACTAATTCGGCCACTTTAGTGAGGCGCTTTACGAAGATGAATCCTTCTCGGAGCGACAATTAGCATCCTTGGTATTGGCAAAGGTCTATTATCATTTACAAGCATACAATGAGAGTATGACATTTGCTCTTGGAGCTGGTGATCTCTTCCAACTCGACAAATCAGGCGAATTCGAAGAAACCATCATCTCGAAATGTGTCGACACTTATATCAGTGTATCTGCTCAACATCATGCCGCACCACAAAAAAGTAAAAATGATAGTGCTTTACCTACCCTCGCAACTACATTCGCCAGCGGAATCAATGATGGCAGTGCTGCCGCTGCGCTAACTTCACCTGTGACGCCCTTCTCGCAATCTACTCTGCCATCCAAATCCCTCTTATCACGAGTCTCTACCGATAACATGTTGGAACAGCCCGTCGCAGAAGGCAAGACCTCGGATTCAGCTATTTTACCAGATCGATCTACTCAGGTTGCGCTCCAAAAAGTCATCGAGAGACTTTTTGAAAGTTGTTTACGCGAAGGGAGATACAGACAGGTTGTTGGAATTGCAGTAGAGGCTAGAAATCTAGAAGTCTTGCGACGAGTCATCAAGCGTGCTAGTGACGATGAGAAGAAGTCGAAATCAAAGCTTCCCGAGGGCACAGCTGGACCAACAGAAGAATTGATGGAATATGTCTTGGACATTTGCATGGGCGTTGTACAAGAAAGAGGGCTTCGAACGGAAATACTGAAGTTGATCTTGGATCTGCTAAATGATATACCAACTCCGGATTATTTTGCAATTGCAAAATGCGTCGTCTATCTTAACATAGACGAGGAGGCATCGGCAATGTTAAAAAAACTTGTGGTAAGTACTTGAAGTGGCTGAAACTTCTGTGAATTCAGGTCTTGCCTGATATGATACTGACCTCGTATAGGCTAAGGGCGATCAGACCTCCACCGCTATAGCATACCAAATCGCTTTCGACCTGTATGATAATGGCACTCAAGAATTTTTGGCCAAAGTCATTAAATCTCTACCCAAAAAAGCTACCGATGCCGAACCATCTACAGAGGAGCGTGAGTAGAATCCATTCCCTTGCTTGGTTTTGTACTGATTTTGTGTGTAGCAACGGAATCCGATCAACTTTTAGGAGAATTGAATGATCAAGCTGGAGGATCCACTGAAGTGGCCTCAGATGAACAAATCAAGGTTTATGATTCGATTCGAAAAATTCTTGATGGCAGTGAGACCATCAGACTTAATCTCGAATTTTTGTATCGAAATAACCACACCGACCTCAGCATCCTCAACAAAGTCCGTGACAGCCTTGAAGGTCGAAACTCCATCTTCCATTCAGCTGTTACGTTCTGCAATGCTTTCATGAACCACGGCACAACCAATGATAAATTCTTCCGTGACAATCTAGAGTGGCTAGGAAAGGCAGTCAACTGGTCAAAGTTTTCTGCTACTGCTGCACTTGGTGTCATTCATCGCGGCAACCTCTCCCAAGCTAAGAGATTGTTGGAGCCTTATTTACCAAGAGCCCCGTCTGTTGGAGGTTCATCTTATAGCCAAGGTGGTGCTCTTTATGCTTATGGGTTAATTTACGCCAATCATGGCGCCGAGGCGCTCGAGGATTTGAACAAAGCCTTTTTGGAGAACCAAGAAGAGGTTATTCAGCACGGAGGTGCTTTGGGGTTGGGAATTGCTGGTATGGCCACAGGCAATCGACAAATCTACGAGGATTTGAAAAACGTGCTTTACGGCGATTCTGCACTCAATGGTGAGGCCGTTGGCCTTGCGATGGGTCTCATCATGTTGGGAACTGGTAATATGAAGGTTCTGGAAGAAATGATTGTCTATGCTCATGAAACTCAACACGAGAAGAGTGTTCGAGGTCTTGCTATCGGCATGGCATTAATTATGTACGGCACACAAGAAGGAGCTGATGAAATCATCAAAGCATTGTTGAATGAACCGGATCCAACTCTTCGTTATGGTGGTATCTTGACCGTCGCTTTGGCATACTGCGGCACAGGAAGCAACAAGGCGGTGCGCAAGTTACTTCATGTAGCCGTCAGCGACGTGAACGATGATGTCCGTCGTGTTGCTGTCATGAGTTTGGGTTTCATTCTCTTCCGCAAGCCCGGAAGTGTGCCACGTATGGTCGAACTTTTGTCTGAATCTTACAACCCACATGTTAGGTACGGTGCTGCTATGGCTCTTGGTATCTCTTGTGCTGGTACTGGTCTTGACGAGGCAATCGATTTGCTTGAGCCTATGATGAAAGACCCTACAGACTTTGTTCGACAAGGTGCCTTGATCTCTCTCGCCATGATCATGGTTCAACAGAATGAGGTAATGAATCCTAAGGTTGCGGAAATTCGCAAAACATTGAAGAAGGTTGTTGCGGATCGTCACGAGGATGCCATGGCCAAATTCGGTTGTGCATTGGCGTTGGGTATAATTGATGCTGGAGGTCGTAATTGCACAATCGGGTTACAGACTCAAACAGGTAACCTCAACATGGCTGGTATTGTCGGTATGGCAGTCTTCACTCAATACTGGTACTGGTTCCCATTCACCCATTTCCTCTCCCTGACTTTCACTCCTACATCCATGATTGGCTTGAACCAAGAATTGGAGATTCCAAGTTTCAAATTCCACAGTGCTACTCGACCAAGCCTCTTCGACTACCCCCCAGAGCAAGAAGTCAAGACGGAGGATGCACCAACTTTAATCGCAACAGCCGTTCTATCGACAACTGCTCAAGCAAAACGCAGAGCACAAAAGAAGGAACGTGCTCAACGACGAGAAAGTATGGATATTGACCAAACGCCTACCACGCCAAAGCTCCCAACTGCAACTGACGACAAGATGGAAGTGGACGATTCAACCAAGGATACGGAAGATAAAGTTGCTGAGAAGAAGGATGAAAACGAAAAAGATACCCCTGCAGAAACCCTGAAGAAGAAACTTGAGAAAGAGAAGGTTGGGTACGAGATTGAGAACATGTCTCGAGTCCTTCCATCTCAACTCAAGTTCATCAGTTTCCCAGCCGGTCGTTATAAGCCAGTCAAGAAACCTACTGGAGGCGTCATTGTGATGATTGATACTCAGCCAGGAGAGGAGAAGGTCTTGATTGAAGAAAAAGTGAAGAAGGTTGAGGTTGAAAGGGCTTCGATGAGTGCAACTCTTGAGGATATGCGTGTAGAGGCTCTCAGCGTGCGCGAGGGAGGTGACGTCCCTTACCCCAGAACTCCTGCAAATGAAGGTGAATGGGCTTTCCCCGGAGCAGCAGCTGCAGCAGGTGTTTTGACTGCTGTCGATGAAGATGAAGAGGGCGCCGAGGAAGCTCCTGTACCCCGGGATTTCGACTATTTCTCCGATGGGGAAGAAGAGTAAATCATTTTATTCGAGGGTAGCGGAGGGGTGTGTAATTTTAGCAATCCGCATTCAGGGGAAGGGTGTTTTTAGGTGCAGTCCCTCGGTAGGTAGCATCATGCATGTATTGAAGAGGATGGCATGCATTGTGATAGTATAGACATGTGTATAACAGATCATACCAAGTGAAGCAATCATTCTGTGTGATGTATTATTGAGGTGATTCATGACCTTTTACAGTTCTACCAATACTCTAATTTGCAAAATAATTCACGGATTGATACCTATCGAGGACCTACCAAAACGATCGCCATTGATTCGTTGTGACAAGTGGCTTACCCGGAATAAATATTAAACTCTTTATTTAGACAAGTGATGGAGGTTTTTTTTTTAAAAAAAAATAAGAAATCGAGATGGTGCTGTGGGTAATAAATTTTGATCGTTTTAATGACGAGGGAGAGTGTAGATAGGCTAATTTGTATAAAGTATAAAGCACAAAGTATATGTTTGATGGTTTTAACTTTTGGGAAGTGATGGATATTCGTTGGAGATTCTGAAAATATACTATTACTGTTATTCTCAGTGTGATTTTTTTTTGGACTTTATAATTACCCCTTTACATTTTTAGTATGGTTTTTTTTTTTGAGATTAAGTGTTAGATCTTGGTATCTCCCCCGCCTAGATGAGCTTGGTGTTGTTTAGGTTTACGTTCAGATTTAGATTCTACCTATCTGACAAGCTTTATTTATTCAACGCCTCATGAGGCAAATAACACTTCAAATAAATATTTGAGAATATTTGAAAGATCCAAAATATGCATACGATATCGGAGAATGGGATAAAAATTAAGGTTTAGATACACATTCAAGTGAAGTGCATAGAAACCCTCGACAAAATTACCTTCTAAAGACAATCTCGACTGAGGATATGCAAGTGCAAGGTTCCTCTGATGATTTTCGGCTGATAACCTCAGCTTGTCTGCTGCTTCCTTTTCTGGTTCGGGGATTTCTGCATGGGCTCTTATCTGTGTGCTTATCCTTCCCCGCTTCGATATCTTTCGCATGCTACTAGATACGGTATGAGGGGATGGGGAGATCTGAACAACGAGTCTTGTTATGTATCTATGTAGGTTGTGTGTGGTAGGGTGAGGTAATACTGCATACTGCACAGTATGTATATATTTCCCCAAAGACCGAGTCTTGTTATCTCTCGATCTCTTTTTCCTACGTTTTGTTCCTGCTCTTCCTTCATGTTCGAGGTTTGAGGACGGAGCATTGATTGATTGATAAGCTGGGTATATGAGAAGGATAAAAGACGATAATGCGTTCCTTAACTTCAATACCGTATATTCCAACCGGAAAACAAATTAAAGAACGATGTACGTCGGTCAAAGCATGGGAGTTACCGAAACAGAAGAGTGCGTTGGCGCCAGAACATATTTGGACTAATGAGGATATGGATCCGGTGAAGAAGGAAGATCAGACTTGGACGTTGTGGACTTGGTGAGTGTGGATTTTGTTTTGGTTTTGATTTTTTGATATGCAGGTTGGGGTTCGGGGTTCTTAGGGTGATGCTTGGGAGATAGAGAGTGGTGAAAACTGGATGAATTTATGGAATTGAAGACGGATGAAGTGAGTGCAATGATGATTGACGAATTTAACATAGGATGGCTTATTGGGCAACTGATACGATTAATCTTGGAACCTGGGAGACGGCAAGTAGTGTTTTAGCCGTGGGATTAACATGGCGAGAAGCAATTCCAATCGTGAGTTTTCCTACACAACTTCACCATCTTCTCATCGATCATCAAATCACACTAACACATCAAAAGATGATAGTAGGAACAACCTGCGTAGCAATCCCCATGGTACTCAATGGAGCCATCGGCGCAAAACTCCACATACCATTTTCCGTCGCAATTCGAGCATCCTTCGGTTATTACTTTGCGTACTTTTGCATCATTTCAAGATCTATATTGGCCATGTTTTGGCTGGGTATTCAAGGTGCTAATGGAGCAGGGTGTATTACGGTTATGATATTGGCTATTTGGCCTAGTTATGCAAACGTACCGAATCATATTGCGGAGGGACAGGGAATTACAACACAAGGAATGATAAGGTATGTTACTCTGTAAGAATAAATGGGAGAGGATACTAATAGCATGATTTATAGTTATTTTCTTTTCTGGATAATCCAACTCCCGCTGCTCCTCATACCACCTACACGCCTCCGTTACCTCTTCGGTGTAAAACTTATCGCAGCCCCTGTTGCTGCTCTTGCAACGATGGGTTGGTGTATCCACAAAGCCGGCGGTTCAGGTTCGATCTTTGATCTCCAACCTACAGTCTCCGGATCCGCAAAAGCTTATCTCTGGCTTTCTTGTATGTCTTCCGTAACGGGCACATGGGCTACATTATCATGTAACATACCCGATTTCTCTCGCTACGCACGATCATCCAAAGCTCAATTCATCCAACTTCCTTTTCTTCCCGTGATTTTTACCCTATGTGGTACAATCGGCATCGTCACTACTTCAGCCACGGGGATCATCTACGGAAAACCTATCTGGGACCCCCTCGAAATTATTTCAAAATGGCTAGATCTAGGACACGGAGGACGCGCCGCTGCATTTTTCGCAGCAACAGCTTGGTACATCGCACAAGTCGGCACAAATATTACGGCAAACTCAATTAGCGCAGCAAATGATCTCACCGTTCTTTTTCCCCGCTACGTTAATATCGAACGTGGATGTATCATCGCAGCCATAGTCGGAGGCTGGGTCATCGTCCCCTGGAAAATCATCAGTTCGGCCGAAACTTTCCTCGCCTTCATGGGCGGGTACGCAGTCTTCCTCGCACCTATTGCTGGCATCCTCGCCGCAGACTACTGGCTCGTCAAAAATCAACACATCGATGTTCCCGCCCTCTACGATCCAGATGGAAGATACAAATACTGGTTTGGAATTAACTGGCGCGCTTTATTAGCATTACTCATAGCCGTCGCTCCGAATTTACCGGGATTGGGATACAGTATTGGATTACAGACAGATGCGACGACAGGGATACAGACGGATACGGTAAAAATTAGTGAGGGTGCGAAACATCTTTATACTTTTGATTGGCTTTTTGGATTCGTGGTTAGTGTGTTGGTTTATACGCTACTTAGTTGGATGTGTCCGGCTCGAGAATCCTTGCTGGATCATACGGTTTATGGGGATGTGGTGGAGGGCGTGCAGAGTGATATCGATATGGATAGTGGGGGTGAGTGTGCTATTGTGGGTATAGTTGGTACTGGGGAGAAGAGTAGAGGGCATGCGAAGGAGAGAATGGGAATTTGATGCGCGTACAATGGTTTCTGTGAAGTGGCGTACTCTGGGATTGAATCATGACTCTATTTTGAGAGGGGAAAAAGGTGCGGGGTGGATGAACAGGGTAATATACGCATACTAAGTAGTTTTTAGAATATTCATTTTAGAGATAAAATAAGACTTACATGCTACAGAAGATATTTGCTTCATATCAAAATCAAATTCACACAAATAACAACATGTAACACATAACACAAACCCCAAACTCATCAATAATTCTATATTCTTTTCCATCCAAACACGATAATTACACATCAAACCAGAACAATTTTGAACCCAAAATGTCATACATATACTTAATAACTAAGGAAGATAAATACAAAATACAAAACACAAACACACCTAAAAAGAAAAAAGAAACAAATCCAACAGAAATCAAACCCCGCCATAATAACCACCAATTCACACTTCAATTTTATTTCCTCCCCCCCATCATCTCAACTAACCTCTCAGCCGCTCGACCTCGTTCTAGTCCTTGTATTTCTTGAAGTTAGTCCCCGTCTCCCACCCCCTGCAGATCGCTCCACCCCATCATCTCTCGCCACACCATTTACCTCCTGTGTATCCGCCTCATATTCTTCCCAAATCACATCTAAATCCTCTTCTACATCCTCATCTTCATGTTCATCTTCAAAATTGAAAAAGTTCGGTTTGGACTGTGAGATATTTCTCGGAGTGCGTGTACTTGGTCTTCTCGACACTGGTTTTGCTTTCGGTTCTGGCTCTGGTTCCGTTTCTGTTTCTGTTTCCAGTTCTGGTTCTGGTTCCGGTTCTAGTTCCAGTCCTGATCCTTCCTCTTCTTCTTCCTCTTCTCCAGACTCTGATTCAACACTGGGAGTTTGGATTGCCGTGCGCATACGTTTAGTTGATCGAGTAGCGGGTGGACTTAATTCTTCTTCTGGGATAGGAGCGGAAGCTTTACGTTTCGTAGGGGAGACTGGAAGGATAGGTTGTGGACGAGAGGATTTAGGTTTGCTGGGTGTTTTTCTTATGATTTCGGGTTCTGGCTCAGGCTCGTAATCACCAAGTAAAAAGAGATCTTCGTCGTCTTGATAGTGTGCTAAGTCATCGTTTTCGATACTGTGGTGTATTCCTTCGTCTTCGGAAGATATCCATGATGCTTGAAATGCGTAGCCGGTTTTTTGGGCGTTGGGACCAAATTTTTGGGACCCCGCTCCTCCACCAGAAGCTACTAAAGCCGTAAAATTTGCTTGGCCCGGTTCGGGGAGTGGGGTCAGATTTCTGTCAAGGGTTTGCGCATTCATTGCATTGGCTCTTTCGAAATGCTCCAACAACGCTTTGAGTTTACTGACATCTCTAGTACTACCGTCTTTGAATACCTTTGGCACGCCGATTACGTCTGCGATACCTTGATAGCTGCGGTGACGATAATGATCTTCGATTGGAATGTTGTTTCCAGGATTTGAGCCGGGTACGGCTATTCCCTTGCCACAACCAGGGAATGGACAGGCGAATGGATGAGCTTGTTTTGGATCAAAGTGCGAAGACATGTGTTGAAAAATTTCCGCGCGGCTCATGCCAACGGTGTGGAAATTACACCCATAGAGAGCCCACGGGCACTTCCCAAGATTTTCTTTATCCTGAGCGTAAGGTATCAATGGTCTGTCTTCTTGCGGAAGATGTGACTCTCTCTCGGCTAATGCTCTTTCGCTTTCGGCGATCTCGCCTTCTCGCTTAGTTATCCAGGAGAGAGTGGCTGCATTTTTGGCCGCGACGCGATTCAGTGTTGCGGTGCGGGCTTGAAGCTCTGGATAAAGTTTGGTGAGTCAGCTATGGTTACACGACCCGTAAGTGGACGAGGTGCAATCCAGATACGTTTTACGAGCTCTTCAAGATCTGAAATACGCTCTACGAGATTCTCAAGTTCTGGAAGAAAAGAAGGAGTATCAGCTTGATACCCTTCGAAAAAAAAATGGATGGAGCCAAGATTTTGAAGGGATTATTGGCATTGGAGGAAATTAATCAATCGTAGTGACATACCTTCAATTCGATGCTTTAAATTCTCCGGCTCTTTTGTTCTGATGGAACAGTACACTCTATGGTCATCCAATTGCGCTTCGTTGGCACCAAACAATTTTGTGCCACATCTCAAGCAATACTTCTTCGGCAAACCTTGTGGTGATGTACAATGGTCGTCATGGTTCTTGATTTCGTCTGAACCCCATGCACTCTTGTCAATGCCACATTTAGTACAGAACTTTTCACCTTGAACTCGATTCTTAGCGGTACAGTTGATAACATGAGAACCGCGTTCTGCCTCGTCCTCAGCTGTACGATTTTGACCACAATCGCGGCAGAATGAAGGCGCTAGGTCGAGTGGTCCACGATCTGGCTTATCAAGGCATACATATCTGTGATGAACTAATTCGGCATGGTTACAGATTGCGGTACGAAGTCCACACTTGTCACAAAATTCGACAATGCCTGGTAAATGATCCGCCATATGGCGAATAACCTGTTCCGCTGTAAAACCACTAAGTTTGGCATCGCATAAGGGACATTCAATACTGTTCCAGAAATTGCGGATCATTGCGGTATCTGCCTCCACTTGGTGGGTTTCTAGATGCTCTTTCTTTTGCTCCATGGTCATAATGGACCAAGATTCGCGCTCGCAAAGGGGACACTGCCCTTCCCTCTGAAGCTGAATAAGATGCTGCGCATAATGCGTTTGTATTTCAGCATGTTCATAACCAGCCAGGGTCACTGAGCAGACAGAACAGTTGTAGGTTCGTTCCAGCAGTCCATTTCTTAATTTTTGATTCTCCTCTGCTAGTTGCAAGATATCAGTAGGGGTCAAGCGCTGCGTATAAACTGAAGGAGTTTGTATAGAAACTCCTAAGGACAACTCTTTACTGGGCCCGTAGGTGGGTGCTGAAGGATCAAACCCAGGTTCAATGACAGATTGATCCTGAATGTAAGAACGACGTTGCAATGCATCTTTACGATGTTGATCTGTCATCCAAGTCTCCCATTTTGGAGTTATTGTCTTTTCAGCGGTGGCTAAAATGAGTCGTGTTTTGTTAATACGAGGCTGTTGAAATGTATCGACGACAGGTGCTACAGGTACTGGATTGAGGTCCACCGGAGCAGGAGGAGGTAATTGACGAGTGTGTCTATAACCCCATGGGATAGTATCAGGCTGTACTGTAAAGCTATTAGTCGATAACATCGTCTTGATCTTAAGGGAACTTACTGAAAGTCCTAGTGCCTCTCCGCTCTACATAGATATCTGTCTCAGTGAACCAATCGAAGATATACCTTCTCCAATAACTCTCCGTGGTTCTCCGATCTACGCCAAATACATGGTTCTTATGTGGTCCCATCAAGACAAAGTTCGAGTCGAGAACAGGGTCCCAATCATCATACATTTGACTAACATTTGCTCTGAAGTTCTCGAGCGAAGTATTATGTTGTTCGTCAGTCGTATTCCATTGCCAGATACGGGCAGGCTCTTTATGGTCCTGAATGGTGAAAACTCGATACTCCGGACGGAACCAAATATTCGAGAACGTTTGAATACGACCGGCAAAAGCCTCAGTCAGTTTTCGACGCTTCTCTGCGTCTGAATCATGGCTGTGAACTTGCATTATGACGGATGGGTAGTTCTCCTCACGTTCTGTGGCGCTAAACCACATCGCAATAGCGCTACCGTCCGGGAAGGTAGAATTTCGACGATGACGGTGAACTTTTCTCAGTCGTTCCAGGATGTAATCGTAAATCTGCTGAAATTCCCACCGTTTAAATACCATATCGATCTGGTGATCATCTCCAATGAGGTGGAGGCTTAGTGCCTGCTCGGGTCTTATTCCGTGATCGAGAATTGGAACTGTTAGAGTGAGCTGGCACGATAATGGATTGGCATCAGGGGCTGGTGGATTCCTCTTTTGTTCTTCGATCCGCTCTTTTAGCCAGTTCCAAGTTTGGGAAGTTACTTCCATACCACCAGTACCAATGTAATGTTGGAAATCCTTTCCATCCTGTGAAGTAAAAAGATTTACGTTACGACAAGGACGATCTCTACCGAAAATGGCAGTGAAAGCTCTAACGAACGCAGGCTGTAAATGATTGATACAATATGGGTGTGGCTTCTCTGATAGGTCTAAAGGTACTTTCCAATAACTCTCCGTTCTGTTTTGTTGATTGGTCAGCCTAACTATCTGAATGTTATCTGCAGCTGGTTCGACGACATTTAGTTGTGCTGGCGCATATCCACTAACATTACGAACGAAGACTCTCGCGTTGTTACTTGCTGCACCAAGGAGGTACTCATCCCTGAGAGCGAGAAAATCGTTTCTGTATTGCATTCTAGTAAAATGCATTGGTGACAGTATGCGATCTTGAAGATGAACATCAACCAAGAAAGACCAATTGGATCTCGGATCTATGTTCAAAAGTTTCGTGACGCCGTGTTTGAAATCAAGATATGTTGGAGTGGTTTCCCTCTGTCCAAAATACGAATAAATCTTATGCCTGGATACTTTCCTACTCTCATCAGGGAACTCTCGGGCCAAACGACCCAAATCCTCATAGAATTCAGGAGTATGTTCACCAACAAAACGCTCTGCTTCGATTATGATAGTGAGTTGATTGTGATCCACTTTGCCAATTGTTTTCTCAATTACTGGCCACTTTGCTGAAAAGTTTTCGTTTGAGTATATTGGAATCGCAATTAGTAGTGGTATGTCTATCTTACGTGGATCTGTCTGGCGGTAAATATCAATGTTGAAGCGCAGGTCCGCAGCATCCGGGAAATTTAGAAGCTCATGTGCAGAAGCAAGGAATTCTTCTGAAGTCAGATGTGTACGGCGAGATTGGTGTACAGGACCTGGGCCCAATAGATCAAGGTAGAGCCCTTTCAGTGCAGGCTCTTTACCAGCCCCGCCACGCATATTAATGGTCGAACCCCATTCACAATCACTACTATCTGCAAAATCCAATTCTTCAATAGAACCAGCACCACCTCGCATGCTTACTCGGGGACCTGCTTATGTTAGCGGATGCATCATAAAGAAATTTTAGGTAACAAACGTCGGATTATTTGGTATCCAAAAGCTCTTTCGAAGTATGAATCCAAGAATTCCAGAGGCTTCTCGGAATAAACAATTCTTTGTGTTCGAGGGGGAGAAGGGGCGGGATCTTCTTCATCATCCTCGGAATCTCTCCATTCTGGAGTGAGGACCATGATATTGTTCAATGTCATTGGAGCTACAGGAAGACCAAAGTGAACCATTGTCATTTTTGTGGCGAGATTATCGAGTTGCCCATCGAAGCGTCCATTGGGACCAATGTTTTCATAATAGTCTCTACTTTGTTGATCTCTAACAGCTTGAACCTCATTACTCCACGCCTGAGGGTTGATCAGAATCTTTTGGATCTCTTCAAAGTGATCATCAAGAACGTCAGATATTTTCTGGGATTTGAGAAGCTCGGCATAGTATGCACGGGTTTCTTGCCAAAGGGGACTTTCGGGGTCAATATCCGGCATCCATTGTAGACTTCGGCTTTTGTTATTAAGCTCGTCAAAAATTTTCTTGTCTAATTCCCCATCAAAGTATTTATCAATAGCGTTCGCTTGCTCACGTCGTAACTGGGAAATTTCTGGCTCCGAGAGGGGCCTAGTATTCCGAGGAGCAACAGGAACTTCGACTGGTTCAATGGGTTGGGGCAAGAAGTAATCCTTCAAGGATGAGAATATATCTCTCAGAGCTTGTCCGGTTGGAAATCCTGCCATATTGGGCGATGATGGTTGTGAAAGTTCAGGAAATAAAGATGGAGATACTATCTCAATAGATAAAAGATCAACAAAGACGAGGAGAAATATACACGGTTAAATTATCAAATAATTGAGCTTCAGAAGCTACCAATTCCTTTGTCGGCACAATTGACCGGAAAGATGTATCAAGGATGACATCTTTGATTTGCGTGAGATACTTGTCCACTTCCTCCAATTCCATAGAGTAGCGAAATTGCATTGTTAGAATTCTTTGATAATGATCAAAGACTAATGCATATGATGATCTTGATTGGATACAGACAATTCAGGGACATTGAAATGGAAAAATAAGTCGTTTGCGGTATTGGAAATCAAAGAATCATTTTCTGCTGCAGACATTCTTTGATAGTCATTAAAACTTCAAAGTTTTGCTAGACGGTAACTTGCGACAGCAACATTTATGGCGAGTCGCTATTAAAATACGGTAGGTTTATGTTAGTTATGATAGCAGCCGGCATAATACTTATCAAAAGAAAGAAAAGATTGAGATTTCATAATTGAGGTGCTTGTTGAAGTTTGATACGAACAGAAACAAGAGAAAAAGAAAGAGGAAGCCCTAGAAGACCGAGTCACATGATTCAAATCAACAAATTTCCTCTTGCGACTTCACGAACCTTTAATAAGTTCTAGTTAAATGACATAGCGACCTGGGAGATCGAGATATGGACACATTGAACGACTGATCGCCATAAAATCTAACATTGGGTTTGAGCGTATTGTACATTGTCTAGGATCAGATTTTATATGTTCTCATGGCATTGCTTTCTTACAGCCGTGCGAGTTCACACCATACGATAGTATCGTCATACTTACGAGGACGGCACAAATGTTCATCCACTTTCTTATGGCCCTAGATTCATAAATCTAGATTCACGTTGAAAACAGAGAAGTGTTCTTTTTCCATCACCTTTATTTGAGCTTCATTTCTCGTAGCACGTGATGGTCAAAAAGCGTGACGTGTCACCCAGATGTCTAGCAGATAGGTTCGAGAGTGGCTGTACGATAGTAAAATAGGTACTTAATTAGATCGGCATAATCTTATAGCTGAAAGATTTTTGAACTATACTCTTTCTTTTTGGCCCAGTTCGAAGTGGCATTGACTCAAATCGGTTTGGACCTTGGTGGATATTCATATTGAACTGGAAGGCGGAGGTTAGATATTTTACTAGGTATCTTGCCATTGTTGCTCATTCTGCTATTCTAGAGTACATTCGTTCTAACTTGACCTATCCATGACAGCATTTAAGTACTCATTAATTTCTTCGACTTTTCCGGCCAGCTCGTCCTTCTCTTGGCTTTTACAAAGAAATTATTCGGTCGAATCAGTTGAAATGACGGGTCGTATTCCACAGGCTCGTTACCTATCTTCTCAAACTGATATCTATATATTAACATTGAAATAATGACTTTTACTTCCTGCAATGCGAAATTAAAACCGATACACATTCGAGGACCAGCTGCGAATGGTACATATGCGGTCTTATGTCTCGCTTTCACTTTTTCTGTATTCCAACGATCAGGATCAAATTCTGCTGGGGAGTCCCAGACCTTGGGATTGTTGTGAATATGATGAATGCCAATGATCATTATGGATCCTTTGGGAATGCGGTAACCACCTGGGACAATTACATCGGCGAGAGCGGTACGACCTGGTTGGTAGGAGGGATTGTGGAGACGTTGAGTTTCTTTGATGAGAGTCCCAAGAAACTCGAGCGAATTTGCAAGATCGGGTGTCCATTCTGTATCCTCGGTGACATCGTGGTCAACAAGTTCTTGAAGCAAGCGTTCTTGATTGCCGGGATATGAAGCAATACTATATAGCAGCCAACTGAGAAGTGAAGCTGTCGTGACGAATCCAGCTCCTATGACTACTAGTGATGCATTGGTGCGATATTTCTCCGCAAGCTTGTTGCCTTTCTCATCGGTTGCTCTAGTGAGGTAATCAACAATACAAGACGCCTTCAAAGCAGCATCTTGAATGGGCAAATCTTCGGTTCCACCAACTTTAACGTTTTTGATAGCTTCTTCTATCAGCTCTTTCACTTGTGCTTTGTTCTCCTTCAATTGTTTTGGTGCTCCCCATGGCATGTGAGCATACCAATCTCCCATCGTGGAGACTTTCTTGTTGAGTTCCAAGTTGTGACCGACAAGCTTTACGAGGTCATGAAGAGGTGCATCGACCGAGTCAAAATGGTGCATTTCCATTCCCAAAGCCAGTTTTCCGATAGCTGTGGAACCCATTTTGAACATATATTGGTACGCATTCCAAGCTTCACCCCGCTCGTCCAGTTCATCAAATACCTTAAAAGCTTGCTCAGCTGTGTTCTGCATTTGAGGTGTATAATGCCTAACAGCTTTTGGACTGAGTGCTGGTGCTAAGAACTTGTGCGTTTCTTTCCAAGATTCGGTATCGGTATCGGACAAGAAGACACCTGCCAGATCATCTCTGATACCATATAATGGATGATCAGAAGTGATGACTTTTGACCAGTAACCTCCTTCTCCAAAACAAACATTGGCTACCTTAGGATCATTAGTATAGTAAGCCGTACGACCCATATCTGTAGTTTTGAACACCGGCCCATACTGATCAAAAAGACGTTGATGATTCCCGAGATGATCAGGGTACACTTCATAGTAACTTCCGGCGATGGGAAGACCTGTTGGTCCAGGGACATCTCTGACTTGGTTTCCATCAATGAGGATACCGATCGGGGAAGAAGCATCTACGAAGTTGTCAAGATCATCAAGGACACCATCTTTATCGGTTTGAAACGAAATTCCTAACAGTGTATTAGAGTTTGCGTAGATTATTCAAAACATGATGGGTTTACCTGATGGATCCGCAATCGAGAACTTTTGGGCGACAATGTATTGTAAGTACTCGAAAGTGTTTTGAAGATCAACCTCGAGTTCTTCGGCAGTCTTTGCTGGCTGACCCAGTAGAATGAAGGACTTCTTGACCATATTAAAGTTATATTTGGGTATATCAGGAGAAGAAATTAAAAAAATGTTGTAGAAAAGTGCTATGAAGTAAGTATCAAGTTAGATAAAGTACGAGGACTGAGTTCTATGATATAACCAGTCGATTTGTGGTATCAGCTTGCTTTGAATAAGAAATCGTTGGGCCTTCACGCCCCCCTATTTAGCCTCCCCACTATTATCACACATCTCCAATCTTTGGAAAAAGAAGTTGACTTCCTTGAATGATTCATCTTCGCCTTGATTGATCGTTATCATTTTTTGCTCTGAATATATGAAGTATTACATGGTTTCAAAGAATTTATTTTTATATATTTTACAAGGATCAACAGGAAGCGTTATCCAAGAAAAGCTAATTCCTTCTCATAGTAGGGCCGGCTAAGTGGCGGGGCCCCTGAACAGCCGACGATTATTCTGGAATATAACGAAACTATTTAGAAAAAATTCTTTCATGCAGCTTCTTGAACGTTACCATTGGTAAATCACTTGTGGGTACCTAAACGGCGTCCCCGTTTCCCGAATTTGACCGCGGCTCCTCGGTATGTTTCTGTTTCTTCACCAATTTATTTACAACGTGCCGAATAATCTACACTGGGTACGGAGTACCGTCTTCTAAACTAACAGATAAGGACTCACACTAAGCCCTTTTCTGACACGGATCAATGAAGGGCTAGGGTTCAAAACATGCTTTTTCAACCTCCTATCGCAATATCAGACATTCGGGTTTCAATTGACCTATGAAATCATTGGAATCTCAGATTATTCATGACTATTAAAAGTTGCCAGGCACGATTTCAGCACTTGAACGGGAAGTCAAGTGTAGAACTAATCGCGGTTCCCGAGCTTCATGAGACTGAAATACCCATTCTAATAGGCGATATTGCAACTATTTCATTTCAAGGGTTTTAGTGTGAGTTCTTACTTGTGAGTTGAGATGTTTCTCGTACAGTCAATATCCATAAGAAGTTCAAAATAACCTCATGATGACCGGTCGATAATGGAGTTAGGTAATCTCAGTTTCCGAGCCGCTGAACTGGGAGATCGCCTTAGTGGGGCCATTTACCCATGCTAGTTCGATCGTTCTGTCGGTAATGACTTTTTGACTTTTGAAACTTCTCGGTAATTGACATGGGAGTCTTTTTCTTGGCTAAGAAAAATATGATTAGACCTCGGATTGCTGGCAGCGTTCGTTGGACGGTGTAAATTTATTTTTGAGGTCATCTCCACATATAATGACGTGTATGTATGTGTTAGCTCTAAGTGACCTCGGAATTGGTCTCAATAAGTACCTAGGTAATCAATGGCATCAAGGGAGCTAAGCCGAAACTGCTTCTTCAGCCTCCAAAAGCTTGGCGATTCCTTTCTCTTCGCCATTCAAAGTCATTCATTATCACTGTTGGGAGAAGATTCTCCGTTGCACCTCCATCAACCGTACTCAAACTCTTCCACATTACCAAAATTTATATCATCATGAGCGGAATCAAGCAAATTTCTCTCGCTGAAGTCCAGAAACACAACAAAAAAGATGATCTGTGGCTAATAATTCATCACAATGGTGCGTATTTGCCTCTACATATTCTCGACCATGTATTAATAGTTTCACAGTTTACGATGTAACCAACTATCTTGAGGATCATCCTGGTGGAGCAGATTCCTTACTTGAAGTCGGAGGACAGAATTCGACGGTTGCTTTTGAAGATGTTGGGCACTCAGCTGATGCGCGGGAAACGATGGAATCATTTCTGATAGGCAGGTTAGAAGGTGCACCTGATGAGGCAGATGAGGATAGAGGACTACCAATGCCTAAACCAGATTTGAAAGCAAAATCCAAAGATCAAGACTTTAACAGTGAAGCTCCACTCATAACTGTAGGTAGGGCTGGACTGAAGGTTTTCTCGCTTGGATCGGCGCTTTTCTTGGGCTTCGAAGTTTATTCCAAAACGCCAAAAATTGGATGGCTTCCTGCGCAGCATGGAGGATTTTGGAAAGGAGTGCTTGTCTCGAGTATTGCTACATTATCTGTTGCGGCAGGAGTAGGTCTTTACCTTGAGAAGGCACTATCAAGACCTGAAAAAAATCCCTATTCATACCCATCGCATTTCAAACCATCTGTTTTCATTGCTAAACCGATTACGAAAGTCAAAGGATATCTACAGCCTGAAAACTACCAGAAGTTACCGTTGGTTAAAAAAGAGAAGATATCTTCGAATACGTATCACTTAGTATTTAAACTTCCAGGAGATGATACGATACTCGGTCTTCCAATTGGACAACATATTAGCATTCGAGCGGAGATTGACGGGAAGCTTGTTAGTAGATCATATACACCCGTTTCTAATAACTCTGATCCCGGGGAACTTCGATTGGTTATCAAGATGTATCCAGACGGGCTTCTCACAGGGAAATATCTTCAGCATCTTAAAGTTGGCGAGGAGATTGAGGTACGTGGACCAAAGGGTGCCATGAGATATCGAAAGGGGATGGTAAAGGAGATAGGAATGATCGCGGGTGGAACAGGAATCACACCGATGTATCAGGTAATTATATCTACTCTGCCCTACAGGATTGGAGCTGACATGAACAAGTTAATTCGAGCAATATGTGAAGATCCAACGGATAGGACATGCGTTACTCTTCTCTATGGTAACAATAGTGAAGAGGATATTCTTCTCCGGGAAAAATTAGACGATTTCGCAGAGAAATACCCCGAGAACTTCAGAGTCCATTACGTACTATCCAATCCATCCAAAGATTGGCAACGAGCTCAAGGATACGTAACCAAGGAGATGGTCGAAGAAGAATTCCCAAAGCCAAGTGACGATAGCAAGGTGTTACTTTGTGGACCTCCTGGTTTGATTGAATCTATGAAAACTAGCTTGGTAGAGTTGGGCTGGCAGAAACCAAGAGCAGTCAGTAAACTGCCAGATCCGGTTTTTTGTTTCTAGTTGCATATCGATCATCTGATTGTTTGGATAGAGCTCTGGGTACTATTGAAGGATGAGAAAGGTGAAAGATAGGGGAAGCAAAAAAATTCTCATTATATAATACCATATAGACTTATAGTTATTTTCGTAATTACCTTCAAGACTCACTATGCCTCTTAAAATTCATCACATTTATTCGCATATGTCGTATATTGTCAGGTATTTTTTTTTTTTTTCAGAATTTGTAATCATCTGTTCTATTAATTTTACGCCTCCTTTCTTTCAATCCTCTGAAGCCAGTAACGCGTATATCCGCTCTCCTCCGCTGCATATGCGAACTTCCAACCCGTCCAACCTTTGAAGTCAAATCTGGAGAATTCCAAGATGTTAGGTTCCAAAGCCACAAAAAATTCCTTATTAAATTATCCTCTATACATAAAAACACCGCATAAATCCAACACCCAAATTCTCAAATCCTCACACCATCAATCCGGTATCCCATTATAAGTCTTACAATACCCACATCCACCACATATAAAGCTGACTAAAACAAACTTCTAATATAACCTTAACAATCTCGCATAGCCAGATCCGAAGCTAGGCTAGATACTCACCCCTATCAATATTATCATCCACACTAGCACAATAACACATTAGCTGCAGATATATAGCTTACCCACCCGCAGACCGAAACCTCGGTACCGGCACGTAGGTAGGGGTGGAATTTTAATTTGTTTATTAATTAGTTGATGTTATCTAAGATTCAGAATCTAAGATCTTACATGGTAAGTAAGGAAGATTACGGAATCAACGCTATTCTTGTACGGGTGGATTTTTGCTAATAGTGGTATTATATGTGCCGAGGCTGGGTTGGGTATTTTCTGGGTGGGGGTTTCGGATGGCGGAACTGTGTATTGAAAATTATACTGTATTACCTATCTAAAGTTCTATTCATAGGTAATAAAGAGAGCTTATGTAGGGTAATTCTAGTATACGGGATCCCGCGTAAATGGCTTTAAGGCATCCTGCAGCACGATAAGTTGAAAGCACAATTCCCGTGAAGGGATTTACGATCCCGACAACTTGGCACACGGTTAAGATTATATCATCCACTCGATCAAACCATTCCACTAGCTAGATATAACCCCGTCATATCAGAAAACCATCTCATAATCCAAACCGAGCATCAGAAAACCCCAGAAGATAATCTTACAAAATCCCAATTTGGACAATATATAAAAAATCTAAAAATTTATATAAATAATCACAAGAAAAATCATACTCGATTACTTAAAAGGAACTTCCTTTCAGAGGAGGAGGAAACTATCAAACTTTCTACTGTTATATCGAGAAATCTTATTTAGAGATAGGAATAGAATAATGAGAAAAAAAAAATACAGCTTTCATGATCTTAGATTTTAGATTTTAGCAGAAAGTCATTTTAGTATGCTAATAATGAAAAGGATTAGATTAGACTGTACTCTAGTAATAGCGATTAATAAAACAAACGTGGATTGGGGGATTTAGAAGAAATTTGTTCGATATAAGTAGCTTACTCCGGATAAATTCCTCTAAACAGTAGTAAACTCATGATTTTCTCAGAAGGATTTATACTCCGTATTATAGGTTGATATCCAAGTACATGTTCTCCTAACCACCACCTGGATAGCAAGATAGCAAGAAAATGCTCGAGGTCCCTTCCTGGATCCGTCAACATAGTGTGTACATTTAGACATAAGCAGATGATATGGAAGAGCGGATTTGAATCATCATGCTAGCATTTAAAATAACTTCATTGGATGATAAACCTAATAACCGTATCCACCAGATAATTTACACATCAAACCGTCGATGCAAGTTCTGATAATTAACCCCCTTCCCGCCAATAAGCTGTCTAGCGGTCCCAAATCACAATAACCCCGCGATGAGAATAATTACAAAGAAAAAGAAAGGAAGAAGTCCAAGTCCTCCTAACCAAACCAAACCAAACCAAGTCAAACCACTAAACCTTAACCGTAATAGTATGAGTAGTACCCCCCTGCAAAACCAAACTAACATACCCATCACTAGCATCCAAAACCGCATCAAAAGCCACGGGACCATCATCCCACGCCATTTCCCCATCTACCGAAATCTCCAGCACAGAATCGGCTTTCGCAGAAGCGCCAAACTGAACAGGTAAACTAACCGTTCCAGTTGTATCGACGGGAGCATCCACACTCAACACAAACCAACCACTAGAATTAATACTCCAATCCACTATGATAGGACCATGAGGAGTAGGAACCTGACCCTTAGCCCAAGAGAGATCACCAGGATAGGGTTTCACGCTCCAGGTGGAAAATCCAGGTCCGGTAGGTATAACGCCTAAAACATAATTACTCATTTCGGGTACGATACCGGTACTCCATCCATGAGCCATACTTGTAAAACCTCCTTGGTATGCGCTTCCATTTGCTCCGATACCTTCCCACATGGTGATTTTCGGATCATTGTTTGCCATCCAGCCGTACAATCTTCTGATTTCGTCGAAAGCGCTGGATACGAGGTTTGTCTTGAATCGAGCGGATATTTCGAAGAAGGAAATAAATGCGTAGACACGCTGAGAGAAACCATCGGACAAAACATCATTGTCGTAAAATGAGTTACCGTAGAAGCGACGATTGGCGCTATTGAGGTAGTTGAGAATCGAGGTGGAGCGGGATGTATTCGTAACTCCTGCGAGGATAGATATAGAGTTTCCATCTTGGGAATGGGTATTGCATAATCCATTTCCGCAGCCTCCATCGAAAAATGCACCTACTGAGTTATCGAAATTGTGTGAATTCAGTGCATCGGATACAACTTTAGCGCGAGCGAGCCAGCGAGAAGCATCGGCGGATTGTCCTTGAGATTTAGCGATGGCAGCGGCGTTCTCAAGGGCAAGGACATAGAGAGCACTGTAATACGTGACTGGACCTATACGAGGAAGAAATGCATAGTCACCATAATCTCCAGAGACACCGACTCCTTTCCAGATGAGAGTGGTGCCGGCATCTGTGACTGATGGGTAGAATACGTCTAGGCATTTAACGAGATTGGGGTAGTATTTTCGAATGTAATCGTTGTCGCCAGTATACATCAATAGGTCGTAACTAGAAACAATCCACCATAATGGATAGTCGAGAAGATGAAGCTCATAGCCGGCACTATTTGATTGTTAGATAAAGATTATGAACAGAGGTTGAACGGAAATTTACATAGATGCGGGAGGAATCCATCCATCGGCACGTTGATGATCTGCCAAGTCAGCAAGAACATTACGAGAAGCTTCTGGTTTATTATGTGACAAGAATAATGTCTTTCCTGCAACTGCAATATCACCAACATATGGATCTCTATCTCGTTTTGCGCCATCCATTAGAACTAATTTACCATCGAGCGTCAGGCTAAATGCATTTCGAGGCTCGGTGGAATTGAGAGTGAAAATGTCGGTTGCTATGTCATTGGTGTATACACCATCATACCACCATTGATTGAGATCCTCATCGGAACTTTCAAACCAACCCGTGAAGGTGTCTGGTGTACCGCGGACACCTGAAAACTTCAAGCTCAAGTAATCGATAGCTACCGTTCCATATGGTACAGTATATGGGGCATCTTCAGGCAATGCGTCGAGAAAGATTCTGATATATCGGAAACCGTGAATGCCATCTGCACATACTTTAGTACCATATTGACATCCATGTTCATCCTTCCAAGTGTAACTCTGATTAGCGACCGAGATCTAAATCATTCCCAATCAGAAAAGACTCATCAGAATCGGAAGAACATGGACCACCATACCTGATCAGATCCAGGGGTGATTGAATCGCCCTAGATTGTATTTAATATAAGCTACCCTTTCAAATATCTGAGAATGTACTTACGTGGTTGGACCTTGAAAAGTCACTGACGTCAGATATGTATTCCAATCTCTCGGAAAAGGCTAGCCGGATGCCAGGAGGAGTTTTGGAAGCACCGGCAAAGTTAATGCTCAAGTATCCTGCCATGTTTTGTCCAAAGTCAACGGTGATCGAAGGGATATTAGCTGATCCGTTAGCTCTAGTCAAAGTCGTAACTTGGCCACCTCTTTGAAGGAGAGCATCGGGATTAGTGACTTCTCCCGACATGTTGGCAATGCCTTGAGGTGCGATTACACTAGAAGAAGGAGCTCTGACATATTTGTGCCAGTTTGGAATAGCACTAGCGTATTTCTTTGAGGGATGTTGGTTTTGATTTTGGTATGTAGAAGATCGTGGCAAAGAGTTCACTAAATTTGTAAAGATGAAGATACGGAGAAACAAAGGAATTAAATGCAACTCCCTAAAAAGAGAAGAAGGGGAGAACATTGTGCAAGTAAAACGAGTAGATTTAGAATTGCAGTGTTCAATTGAAAATTTCTGCGGGATGATCTAACTGCACTTTTTAGCTTCCAAGCTCATACCTTTATATGGGGAACAGGACTTCCTTGTAGACCTAGTCATGTCCCTTGCTTGAAATCGTCCATAACACTCAATGACCCGAGATGCCGAACCCTTAAATGTTTAAGATTATTCTTGGCTTGTAGGTTTCTCCGCAATATGGCGTCTGGGGTAAGTGGCTTGATGGAGTGAATAAGGGGCACCGACTTGGACCTCTGTAGATATTTTGGCGACAAAATCCCATGATCAGCGACCACAAACTTGAGCATCACGGAGATTAATGCCAAAGTTAAGATCAACGTCAAATATATCAGAAGAAATGATCATTGTGAAATAGGCCACCGGATCGGATCATTTTTGAGACAAAATTATGTCCGAAAGACGGCGCTTAAGTCTTTTCACGTAATTTCATGGTGAAATGTGTGTGAGATACCTCGCGTACCTGATTGCTTCGCCAAGGTCCGAAACCAGCTGCCACCAATGCCTGTTCCTCAAATACATCACATAGAGCAGGAAAATTGTAAAAACTTTTCCCAACTGTTGCCTCTTTAAATGCAATCGAATTGGAGATGAGTATGATGCGGAGCTTCGGGTTATGCTCTCGCGAGTGTATTGAATCTTCTTTTTGAGTCAGTATCTGCAATGTAACACAAGGATAAGTGCCGGCTAAAGAACTGGGACGGGTACGTACCGAGGTCAGCCGCTAAACACGCAAATATATGCAGCTTCATAGTCACGCTAACTAAATTTCCATCCTAGTAATTTATTATGTGTGAGTGATGATCGGGGTGATTAAATCATATGAGATGATATGCCGCATTTGAGCTACTTTTGAGATATATTGGTTTGGAGTAACCACCCCTTAATCTTTGCCACTAGAATTTGTAGTTATTGTTGGTTCTTGGATGGAAAATTTAAGATTGATTAAATGTCGTGCCTTGGATGTGGATTCCGCCCGGGAAGCGACCCAAGTATAAGATAGCAAATGGGAAGTATCTTGTATGGAGCCAGAATGGGATTATCATACAATTCATTGCGCGACTATCGAGACCTACGTCCGTTATTTCATTCTGTATCCCATCTGAAGAAGAAATTGAGCAAGAGCTTTAGCGCCCAGGTCTTTAGTCTTGTGCCTGCTCGCGGCGATTCGTCAAGGCGGTACCGGTAATGTCTTGGAAGTGAAGAAGCTGGGCAAAGGAATAAGGGTGAGTGTTCTTCTTTACTTGTGTTCGGAAATGTGCAATGAGAACACCTAGACTTGATAATGGAATTATCATGTGGATTTCACGTGCTGTGTGTCTGGAATTACACTTTTAGCATTGAACCGAAATATTCCTGCATCACCTCACACTCCAAGACCAACTTGGGCAATTACTGCTTGTCTCGGTAAATTCCATATCATTGAGTAGATTCATGAATCCGCCGCATGGTGCCACATAAATGCAGTCCCTATCATTGTCCCTTCTCCTGAAAGCTAAAGCAGTTGGGCTACTGTCTCTTTCTGGTTTAGTCAGCCCAGAATTCTGATTCTTTCTCTTTCTGCGGCTCAATCCCTATCCGGACAAACTTCAAGACTTTATATGCCAAGTTGCGGAAGAGCATAAACCTTCCCTCTGCAATCAAATATCACATCGTCGCAATCAAGTGATTGACTACAATCTCCAGACTGCCCCTTTTTGCACCCGCCATTGAAATCTGATTGCATACTCAAAACTGTTCCACGATCTGAAATTGTCCCAAGGAGACCTGCCTCTGGAAGTATGAAGGCCATTTAGTGCAGTCATGATGACCAGTTGTGCTTTGCCCAGTTTAATCCTGGAAGCCGGTTTGGGAAATTTTCTGTCTGCACATCGAATGCAAAGATTCTGCCTTATAGGGACTTATGCATTGTAACAGCTGCAAGTTTGAGGATCACCCTAGCACAATTTAGACATCCCGCTTCTGGGTAATTTTCCACCAACATCGTTCCCGCTTCACGAACGAGACATAACCACGCAAGTCCAGGAGAATTGGCACCCGAAGCTCCGACTTTCCCGTGCTAACCAGAGGACTCATAGAAATATAAGCGATAACGGGCCAATTATTATATTCGAGAAGAAGCGCGCCATCTGATCGCATAGCAATGTCCTCAAGAGAAAACCAATGAGAATCTATTTATGCCTATGTAGATGAAGTAGAACAAGTTAAATTGGAAATATTTGAATAATGGATGAGATTTGCAGGATAAAGGATAGGAATAGGGCTCGGGGTTCGTAACCTGATGGTAAGATCTGAGAAATCTCTGCCAAGATGCTGCTGCTTCCTAATGTACGGAATATGTACTCTTTTACTACTGTACGACCGTACATAATTAATAGCATTTAACCCACTTAGAACCAAACATATACGAAGATCAATACTAACTAAAAAACGTCCTTAAAATATGGAAGATGAAGGGGTAACGACCGCGGTCGCCAAATAGCTTAGGCATCTCAGCCCTATAATTTCGGAATGAGTCTTTGAAGGCTCGAAAACATGTTGGCGGAGTCGCAGATTACAAATGAGAGTATGTGAAAAATAATTGGCACAGGTTAGTGAGTTCTTAATCGTCCTTCACGACCATAGCAATCATTTTCCCTCATGACAATAACTAGAGCTCGCAGGAAACATGACCCAAGAAATGGCCAAGACTGGGAGCTGAAAGAGCCCGCATTCGATGCTCACATAATTATGAAACCCGACTTTGTCTCCTTCAGCCTTGTCGGTGGGTGATGGAAAATAATCTCTTTCTTACTAGTGGTATAAAAGTCTTGCTCATGCGACAATACTCGGAAGGTCAATATAGAAAGATTTGGAAGACAGGAATAGAGATCACCGTGTTGCGATTTGCGAATAATGACGGTTCTTGCCCTCTTCTTCGACTACTCGAGCATTATCGATAAATGTGTGTTTGACATAGGTTCCATAAAGTCTCGAGGGCGTCAATAATAAAAAAACAGCAGGATGCAAACCTTTCTTAATCTTACCTTCCATCTAACTTGGCCTTTTCCTTTAATGTTGTACTCAGCGAATGGCTATTAGATTACTTGATACTCGGCATCGAGCAGTTTGTGGTGGCTTTGGAAGTTTGTGAATGAGTTTACTCTTTTCGTCCCATCAATCCTCGATCCATCTTTTGTGTTAGCAGATAGCTTACTCCAACGCCCATTGCTGAAAGTAGATGCCATAAGCAAAGTTCTTTGAAACTGGAGAATATTCATCGTGATTGGGAGTGTTGCAGTTTTCCTGATGTAGAAATCTGAATCATCCACGCGCTCGTGTCGTGTCGGATTCAAGGCGGGAAGTCATCGATGGTAATCTTGACTTGAATCTTGCTAAAGAGGAAGAATTTTGATTTCAGTATATCATAAGAAGTTAATAATGCAGAATAACTTCTATATTCATTGTCGTTTGGGGATATGGTGAGGATAATCATCGGTAATTGAGCGTTCAAGTCGTGTCACGTTTGATAAGGTTAAGGTTACTAAGTTTGATAAGAGATGCATATCCCCGGCCGCCGTCTTTCACCATTTCCCAGCCTCAAATATACTTGAACTGTCCTCCTTTCTTCATCGAAAAGCCATATCAATGAATTCTACCGGAAGAGTGAACCTGTGCCGCCTATCATGCAAAAGACACGCCCGACGAACTTGCACGCGATTCATGAGGATGTTTGACCCGTAAGCATACACAATCGGTGAACAAGCAGACCACAAAAAAGATCATCATCAGCCACTAAATGCAATCAAATAATATCGTGGCAGCCAAGTTGATGATGTGGCAAATCACATACAGTTCTAAGAAGTCTAAAACTTCTTCTTGCAAGTAGGTTTATGGGAATGCTGCTGTAATGAAAAAGCACAACGTCTACGAATCCCCAGGTTCTCCGATGAAATGGTTGCGCCATAGCCAGCCTTTTCAATTTTCATTACAGTCTCACACTATCAGATCGAAGGTGATATCATCTAAAGGTATATCCTGTCGATCTCGTCCCCAACTCTAAGGTCAGAAAACAACAATTAACACATTAATTATCGATTCAAAGTCTCCACTCTGGAAGAAAGGGCTGTGTTGAGATTTGCTCTTGCTTCAAAAATCTACGCTCTGGTGGTTGTGCGAATGAGAAGCGAGAAAGACCAACGACCCCTTCATTATGATGTCGTTTATTCGATGCTTTTTTGGCCTCAATAATACCTCAAAGGTTTCGAGGCCAAGAGAATTCAAAAAATCGAATCGCCCTCAAAAACAAGCTCAATTCAATGATCTACTCAAGGATCAACTTCTCTTTTATCCTATACACGGCGAAGTTCCAACAGACTTCAGAGTACAATCCTGTTTGTCTTTGGTGCAAGAGGAAAATGAAGCAATGGATGATGGTAACAATGACGTAGCGAATGCTTGTGTGGGTCGAGACTTGGATCTGAAAGAGAGGGAACACAAACAAGACTCTTCACCAACGCAATCACGAACAATTGTACAACCTCGACAATATCCTCATCGATTTCCAAATAATATCAACGTTAATAATAATCGAATTCATCGAATACCATCAAATTATTCAATTAGTATCTATTCCTCAGACGAAATCTATCCCACCGAGAATATGGAGAGCTTACCAAGGAGAGCTAAAACCCCTGTTTTCTTCATTGGCCAATTAGAAAGAAAAGCTATGGAACACGACCCTTCGGAACGTCTTGCCAGCGAATATCAGACAGTATTACCGCAACGACGTATATCTTCTTATTTAGATCTCCACTTACCTCTCAACCCGGCCAAAAGAACTCTAAGGAAAATCAAATCTCAAGAGAGTCTTCGGGACCTTTGCAAAAGCTACGCTAAATCACCATCTATAGCCTCGGATTCCGAAACTCTTGTCGGATCTGATAGAGGAAGTTCACCACGCGGCTCGATATATAAAGAGGACGAAAAGGATGATACTTTTCGATTCAAGGATGTGTCATCTCCAGCATACGAACCGTCAGAAAAGACCTCACAATTGGATCAAGTGGATCAAGACATTAGTCTCCAGATTTGCTCTGATCTTCTGACAAGCAAATTGACAACCGCACTTCACCAAAATCATGCGGTAGGACAAGAAAATAAAGTCTCAAGCTTAGAGATCTTACTTATGATCGAGGCGTACGAATCGATCAGGAAAGAGTTACTATCAGATCCGCGTGATTTGCACGTGACATATGCTGCTGAAACAGCACTTGATCAATGGATACAGGCTTTGTATACCATATATGAGGACTGCCATGGAATCAATTATAGAAGACCGATCTCGAGCCAGCCAAGATGGAATTCACGAAGATCACCAAAGCCTGTCTCGGCTTTTACTGAACATCAAAATAAGCATGCAAGTCTGAAAGGATTTGGCCACTCGAATCCCTGGCCCATTGAAATTCGAACTTGATAAAGTAACTCGCTTACATTATGCCTTCAGTACTGGATGCAAGTGCAATTTGGATGAGACTCTATGAAAGAATGACCACGACACTCATTTCGAACGATGAATAATCGAGAGATAATCAATCGAGCCACGATGACTTGTAAAAAATATGGAAGTAACGGGAACTACGATCTTGATCATGCTTCTGATACAAGAATTCTCATGGGGAAAACTTCTGTCTGTAACAGAGCTTCGGAGAAGGAAATCGGGACACGCTCGCTAAAATGGGTGTGGATAGCCATTTTTATGTGATATTATGAGGAAAAGAGCCCGCCCGGGATGTTGGATTAAAAAGAGAGAGCAACGGAACCTGAAGAGAGTATTGATTATTGGGAGGAAATTGGCATGAAGTAGGGGCTGTAACAGATATATGATGATGAGGAGAGATCGAGAGGACAAATCCCGTTGCCTTCCTATGCACTTTTTACGCAAGGAAGATGTGAATGGGTTGAATGAAACAGTTTAATGGTTAATGGTTAATGGTTAATGGTTAATGGGTAACGGTAATGCTTTAATGAATAATGAAATACTTATTTCTGCCACTTTTCATGCATTTTATTTAAATTCAGACTCTTCGCTGCCTCATCCACTCGGGACAACTTTGCAGCGAGCAGATATTGATAAGCAATGAGAAGACTAGGCATATTTTAATTCACCTTCTCAAATCAGGTCATGGGGTAGGTACGTTGAGAATTTCATAAGCTACCTCATGTCTCAGTCCTCAGATACCTCGGCTTTTATGTGACTTTTTATTATTTATATACATGTATATATATACAGCATCACAATCACATATCTATGCTTATTCACCCAAAAATTCACACACAAATTCACATTGAAATCAAGACGCAATTATTTTTCAAAATCTTCAATTCTAATAAATATGTCCGGAAAACCCATCAGACTAATGGCGTATGTGTCATACTGTACCTCTCATACCTAAACCCCCAAACCCTAAAATAAAAAGACTTCCTTCCCATTAGAGTTGATTCCACCTTAGGTTGGCGAATCCTAGGGTTTCCTGAGTCTCTATGGGTTTGGAATGTCTATCTTGCATTCTGTGCTCTAGAACCTCTCGACTAACTCTCTTGTTTTCATTGGCAACAGGCTGCTTTTTGAATACTATTTATCCATCACTAGAATCCTCCACCATCAGAATACACCACCCCTTACATCTAATCCTCTTCCTCCACCCCAGAAATTAACTCTTCGCGCCATTGAAGATTCTCCTTCCATCATATCCTATTCATTGATCAAATCCACCATGAATACCTCCATCCCCATCCGCTGATCTCAATAGCTTGAACAAGGGAGACAAAACACAATGCAAAACTTCAACGCATCCGAACAAAGGAAACAAAATCAGACGCATCTTGGGGGACGTCCCTAAAATGGAATTAGTAATGGTACTTGGCTGTACCGCTGTGTATCATTTCACTCCCCTATTTCCTTTTCCTTTTTCCTGCTTTCCTAGCCCAATTATTTTCTCTTCCGGTGGCGCTTGGTATATTGCGCTTATCTTGAACATTCGATTCCACAAAAAGACAAGAGAAACCCCCAGAAGACCCTATACCGTATTTCTACTCCACCATCCATCCATTCATTCCAGCACCCCATCCATTCCAACATTCCACCTCTCTAAAATCCTCCTTGATAACTATCAACAACCACAATTTCATTCTCCTGTCGTGCTCATGTCCCCGTGCTTGTATTTATTTCTAGACCTGCTCCTGCATAGAACCTTGCAGATATGAGTAGGTGGGGTCGAAATAATGCTATGAGGTAGTTCGGAAGAATGAAATCTGGGTGTGGTTGTTGATGGAGATGTGGGAGGAAATGTCGAGAGAGGAATATTGATGAATGAAGATGGGAAATGGGAAATCGATAGCGAGAATCTGTCCGTTGCAGTCGTCACTACTTGTCAGTGTGGACAGGAGTCGTTGGGAATTGATTAGATGGAATAGATGAAGGAGGTCTGTGGGTGATGGGAGGAGGTGGTACAGAGTCAGGTGATTTCAGAGACCTATGTTGGAAGTTAGAATGGAGAAGGTTCTGATACTAGGGGAAAGGTCTTACCACTTTGTTTTGGAGGGGTTTCTCTTTTTGAATGTTTTTGAATTATTTTTCTATAGTCTGTGGAAGTTATTATCGACATCAGGGATTTGATCATGGCGTTAACGTTTTTTTGTGAAAGCCGCCGAGACCGAATAGCAATCCTTTCTAGGACGAAGCCGAATGGGTGTGGGGGTACTTTACTAGATCGCCGCCGCAAATCGAATAAGCAAGAACGAGCTTTTTTCGGAGATATTTTCTTTTTCTTTTTGGCAATGTTTTTTTGGTTTTGCGATATCAGTGGGTGGTGATTCTTACGCCGATGCCAGCACTGGCGGTAAGACTTTTGGGGTTGAAATCGTTGAGGGCGAATGTCAAGAACGATTAGATACTGAGAGGCAGTCCAGATAGACATCGATGGCGAGGCGAAGCTATAGAGAAAGTCCCGGTATTGAGAATTTGAGAGTGGTGTTAATATGCCCGAGGACATCGCTGGCGAGACGATGTCCGTGGGAATTGGTGTTAATGGATGGCGGTAATGGCCATCATAGACATAGCTGATAAGTAATGCGAATTTCGAAAGTAATCCGCTAACAAGGAATATCTAAAGGATTTGATGTCCAGACGGAACTGGGATAGGTGGTAGTAACCGTGTTGGAAATCGCTGGCGACGAAAATCCAATTGGCTCCACAGAGAGTGAGAGTTAGATGTAAGTAAGGGTGTTAGTTAATAATCGGCATAGGCGTCGCTGGCAAACGAGCCTGTATGCTGAAAACATCGTGATGTGAAGATGGAGTTAGATGTGTAAAAAGTTCCCGATGGGTGTCGCTAGTAGCGAATTTCGAGGTGTCTTGATAGCGAGAAGTGGTAATGGTCCAACAAATATCCCTGGCGATGGATTTCCGAAGGATTGTGACAAGAAGATAAGTTAGACGGTTAGAGGTGAGGGTTTGATATTCTCCACAGACACCGCTAGCAAACGAGTGTCCATGTCGAAGATTTAGATATCGGAGAAACTCTCTGCTTAACATGAAGAGACTGTGAGTTTGAAGTAGAGAAGGACATCTTGTGGAAGTGTTCGTATGTCCTTTTATTGAGAAGATGACCAAATTTCCCAGAAGTGCGGAACTGAGTGACCGATAACCAAAAAGACGGACGGTCAGGAGTGAAGAATGAAAAGGAAGGAGCTTTTTCGTTTTTTTGTGATGGTTTTCTCTTTTCAACTGTTTTTCCTATTTTTGATATTCTCGCACCAATTCGTGGTGGCAAAACACACAGCAGTCGCCGCTGCTCATGGTAAAAAACCAAAAGTCGATCCTTTTCAGGACGAACGAGGTAAAACCGAGTGCAGCTGAAATCGAGGTGAAAATCGAAAAAGAGAATCTTTTTTTTTGTTTTGGTGTTTTTGTCTTTCCATTGTTTTTTGAGGTTGGCGTTTAGAAGTAGTGGAGTTTTTGTGTGACAGAAATATACTCACAGTAGGCGCCACTATTGGGTAGTATTGTTAAGACTCCGGACCGGTGAACATTTTCAGGTTAGAAACTGCGTGAATCTTCGCCGCTGAAATATGGAATTGGAATAAAGTGAGCCGGGGAGACAATCCTTTTCGGGATGAAGACACCGGGGAGCGATAGTAGTCGGAAAAGAGGTGTGCCAAAGTAAGTAAGATTCGGTGCGGAACCAAACCAGTACCAACTAGAGAGTTAGTGGCATCCAATGGTACAAGATCCAAGACAGACATTTCTTGCATAGGATCCTTTAGAGCTGAATCCACCTTGAGCGTCCCAATACTTAAGGCTTCCTGGCTCTCTCAGGTGCAAGAAATGAATTCTTCTCGGATCATTGTTTTGATGTCGATCGAAATTAAGAGTGAAGATTTCAGGCTGAGATTGGTTGGGCGATAGAGTTCCGCAGGCTAAGATTTCGACTCGCTTCTCCAGAATTTGGTTGCAGTACGCTGGTATTTAGTAATTCGACAGAATGCTCTTCTCCTAGCATTTTATGAAGTGAGAAACCCTGACAAGACACTTACAGGGAGCTTTTCCTAAGCCGCGGTCTTTTCCTTAGTAAAACCCTCCACATTAGCGACGCTACTTGGCACCACCCTCAGTTTCATTTTTTTGGTGGAGCCAAAAAAGGGGGACCGTAGTTTGGCTGTATAAAGCTAAAAGGGGTAGCAGCAGCAGAAAGTAGCTCTTTGGCTGTAGGCGCAGCTGGTATCGGAGAAACCGGACTTGAAAGAACGGCCGGGGTCTTCCAGCCGGGATGAGCAGCCTTAAAGAAGGAAGCTGCTGAAGATTTGGAGCTGGAGGAGGATAAAGAGGCAGCAAATGTCAAGAAAGGATTAGCTTTGGCTGGGTGCGAAGCTGGTAATGTCGGAAACATGCTGTCAAGAGAATTCTTGATCATGGTCTTGACCTTTTTGGTAGGTCTAGACCCAGCTTTTGAATCAGACTTTGACTCAGAATCCACCTCAGGGCGATTTCTTCTCTGTCTAGAAGGTGGGGGAGAAGGAGAAGAATCTGGAGATGCTGCAACGCCAGGAGCAGCAACTGGAGGATTAATGTTTTTCCAACAGAATTTACAATTTCCGTTATCGTCGTTCACCTCAAGATGCTGGCATTTTAAACAACCTTCGCACACACCATATATGTCCAGACGTAAATGCTGGCAGGTGGATTTCTTGGTTAGAGATTGTTTTCTCCGAGTCGAAGTGCCAACGACCTTGTTATTAGCGATCGGAGCAGCTTGACGAGACACCTTGCTGGCATCTTTAATTGCCTCACCGCAGACGCCGCATGCACCAGCAAACCTGATGAGATGCGAACATTCTTCTTCTGATGATGGATTCGTGTCGTCCTCAACGAGAGAACCGGGAATAGCTGCATAAGGTTGAACCCCAACCTCAGTGTAGCTACGGGCGCCTCTGTTTGGCTGCTCCGGTGGAGGAGATAGAGGCTCATCTGACGCATAGTCTGGGAGATCGTCGAAACTATCTTCTTTCTGTGGAGTGATAGAAGCCTGTTTAGAAGCAAATTCCTTATCGCCTTCAAAAAATATCTGCTCGCCACAGTGGTCACAATTGTTACCACGGCTCCCACGATTATGTGGGCACTTGAGTATGTTTCTGGAATCTCCGGGAGTCTTAATGGAAGAAAAAACGCGATGAATGCCTTGAGAGGAGTTGATATTTACTGGCTGGTATTCCCGCAGCTGACCTCTGGATTGTCAAGTCTGTAATTTCGCACTAGCCAAGCCAGCTGCTGGGACCGCAGGTGGGAATGATCCACCATCGTTGTCAGAGTCATCGTCTATGTGACTACTGAAATGCTATGATAAACGCCAGTCCCGCGAATAGCTACTAGATACCGAAGGAAAATTTACATTGTTGGCATCATCATTTTGATACCACTTTTGGTCCTGTTGTTAGACATCAGCCGAATTGTCCATTAACATGTTATCATTGTAAAATGAGAAGGGCTATGTATATATGCTTACCGGACTCTGCGCTCTGGCTGTCTGTCTCCGATGGGGGGGTGTTGCACTGTACATGCCATCATGACGGGCCTTCTCGGCAGATTCCGACTTGATGTAAGGCACGCTATTATCCTCAGAGCCAGCTGCTAGTGCTCTCCCCCGAAGATACTCGTTGTGTTCTTCAACGATCCTAGCTTTTTCTTGCTCTATTCCCTGTAATTTGCCCAAACTTGATCGCACTGCCTCATTTCGAGCTTGCACCAGCTCTTCACTCTTTGCGAATGCGCGGTCACGAGCATTTCCAGCTTCAATAGCTCGGCCGACAGGGTATGGGCAGCTTTTGACGATACTGTTGGCCCATTGCCTTCCTTGAGCAAGTTCAGACTTCAGATGCTGGTGCTCAACTCGGTAGTATCCAATCTCAGATTTCAAATGCTGGTTTTCGAGTTGATAATTCCTAAGCTCAGTTCGCAGATGCTGGTTTTCTTGTAGGTAGTGATTCTCCATGATGTTGCGGCCTCTTTGAAATTCGCTTTCTATTTTCTGCTTCCTACTATGGATTTCCTTCTTAAGTTCCTCGGATTTGTCATTGTGCGCCTGGCACTTCTGGTCATACTTGCTCCCCAAGCCTTCGTACGCTTTAACATTATTCTTGTAAATTTCTTCAAGTTCGTTCAATTGGCGTTGTAGGTGACTTATCTTTCTATTGTCCGCAGGGTCTCCACGAAGGACCTTTTCCTCCGCAATGGCAGCTCTCTTTTGAGAAGCGTTGAACTTCTCTAGCAGCTCTTTGTATGCGACACTATTGGTGACGTCGATTCTTGACTGCTCAACCTCCTTTTTAGCCGTAGAGGCTCCCTTCAAAGCATCCTCATGGACAGTAATAGAGCGCTTGTAATACACGGCCAACTCATCGAACTTGACCTTCCGTTCATTAGTGACCTCATGGCTTTCTTCCAACTTATTCTGAAGCTCTGCCTTCACATGACTGGTATCGTCCTTAGCATTTTCGAGAAAGTCAGACTTGGAGTCTTCGGCTACTGACAGATTTGCCTCTGCATCTTTTTCCAACTTGGCTAATCTTTTACTCATCACTGCAAAGTTGTAGTCCTTGATCTTCATGATCTCCACTATATCTTTGCATAGGACAAGCGAGTTAGTATCATCTGACTTGGCATTGTAAATTTTGCGCATGGTCTCGTTGAGAGATGTTAAACGAGCTGGAGAAATTAAAGGTGGAGATTGGATTTCTTCTTCATCGTCTTCTTCAGCATCAAGGATTGAAGCAGAAGAAGTACTGGATGAAGCTTTAGCTTCGGATGACAACTTGGCAGTCTTATTTTCGAAAACTTGAGCAGGAATCTTGACGTGGGTCAGCTTTTTGGAGGGTGTGACGGCAGATGAAAATCCCTCAACGTCCTTTTTATTGGTAGTCTTGCCGAACATGATGGCGCCTCCTGGGATATCAAACACATGTTCTTCAGGCCTAGTCAATCCTCGAGAACTGGCTGATTGGCGATGGTAAGGTGGTCTACGGGAAGGTAGGGTCCTCTTCTCGCCCTCAACTTTAGTACGCTTAATAAGATTCAACGACTCGTTGCCTGTTCCCTCACCATCATTGTTGGCAGTTGAACTTCTCTTCTTATTGAACGAGGAAAGAGGTTTTGCCATTGGTGCCATTGTACTAGCAATCTGCAAATTCTTAACGTCAGCAATATCCTACCCGGGATAGTTTGCAGAGTACAAATTAGTGTATCAAGCTACAATAAGCGAGGAAAGCCAGAATGAGAAGCTTAAGTAGGGATTTGAAATAGGGGAACATATCCGCGTGTCATTGGATGTAAAATCAGTAAAGAGATTAAACTCACAGATTTGGTATTGACGGAATTGGAGGTTTGCTTATTGTTGACTGGAGACTTCTCTGTGGAAACGTACTTCTTGTTAACAGATGCGCCCTTGGCGGATGGGGTTTGGATATTCTGAACGGAAGTCATCGCGGGTAAAGTAATAATTGATAGATGAGAAAACTCGAAAATCAATTGTGATAAGAGGAATTTTCGATACTACAATTGTAGTGTAAATTAATAAAATATTTTTTTCTGAAACACGAAGAAGTTTCGATTAGTACTTGATATAATTATGTTGTTCAGTCAGCTGTTTGTGTAGGATATTAACAAAGTTTCGTGGAAAGGTTGTATGTAAGATGGATTTCTCAGAGAGAGAGCGCACTTTTATGGATGAAGAAGTGCTCGATAAAGATTTGAAAATTCTTAGTATGTGTAAGCTGTTGTACTAGATGTTCTGGCTGTATGGTTTTATGGTTGTAGTAGCCGTACGACTGTTGAGAGGGTATCTTGGTGCGAAGTGATTTTGGAAATTTTCGTTTCAAGATTTCCGGGGAGCAAGAGGGTGCCTTTGTGCACAAAATAGCTCCGGCTTATCAGAATTGGAAGCTCTTATTTCCTTAGCGCGGGCTGTATTGAATATTTTGAGGCTATTGATGCCGCATATTCAATACAAGAATTATCTCGCTTGGCGTTTTGCGACTTCTATCCAACCAAAAATTCAGAATTATCTTGCGCAAACGGCTTCCGTACTATTCTGATAGTTTTTGGCACTGTACTAGGATTGTACAGGGTAATTTTGAAACTGAGGGGAAGTTGTGAGTTGTTGCAGGAGGCTGGTAGAAGGGGAAAGAAGGAAATGCCGCCAAGGCCTTTTTCTTAGGTAGACAGTTGACGATTCAAACACTTCAAACACCATATTCACTTTTGCATATTCACTTCTTTGACTCGACCGCTATTTTTCACAAGATAGGGAAAGCCAACAAAGAAGAGACGAGTGGGGTAAGTTTGCAGCATGCTCCATGTGCATAATCTGGAATAAATCGATAATGTATTGCACTCTCAGGGATGTGACTAAGAATCTACGGAACTTGTTGTGAAATAGAGAAGGATGGTATGAAAGTAGCGAAAGCAATAGGAGAAGTCGCTATGAGGGTATCTCATTGGAGGACCTGGTTATGCCACGGGCCAAGTAGAAAAATGTATATGATCCTGGGAAGTTGACCGGAATAAAGTTGATAGAGTAGTATTTGAGAATTCTTGGGGTGCAATGGGGAGTTTCTATAGGAATGAATCGGAGTATGAATTCCGCAGTAGTGTGTGGAAGCGCTTGATGAGTCGACCGCTCAAAGTCAAAGAAGTAGTTGCATAAGTGTGTTATGATAAAGAATAGCCTATTGATCACTAGAATACCTTGGAGATTGTGTCGCGAAGTTTGCCTTTAAAGTATAAGACCAAAAAGACTCTATTTGAGGCTTGTATAGTTGAGTGTATGTGTAGCTACTTTTTATTGTTGCGGAAAGGTGGTAAGCTAGGGCTACGATAAAGAGGTTCTTGGTATGGTTCGTTAATAGAGCTTCTATTGAGACCGAGAATGGAAATTTGAGATTGTATTGCTGTACATCAAAGATGAATCTACTGCAACCTGGCTAGGACTAGGGCTTGCTGGCTCTCGCCATGCAGCAGTAAAGTTCTTTGTTATTGACTGTCTTGTTGAGTTGATTTGCTAGATTTGCTACACAGTCGCAGGTCACTACCATCAGTAGCTGTTTTTGATACAAGAGATTGACCAAGATGGAAAACTCACTATTTTCCGCTAATACATTAAACAGATACCCATGCCAGTCCAGGAAATAATGGCATACTACATCTTCCGCATATCTCAAAATTAATTTTACAGGTGTTTCGAGGATCGGGTGTCTTCGGTGTAAGATATAGTGTGACAAATCGAGTGGGAACAGAGGAACCAGTTCTCTATGCGAGCCAAACAGTCAGCATCTTACCAATGTAGTTACAGCCTTTGGGAGATCACTGATGTGAAGGATTGAGGTACGACATATTGTTGGACTTGATGATCTAGCTATTGCACATGCAAGAGGCTGTGCATTGGTGTTTCAAGTATCCTCATATCCCCTGAGACGGACCCATTGCACTCCTTGACAACTCCATTCATGAAGTCATTGAACTCTTCTTACAAATTGGCAGTTTCCTTCTCTTCACGCACACTTGAATTGCTACGATATCTTCGGCGGAAAAGGGAAATGGGAGTCCTAAAATTATCGCAGACTACTAACACGACATAGATGAGAGTAGGGAAAGATTTTAAAGTTGAGATTGAATCCCTAAAGTGGAAACAGACGGAAAATCAGATGGCAGTATGAAGGGTGTAGGAGATGCATTCAATGTATGGAAGAGCGAATGCGTCTCAGGAAACTCTTTTCTAGGCCAAAAGGGTGACCTTGTTCTGCACATCCAAAATTTCAGAAAACACGATGGACAATATGATCGAAACTATATACAAGACCTAGCAGTTTTGAGGTAATAATTCCTTGAGAAACACGCACTCTACCCAAGAAGACATACATCGGTGAAACAGCTCATAGGAAGTTAAAGATGTTCATCAAGCACCACTTACTGACCACTAGCGTTGAAACCGGCGAAAGGAGAATAAGCATTTATTCCTCAGTCTTAGGCAATACTCCTTGCACGATATGAGTGCGAAACATCGAGTCAAGTAACATGTTCTGTTTTCCTAATGAGTCTCTAGCTCTAGTATCGTACTCCTAACATGAGAAATCATCAATTTTCCACTCTGATGCCGTGGTTGCCCATATCCCGGGGAATAACAAATCCATCTACTCGGCGCCCCAAATGAATGATCTGATACGTGTAGTGACCTTTCTCTCCATTTCATCCGAATACCAAATTATTAAGCAGACCATAACACCCAAATCATTACCTCACATTGCACGAGACATCCAGTTGGCAGTCATAAACGTCAAACACAACTTCCAAGCACAACAACCATGATCTATACCATCATCTCCATCCGCTGCGGCAAAGGGATTCTTCAATTCTACTTTCAAGCTATTGGTTTCCAACGACATACTACTCTGACGTCTACCGCCCTGTTCTTTTTGATATGGAGTATCTTCCATGTACAGAGGCTCCCAGATAGGTATGTGCGAGCGTCGCTCTTGACCACCAGGTGAATCTAGACGAGGCATATGCATGGTGTTGAAAGGTGTGAGATTAGCTTCTCGGGGGGAATTGTAAGGCGGATCGCGTGCCCATGGTTTGAGGTTTTTTCGAGGGAATTGGTTGGCTTGTTGAGACTCAGAAATTTTGTATTCTTCCTGCGAGGACAAGGAGTTGGAACGGTGACCTTGAAGGATCATCATTGTGAACAATTGATGCAAGCGACCCGACAGTAAAAGTAGTACGAAGGAAACACGTGTAAATCTGTCGAGAGGTAAAGAAGCCAGTAGCCAAAAATGCTTGTTGGGAGCTGATAAATTAGACCCCGGCTTATAAATTCAAATGTATGAAGGGGGATCAACCTTATCAACCAATATTCATACGTAAGTAATAAATGTATCATGCATGCTTTCGAAAAGTAGAGTATGAATTATTTATTTTGCAAAATATGAAAACTACCCTCATATTCGGAAAGAAACCATGGAAAATATTAGCAGAAAGTTTCTAACTTTAGGAAACTGCCAGTGAGCGTTCATGACCAGTTGAGAAGGTACTCTACCGAGAAGAGTCCTTCCAAAATTTATCTAAACGCTCTTCATAACCTTCCTCCGTAGCATATAACAACCTTTTTGTCAACAGGCTGTAAAAGTTGTAGTCCTACCATTCTGATTCTAAGTTCCTGATATTGAAGCATGGGTATGACTAATTTGATGTGCACCAACACATTTGGCTCCACAAACCCCCACCTTCCAATTCCATAATAATATATCGTCAAAAATTTAGTCCTACAATATCAAATCGAGTATTCTCTCTGCTCTTCCAGCTTCAATGGTCCAATGGTCAGGATTCCACCCTTCCAAGGTGGAGGTCGGCGTTCGATTCGCCGTTGTTGCATTAACATTTTAGATTTTTTGGCCATGAATTGCCACATTCTTCATTTATTGTCAAAATTTGGGTTATTTTTCCAATATCAAGCGCTGAATATAATTCTTGTATCTTCGTTGTTGGTTATTGGAGTTTTGAGGATGTGTCGATTTCATGATTTGTGTTTTGTGGAGGTTTGTGTCTTCGGTTAGCTTCAGCTAGTGGGGGGTTAAAATTAGGGGGTGGATCGGAATGGGTTGCGTTCCTTGAGTGGGAATAACTGACCACACCTAAAGTTTCGGGTCAAATTGTTAGAGTTTTGGCTTTTGATATCTATAATTCTGTGATAATTATACTAGCTTCTGTATCCGTGAGGAAGAGTCTGGCGTTTTACAAAAAGTTGCTTAAAATCTGTTGCGTCTGAAGCTCTTGGCACTGCTAGCTCTGGTTTGTCATTCTGTTGCATATCTGATTATTTTTGGCATTCCTATTTTAGACATTGCTGGTTCCCGTAATACAGCTTCTTATTCGATAATCTAAAAACACAGAGTAGTAATGACGACGTAGCAGGAAGTTAGATCTTGCGTGGTGTGGGGGCGTGTAGATCCTAAGAATCTGGCATCATACTGTGCCATGACATTGCCACATCTATCACCAGAATCTGATAAACCACTAGTGTGGAGTAAGGGCTAATACAGTCATAATCAAAGCTTCTAGAAAGTTATAATGATCTTCATTCCCCCTTCAGTCTGAAGAATTGTCAAATCGAGTTTCTAAGCTGGGCCCCAGAAGATGTGTATCTTTGACTGTAGTATCGAGTTCTAAAAAAGCCTCAACATTCCAATTATTCCGATCACATCAGGAATTTTGTTTTTTCGACTGACGTCCCAACTATTAGGAACCTGCTCCGATCTAATTGACTAAGGGGAGAATTTAGCCGCCTAATCGTTAAAATGTAAACACCACCTCATTCTCTTATATATCTTATACCAATCTACTTTTCCCTATAGAACTATCTTTTCCCTAAATTTCTATATAAACTTCGCTCTCTAATTTATATTTATTTATATTTTAAAATTATTTATTAAATTAATTATTAAAAATCTATTATTAAAATTCATCTAAATTCAATTGATATAATACTACAATATAAATGTTACGAGGGTAGCCGTCTAGATCACATGGAAGTGCTCTAGACTCTCGAGCTAGGGTTATAACTAGGCGTCAAGCAGGGACTTAAGTAACAACAAGATGTTACGTCGGACAGTAACATAGGTCACGTTCTTGATCACATGATCAAGAAACCGACAAATCGAGATCGGTTTTGCGGTGATCGAATTGTCGGGTTTATAGCCATCGGTTTTTAACGAGGCACGAAGGTCTATATAATCAAGATGGATTCCCTTTGTATAGAGCTTCGTGCTCAAGATCAATCATTTAGTATATTCTACTATTAGTTACGAATTGCATCACTGTCATTACTTAAGTCCCTGCTTGACGCCTAGTTATAAACCACCTCGAGAGCCTAGAGCACTTCCACGTGATCTAGACGGCAAACCTCGTAACATAACCGTTCCTCAAAATTAGATTTATTATTCAATTCTAAAACATATATTTCTTCCAAATACTAATATTATCCGATTTAATTAAAATCAATTATTCAAATTTGTATTTCCATAAAAAGATCGAATTGCTTCCAAGATTAGTGTTGAGATACAACTCCAAGGCTGGCAAGGATTGACTTATTATGACGTTTCTGCTGTCAGGAACGGTCGCGATTATTGGGTGTTCGATACATTCTCTCCCCTCACCCAAATGGCATCCCTTCATCTGGTTGCATTACAGCACCCTTTCCTTGTAGCGACTCATATTCCTAGCCCGGTAGTATTCAGGTGAAGAGCTCTGCTGAGGTGGATTTTGTATGGGCCTTAGGCGCTATCACTGTAAGAGCCAGGCTTTCAACTGAAAATCTATCATTATCTTTCTACCTTTACTTCAACTCGCACAGCCTCCAAAAAGCCAACCGATAGTTTTATTTTCAGTCTGCGGGCAAACCAATCATGCAGGAACTCCTTCATGAATGAGGGAAAGCATGATGATTCAGAGTTGTGGTAATCTCCGCAACAGGAATTCAATGGTGATTCATTATGGTATGAGTGGCTGTCTAGACCAAGTATCTTTGAATAGCTCGGTACAGATAAATGAAATAGTTTTTATGATGTGGTTGGTGACTGCGTGTTATTGACCCGACACCTCTATGTGACATACCCATAGAGGAATTATCGGCAATGGGCTTGTGAATCTATCTATTAGTAACATTGTGGTCCAAGGATATACTCATGTCAAATTCATTAACGAATAAATAAGAGGAAATTTTGTTGGGAAAGAGATGGGATGGGCATGACTACAAACGTCTTAATCAGGCCATTATCCACCATCGGTCTCTTTCTCTTCGCGACTCGCTCGCCTCGTTGTTGTGTACATTCTTCCTCTTTCTATAATATTTATCTCATCTTAATATCTTAATGTTGAATGAAGATGAAGCTTTGTCTCTCAGACATGTTAGTGTAGAGTTTAGTGACGGCGAAATTGGCCCACGGTAATGTTGCACGAAGCTTACATCTCAATCTCACACTTGGGAATCCTGAACATGTAGCTTGAGTTGCTTCTAGCTAGCTTTTTCCCGCTTCTCATTGGTGCCTGGGTTATAGGATTAAGACAGGTAGTGTTGAGAATACTCGACTGCGCAGCCTATTCATTTTTCATAGACACAGAGCTGATTATAATGAATCTAGCTCATATATCTAAAAGAAAAACTACTGGCGTGGCTCACAATAAAGAAAGCTACTGTGAAACAACTCGGGAATCCTTATTGACAGGAGGAGGACAGTGGAAACTTGAAGAAGTTGATAAATCGAGTGACTGAGCATAACAATTAATTTTGAGGACTAAGACATGTGTTGACCTTCCTTCAAGTGATTTGTGGAAGTGTCAATAGAAAATAAGGAGTAGGCGTTGATAGGACCTGAATAATCATATTTACTTACGGCTCTCACGCTACACCATTCATACAAAGTGGTACCTTGAGAGCTTCATTTTCCTTATTCACTCTCCAAAGGAGCAAACACTAGTCAAAATTTAATTCTCCTTATTCAAGAGCCGCCTTACTATGACTCCTCGTCTAAAACACAATTCTTATTTATAGCCAACTCTTGGAAAACCGCAACTACTATCACATCATTGCTGTTCCGGTTCTTCACAAGAGGTAACTAGGATTTATCTATCATATTTACATTTTTCCTTGACACATAAACTTCAAGTAATGCAAGTCTTAAGAAAGTTTGCTATCCTTGGCCCAAGACAGTCCAGCTCAATCTTCGATCTCTACAGTTTTCGTTTTAGATCGAGATCTCGAAAAATGGAGCATCTAGGTTTTTCATCCACAAACCTACCTTTTCATCATCCACGCCAACCACAAAAAAACTCTTCCTCTGTTACAGTGCTAAAGAGGTTGGACAACAGAAAATTACACAAAATTAAGAAGGCCGAGGATATTAACCATTCTGCTCCAAGAGTGCTCACTGTAGCTATTTCAGGATGTACCTCATCAGGTAAAACAACACTAGCCTTACTACTCTCAGAAATCTTTTCTACTTTCTCAGCTACAAACAAATCAACAGAAAACAGTTCTCCACATGAGTCGGCGAAAGACAATCTAGACAATTCACAAGCTATCATCCCTTTCACAACCACTATTCATCAGGATTCTTTCTTCATTCCAAAGGCACACTGTCCATTTGTCCAATTCAATAGCACTAATAACGACAAAAATTTCATTAAAAAAAGCATTATCGAGAGAGATGAAAAGCCAGTCTACACCTACTCTGGTACTGGCGCAATAGGAGAAGGTATTGTACAAGTTGTCGGGCCAAACACAGATTGTATGGAAGCGGTTGACTTTGCCAATCTACTTCGAGAAGTTCAAGCCACGCAAATCAAAAAAGCCGAACCAGAAAAGATCACTCGATTCAAAGAAGATGCAGATAAGAAGAAACTTGTGGAGCAATATTCCAGGGTGATCACAAGCATGCGCAAGAAAATCAAAGAACACTCGGCATTGACAACAATCAAGCATTCTTCCAGGTACGAAGGAAACGTTTTAGGTAATATCAATGGATGGGTCTTTGTGGAAGGATTTTTGCTATTTGGAAAACCCATGCCTCCCAAGCATGGAGACGTGGAGTTCCTTGAAAACACTGGAGAGCTTTCTGCAGAGGTTCCTGAAGATTTGCAAATGATAGCTAAGGAAGACTTTACGTTCAAGGAGAAAGAGGTGACAAGAATGAAGAAAGAAAGAATCTTGTCCAAGGAAGCTTTGATGGAGGAATTTGATATTAGATTGTTCTTGCCTACCAGCAAGGATGTTGCTAAGCAGAGAAGAATGAGCAGATTTCCGTATGTTGATTTTCCCGCCGGTGGAAGACATCCTGGCCAAATGTGGAAATCGGAAGGATACTTTGACGAGGTTGTTTGGAAAGGTTATGAGGATTCGTTCGGTTGGTTGTTGAAAGAGACCGGGAAGGAATACATCAATGGAGTGTTTGTAAGAACCACTGTCGATGACACAGTCGAGAATACTGTTGAATGGGCGGTTGATATTATTCTCGACTTTTTGACAAGCAGGGAAATGAACCAAGAGGGCTTCTCGGGTAACTAAGTACAATAGTCAGTTTTCCTCTGTTCAAGGGTAATTTTGTATACCTAGCAAGAGCTAGCTCTCAGCATCTAGCCACTGGAAATCTTTGACTGATATTTGAGCTAAAAATGTAAAGTCCTCAGCTCTAGCAATAATTGATAGATATCAAGAAAAAAGACTTAATGTTTCAAGAGTGTCTCTTGCAAGTCGTAGAGAGATGGAGGTTCGTTGTTGAAAAGTTGCAGCCTTGCGCGAAAGGCTGCAACTTCGAGAACCCGGACCTCAACCTTGGAATCTCGACATCAACATTTGTTTACAACAAGCAACCATGTCACATCTTTACAATCCTCTGGTAACGGTTCAACAATTGTACCAGAATTCCTCTAACAATAAACTCCCGGTCGAGCTTCAAGACAGCATTCGATTCTACACCGCGCGACTTACACAAGCTGCAGGCATTCTCCTTCGACTTCCTCAGGATATCACAGCTCAAGCGAATGTCCTTCTCTATAGATATTGGCTTGTAGATGATTTGATGCAATATGAGTTCAGTGTGAGTGATCAATTGACATGCCGTGCGCCATGAATTTCATGAAATAACATTTCCAGGACGTATCAGCAGCCACCCTCTATCTAACCGCCAAAGTTTCCGCCTCTCCTCGTTCTTTTCGCAGCATAACAAATGTATATGCCTACCTCCTCTCCCAATCCGCGTCTCTCACGACTTCTCAAATATCTGAAAATGATCCGTCATCCTACTATCTTTCCGAATCTGCGTATGTAACCTACCGCACACGACTTCTCAATATTGAAGGCCAAATCTTGAATGCTCTAGGTTTCAATACACACGTCGCTCTTCCACATCCACTCGCGATTACGTATCTTCAAACTCTCGATGTTTTTTCATCAGCACATAAAAGTGGTAGCGGGAAGGAAGTCGCGAAGAAAACAATAAAATACCTGAATACAGCGTTTCTGAGTCCGCAGATGCTATATTTGACACATCAGCCATGCGCATTAGCAGTAGCGGCAATATATTTAGCGGCCAAGGAAGAGGGTGTCAAGATGCCAGAAGATGAGTGGTGGGAGGTATTCGATGTTGAGAGGGAAGAATTGGGATTTCTGGTAGTAGGAATGAGGAGTTTAGAAGGGGTGGCACGGAAAGGAAAAGAAATATTTGGTCAGAAAGTGATGGTTAGCAGACATGATATTACGGAGGAATTAGGGAATAGGGGGCTGGGTCCGACTAATGGTACGAGTAATGGTCATAAGAAGGTTGAGGAGGAGGATGAAATGACGAGATTGATGGATGAGAAGATGGAAAATTCTTGAAGTCTGTGAAAAGCGGAGCTCAGGCTTGTAGCTCAAGGAAGAAGTCGACCATTATCCCACGCGGAAATCAATGAACAGCCTTCTAGCAAACGGAATTGTAGCTGTCGTACGACTTACCTATTGGTTCAACCCAAGAAAATACCATGACATTCGACAAAAGCTATATACTCTTCTCAGCGATACGCAAAACCACGCATAAGGGTGAGAAGGGGGAACACCACAAATCTTGAGACCTGGCTGGATTACAATTTGGCTGGAGGATAGCAGGCGAAGGCGAGCAAATGCCTTTGTTAATCATTCAGAGAAACACGATAAAACAATTGTATAAGCTTTAAAAGCCCACAACCTTACCTCACGGCATGTTATCATAGAATCGTCGACCACTACACATGAGAAAACTTTTCCATTAGTCTTGGAAGCCAATTCATTTGGCTCACCAAAAGCATAGGAAATTTGCTGCGAAGCTGCAGCCAAGGTCCTGATTAACTACAAGAGTCAAAGTACTGCCATGAAAATGATTCAGCTTGTCATATCCTTTGATCGATTTCTACCATTTTCATTATACCGCCGCCCTGCCATGTATTATCGCCCAAGTTCACTTGTACAATTGTAGATTGCCCCAATGGTAGCCTTTCATTCGAATCTTCCGGCCTCGTTTGCGTTTGCATTATCGAATCATCAATATCGCGCTTCGGTTTCGACATCCGTTCCATACGGCAATAAATGCCGTTCTCTGTGGAATCATTGGAATCTGGGATCGCAGAGAAGGTCTTCTTGATAAAGGAGGGAAGGATCGGTAAGCAGCCACAGATGATGCCGATGTTGATCTCAGCGATACTGTGTATGTAGATGAGCCAATACTCAATTATCATGGAAAGGAAAATCAACTTACCTCCAGAGGAGTATTGGCACCAGTCCATAAGTCTTATCTAGGGTACCACCAAGATGAAGTGTTTCATACAGGCGCAAGACACTTGCAGTACAAGCTCTGCTCGAAATTGTCAGATTGTGTCAGTAATAGTGGAGGGTACTTACAGGATACCAGCGCCAAACACGGCCGAAACCCCGATCTTTCGCATTGTGCGAGTTTTCAGCCTCCAAATCATTGATATTGGTAGAAACAAAATAGTGATATCACTAATAATGCTCATGGCACAGTCCGCGAGGTATATTGAATTTTCGTTAAGACAACTGCCTTTTATAGCTAGAGGATCCCAGAAATGAGCGACAGGCCAGCATATGAACATTTTTACTATTGTTGCAGGAACATAGTAAAGTGCCATGAAGCCAATTAAAACGCGCACTGCCCACAACATATTTTCTTTGACGCCAAAGACTCGAGAGAGGAGGAGCAAAATGGTGACCTTGGTAGCAAAGACTTCCGGCCCGTATAACATCTGAGTCATATAAACCAGCTTGACTCAAGGCGTTAGTAGACCGATTAGTTTGCTTCTCGCGTTTCTTTAACATACCTTTCCAAACTTTTTGATATCTGCAGCTGGAACGTCCCATTGATGCATTCCAGCGCCATATTGGTTCACTAAATTGTGTCAGAGCTGTTATGCATGCCTCTCTTTCTTGGGCACTCACATGATAATGCCATTCCAGAATATATAAGGGAACCCAGCTATATTTGTATTTAGCCTTTACTCGGAGCTTCAATACCATCACAATGGACGACTCACCCAAGCAACTATGCAAGCATCTTCCCAAGTCAGTTGCCATCAAAAAGCACAAGATAGGAAAGCTTACAGTCATCCCCGGTGATCTTTCTATGGATGAAACATCTTGTGTACAACCGTATGCAGACGAACACGGTAGTCACTGGCATACAAACAATTTGACAGATAACGTTGTATTTGGCAATGCTCGGCGGGTTAACGAAATTTGGAGTTACTCCAGTAGGTGGAGGGAGAGCACCTTCAATTGCTTGCCGTACAAAAATACCTTCCATATTTGTGCGATGTAGGCTTCAGGAAGAAAAATTTGTGCGTTTTAAAAGGTCGCTATCAATACTCTTGTCTCTGCACACACAGGCTAACGTCATCGCTATAACCATGGGTGCGCTTGAAAGACTCGGGCTGATAAGGGTAAAAGGCCACAAGCGATGGGACGGGGAAATTGGGAATAGTTCTGTCTAATTAGTTGAATTTCATCATTCTCTGTCCCTTTTGTCCACCTAACGAAGTCAGATGGACATTCGCGAGCATAGGGCATCAATGACATCAAGCTTTCATTCAAATGTTCAAAGCTGCATTTACTTTTGGAATGAGGTTATGGATCAGTTCGAAGTTCGGGACTTGACATCCGCCGCAAACCTTGTTCGGATTGTCGTTTCTCGCGGGTGAATGTACATAGGTATGTATATTTAGATTTGACTTTGCAATGTTTATAGCTGAGCACAATCGCCCGTATCAAAGCGGATGCGGCGCAGCCCTAAAAATATGGGACTTATTCCAAAATCCTAGAGTACCTGATAAGTGGAGGTTCTTTCATAAATAACATGGTTCGATGATCATTCGGTGCTCTGACAGCGGCACAAGATTTATAAATTGGAAATGTGCTTTAAAAGGTGAGCTTATGAACCTTATCTGTTATCTGAGTGAACATCAAATATCCTGCCGAGGAGGTTAGTCACGGATCTGCCCGAGTGTGAGTCCGGGTCCTTGATTCAAGGTCCATGCGGATGTGCTTGGATTCCCGCCTGGCACTCATCGCTCAAGTGGATATTCTATGCCGTCATTTAACATGGTTTTACACTAGATCGATCATGTTTCTGCTCCCTTGGATAGATGAAGACTTCTTGTTCATGTTCTTGCAACCATAAAATCGCTGCCTGAAGTAGAAAGTTGTTTGGAAGTTCTCAACCATTTTCTTTTACCACAGCATAATACTAAAAGCAGTGTTAATTAAGATGAGGATTTTCAGTATTAGATCTGTCTCTTTGCGAGAACAATAAGGAGAGATTTCGTGACTATACATGGCACTAGTCACGATCTAATCCAAAGCCGGGTCATCGAGCTCCTGGTCCCGACATTTAAATACGCAAGGATATTTAATAAACGAAAATTTAGCACCATATTAAGGTTGGCAGGATCACGTTCTAACTCTCAAAACTCACTTAGTTCTGCCGTAAGTAGACTTAAAAGTTATCATTAGTGTATCCTCAGTCCCCTACTTAGGTACCAACATACACAATGTCAGATCACAATGAAAGAGAGAACCGTTCAGGAGGATTACATATTTGTCGTGGATTCCGAGATTTCGCATGGTATTTACAACCCCAACATCTAATGTGGGACCTCTAGAAAGGCTTAGGTAAATATAAGTATACGGACTTCATGTTTAAACATCTGCTTGGGAATATGCACTTAGGATAAGTAAATCATCCCTCTATCCTCGTCCTCATAACTCCCAGGGAAAAAGATTTATTCTTTATTGCAAATATTAGGATCGATAATACATAGTTTTGATTCCCCTCAACAGATAAACGACACGACACAGACGGGACTGACTTCTAGAATTGTCCCAAAAGGTATCTTCCAAAGGGCAATTTCATGGATAATGATGGATTTGATATGTCCAATGAATGATTCCCAGCGAAGGAATATCTTCCCTCTATCCCGAGCTTTGGGAAATTCGATGCGTTTGGAAAGTTTCCTGACATACCATTTGAACAGGAAATTTTATATTGTGCATATTGTGCTTTCAAGATTGTTGTAAAGAGGGGATATCAAAGAGTTTTGCTAGACAATCTCATTGCTACGTTGAGAAAACTTCATAACAGCTCGGCGGGGTTGGGAGTTTGGCAGCTAATCATAGGTTTTGGAATGATAGAACCAGGAGGATATTTGCAGTGGGATAAAATGGACTCTGCAACTGCGCCCACATTCCAAACGAACTCACTCCCAAGAAAAATACGGAGTCATTTTTAAGAATTTTACAAGAGATGTGCAAGAAGAGTGACCTGGAAATCGCGTAAGTAACCTATTCATCCAACTTCAACATCAAGCACATTAAGAACTACTCAATTACTTCCTGTTTATCAGATGGATCTCCAACCGTGCAGATATATACACACACCCAACGAGATCCTAAGAGTCGTAGACAGTATCCGGCTTTAGGCTGCGCAAAATAATCCGCGGGTTGCGGATATCCATGGAATACCCGTCTCGCGGGTGATCCATTAGACCTATAACCCGAATAATCCGCAGATAATCCGCAAATAAACACCCTGCGGATTACCCATTCAGATTTTCCAATAACCCGCCCCGCAAATGGGTTATCCGCGGATTACACCACCAAAGCAATAATCCGCCCCGCGGAGCCCCGTTGCGCAGACTGTCCGGCTTCCATGCACTGATTAGTTGAGGGACATGTCACGGATAATTCTCTTATGGGTCTGAAGCATTTAGATTATGTCGTTTCGAGGAATCGCTTGGGAATAGCAAAGATTATAGACAAGCGCTTGATAAAGCCGTGTTAAAGATACGGGAACTGGTGAGCATTTCTATGGATATGGTTGTTGTGCGCCAATAGAAGAAATGATCACTATGGGGAACTAGTTACTGATCATCTCACATTCAACAAGGCTTGGCACATTAGACGAATTGTTGAAGTCTTTCAACAAGCTCAATTTTTATTATTTGGTTTCTAGGCTTATCAAGCTTAGCTCTTTTGTCTGGTTGAAATCCTCTGTGGTTTATCGGCTGCGATAACCATCCCATTCCTACCTTTAGCATAGCTCATCTCACTGATTAGATAATCACAAGTTTTTCAGACCATTAGGGCTAACTAGTTCAATACGGAATAAGGAACACATTTGACCAAAAGTCTTCCAAAAGCCTCTCACTATACCTCAACTTAATACGAAGTATCAACCCAAGAAGCCCAAGTATTTCCCCACAATGTGTTCTTATTAACCGTACCCGTAGCAGCAGTTTCCTATAACTATAGTAAGTAACTCTTCCCAACTCAGCAACATAGCTATTGTACTCACATAAACCCTAGCAGATGTGCTTGAACCAGCTCCCGTATTGGCATATTCCATAAATATCCTAAAGCATGTTAGTCTTACCCGTGAGAAGCAGGGAAATAGAGACGTACGGTGTAGCATCAGCAGCAAGAGTAGTCCAACCAGCTGGATTTACCACTGCGGTCAAGACTGAATTTTGGAAAATTACACGAGCGAGGGCTCTCCATGGTCGTCCGAGATAGACTTTTCCTGTCAGGCTATAACCATCTGCTTGGGTTATCTAGGAGATATTAGAGTTTGTTTTGAGCCGACGAGTTTTCTTGTGTTTTCTTACAGTAGAGCTGTCGATGACATACCAGCCGCTGTCACTGCTAAGTGTTCTTGAGCTCGCCGTGATAGCACCTCCTCCATTCGAAGCAATTGTACCTAGAATTATGTGTCAGAATATTCTGCTACTTTGTGTTTGATTATCAGATTGTTCTGAAAGTAACATACATTCGCCAAACCAAGCTGCAGCATCACCGAATATATAATCAACAGCACCTATCATCATTAGCAAATACAACGAGTATTCATCAGATGATTTGGGAGAATACCTTCAATGTAACAATTGGAGTAGTATTGCTTGCCTGCTTTGGCATATAAAGTATCTTGGTAGCCGGTAAATGAACACCCATAATAACCTTGCTGATCTCCATTGGCGGTTACGGCCACGGCCTAAAGCGAAGCACATCAGTCATTCAATCCTTAAAGTATAAGGTAGCTTGAACAGAAACAAACCTGAACACCGGCCCCATAAGTATTTGCAAAGTCAACATTGTACGCCTTGAAATTTGCGCTCACGATGTTCGCCGTGGAACTAGCATCCAAGCCTATAGTAGTGGAGTTGATACCATGAGTGATCTTTACTGTGTTACTCTTATATGTTCCAATACTGGCATGAATTAGTTGCTGCCTCAAAAAAACAGCGAGGGAGGGATTTACTCAGTAGTGTATCCATAGACGGTGAGGTTCCCGCCATATTTAATCGTAAGTTGCTCGTTGTATGTTCCACTATATATGAAAATACATGCGGCTGATTTCGAAGATCCAAGGGCACTCAATGCAGCTCCAACTGTGCTATATTCGCCGGAGTGAGTACCGCTTCCTCTAACAGTTAGACACCCAGCTGGAGCGCTGGTTCGACCAGCTCTCTTGTGCACTAGAGGGGTTGCATCTATGGCAAGGACAAAGAAGGAAATGGCAATTAGAAAATTGCTGAGATATTTAAAAGTTGCCATTGTTTCTGAAGCAGGATATCAAAAGCACAAAGAAGCTGATTCGACGTCGATCGATGACAGGATATAAGCTTTCCTAAATGTAATGCTGATAGTACAGCATTTGAATTATTGGCTACTTAGTTCGAACAGTCAAGACATAAGCTTCGCCTGATCTTCCACCCGCTCCAATTGGAACTCCATATCAATTTCTCCTAGCTCGTTAATGTCAATTAATAAACTTCGTTTTTCCGCTAGAAATAGAGAACTCAATCTGTCCCCGATGCAACTGGAGGAACGTTGTGGGACTCCGCACTTTCGGTATTTCAATTTCCAGATGTCTTAGGCTGATGTCAGATTAAGTTTTCGGGGTATTAAAGGGGCGATAGTGGGTGGACATGCCCATGTCGCACATTTAGGCTTAATATTGACGAACTACACCAAAATGCTCTAAAATAAGCACCCCGCGTTTAAGAGAAACATCCCAATTGCAGATCATGTGGAGAAGGTGGATATGGTGGAGACGTATGAAGCAAATGAATTCCAGGCGCGTCGTTAATCAAGGTGAAGAAGTTGATGCTTCCTGTAACCTTAAAAGGAAATGATTACTATCTATACGATAGAGTAGAGAGACTAAAAATTTCTAACTCCTACTTTAGAAGTTATTCCGAAGTCTTCCCCCACTTCATCCGTTGGTAGCTTCGGTATACGTGGAAATACTCGAAAAAGTCCGACACTCTAAAAATATATTGCCGTTCCTTTCATTCCGGAGACTGCCCCATGATAAGAAATGTTCACAAAAGGGGTTGAATAAGTAAGTGATTAATATAGCCTACTGAGCCGCCTACAACTGTGGAACCACCCGCCACGAGAAGAACATTGTGCTTCTCATTAAGCTTTCTTTCCAATTGAAACTCCTAATACAGCGACCATGCTTGACACATTTCGAACCTTACAGCTAGCTTTATTGCTTTGCTCTTCTGCATATGCATCACCAACTGCTGTGAGAAACGAAGCGAACGGTGTCAGTCTCGCCAAACGAGCTACTTGTACTCCTGCATCTGCTGGAAATGCCGGAATTGACGACGTTCCTGCCATTACTGCAGCAATCAAATCATGTGGTAAAGGTGGCGTCATCCAAATTCCAGCCGGTGTCCAATATTCAATCAATAGCGTCCTCGACTTTACTGGATGTGCTGGATGTACATTCAATATCGAAGGTACTCTGAAGGCATCTGAGAATCTGGACTTTTGGGAAGGCAAACGAGCGATATTTTACATGAATGGCATCAACACCGCAACGATCCAATCCGTCACTGGAACAGGAGTGATAGATGGAAATGGACAGGCGGCATACGACTATTTTGCCACAAACACATCATACGCTCGCCCAACATTGCATTACATAACCGGCGCATCTTCTCACATCACCATCAAGAACCTCAAAGTCAAGAACCCACCAAATGTCTTCTTTAGTGTTACTGGGGGTTCGACTAATGTCGCATACTCCGGATTGACAATGACAGCAGCTTCCAAATCAACAGCACCAGCAAAGAACACCGACGGATTCGATGTTGGTGACTCGACCTATGTTACCTTGAACCATATCACAGTCTCGAATGACGACGACTGCATAGCTTTCAAGCCTGGCGCGAACTATGTCACAGTCGATACAATTAGCTGTACTGGATCTCATGGAATCTCGGTCGGTTCTCTCGGAAGCAAAGCAGGTACAACTGATTCTGTAACAAATGTTTATGTCACCGGAGCAACAATGATCGACTCCACCAAAGCCGTCGGAATCAAATTATACCCCGGAGGAAGTAAACATGGAAGTGCGGTTGTCCGCAACGTAACATTCAACGATGTTACTGTGCAAAACAGCGATTGGGCAGCTCAGATTCAAAGTTGCTATGGTGAAGATGCAAGCTACTGCGCAAGTAATCCCAGTACGGCATCTGTGACGGACGTATATTTTACGAACTTCAAAGGAAAGACTAGCTCGAAAAATTCGCCAGACGTTGCGAATCTTGATTGTCCAAAAAGCGGAACTTGTAATATCAATTTCTCGTCTTGGACGGTTGCTCCCACGTCAGGATCTGCTACTTTCCTTTGCGCTAACGTGGATACTTCGAAGGGTCTTACTTGTACTTCCGGTGCGTCAGGATAAGTGATAGATTGTGGTTTTAGAGGTTAGAGGGTTCTTTATCATATTTTGATGGATCTCACAGATCATGGTGGAATCTGTTTCCTCCTCTCCTAAGTCATCTTTTGAGAAACAACCTTGGAAAGAAACCAGCTAGGTTGTCATTCTGATATCGCACCTAGCTTGTATATATTGTCTTCATCTCCGTCCAATTATGGACTTCGGGAATTGGTATCATTGATTTCCCTAATTACAAGTGCAAAGAATATAATTTTGAATTGGATCTGGTATTCTATGAATACGAAATTCCATGTTCCGCTAAAAAAAAAGGTCTTTGATGCTTCTATGCAAAACCGTGTAAAACCCATCAATCCCTAGCAAAGTCAGTTCAAACCCAAACAGCCAGTTCAAAGCATAATATCAAATTCTCATCACGGAAATCCACAAGTAGTATACCCTTTTATATCCAGTGAATACACATTATGGCCATCACTAAATTGCATATATCGTTAACCCATGTGACCGAATACCCTTCTTACCATACCTCTGACAGCTCAAATACTCCGGCGTCTTTGCGCCATATTTCCATGCTCCAAGCACTCTGAACGACCCACGCACCTCTCTGTCAAAACTACCTTTTATTGATACCGGGACTTCTGTCGAGAATTGCTCCCAAAATTTAGTTGGACAGATTCTCAAACACCATTGGTTCATAAATCTATTGGAATTTCTCACCCGGTCCTGCTTCCTCTGTGCCAGTGTCATTAACGTGCTTCATAAAATTCACATAAGTAGAATGGGATTATAAGGAGTAGACCAATTCCGTCGAATCTTGTGTATTCTGAAGCGTTGCCTTGACGAGGCGAATCTTTGGAGTGGGGCTGTCAACGATGTGTCTCAAGATAGAGAGGTTCCCTCGAGTCTAATCAGCAGAGAAGTAAAATTATTGTCAGCCTTTACTTACTACTTCTTTGTTTTTGATGTTGCATTAAGTCATTGGCGTAGAAGTGAGAAAGTAATGCCTCACATGTGAAAGTCTACTAATTCTCTGGCCCAGGATCGTCTCTGTGGGACCTCTGGGGCCATCTCAGCTTCTCGTACCATCAGCCAGGGTTCTCTTCTGTTTTGTTGAGCTGTAAGAGAATCACGTATGCTGATACCAATTCGCGATCGAACCCCTAGTATCCAGCAATAAATCAAGTTGCCTGCCTTGAAAGGGTTAGAAACTGAAGAATGATTTGAACTCGCGACGCATGCAGACTGGAAGGATCAATTGTGCTGTGCAAGCGACAGATGAATAAAGTTTTTTGGGACAGTTTCGGCATGGTTTGGGGAACAAAGCTGGCTCTTGTCCATAATAAGCTTTTTTTTATGCTTTTGATACAGGGAGAAGTGAGCAAAGGGATATAGTTCAGGGGCATTGAGGAGATGAGGAAGTAGCTGAGTATAAATATCAAGGATTATAGGTGATGTAGGTAATCGTGAGCGGGTGAATTGTTCTTTCCCATTCCTTTTATGTATGATCAGAGAATGGGACTATTCAATAAACGGTTTACCAGAGTATAACTCAAATATTTTCATGCGTCAAAAAAGTATCAGAACTTCTGAGTTTCATTACTTTGCCGGTTAGACAAGAAATTCACGAGACTTTCGTGAGGCTCTGTTATTAGCACATTCTTTGTTTTTCTCAGGACAGGAAGGATATTGCAAATGACATCGGCTTAAGCAAGTTTCAATTTGACTCAAATGGCTCTCCAATTGTGATATTCCTGAATTTAGTTACTAATATAAAATTAACACAAGTTTAAAACTACTGAAATGACCATGAACAACTCACAGTTCAGTCTTTCTATGAGAAATGGTATCTCTTTTTTCCTTCTGTGCTTCCGCCTGTGGCTGCGATGGGAAATGGCCCTCAAGATCCATCCACTCTCCAACAAAAGCCGTTACTATTTTTGGCCCAATCCTCCACTGTTGGCATATCTAGATGATCACCATCATCCTCAATACGGTGCCAAACACTTGGAAATGGGGAAGGTATCATATGTAAAATCTCCACCCCACGGGCCATGAAAGGTAGATGATCATCCTGAACACCTCCTCCGCCAGAAAAGGAGGCCCGGTCGAAATCGGGTAGGAAATGGTGCTTAACTTTTGATTGAGCTATTCCAAGCGATCGTAAGCGATTTTCAATGGTCGCGAGACTTTTGTATGCCCAATGTGTAGTTTCGAAGTATGAAGGAATGTTTGGAGTATCGTGGCCGAGAAGATCAAGAAGAAGGAATAAATGAATCGAGTCCAGTGGGTTTTTGTAACTTGACATAGCTGCGTGAGGTGTTATTTCCCATGTTTCTGCCAATGCCCTGGATGAGTTAGAATAACGCATAAAATCATCAGAAGCTACTTTCTCACCTTGCACCGTATAGAGAATCATCATTGGTCCAACTCAGGAATGCTTCTTCACCGTCGAGAAACAAGATCTGAACACCCTTTTCTTCCTCCAAACCAATATCCCCAGCCGTTTTCATTACCGCCCATTTATTTGTTAATGCTTGATCCACACTTCTAGCTGCGTGCATAATCATTGCGCATGGAGCTGCGCTGTCAGTTGCGCCAATAAATCCTGCAGGCGCGAGTTTACTATCGTAATGTGCAACCAAGGCTAATCTTCCAACATTTCCGGGTTTGGTCCAAGGAGGATCGCGAGTTATTATGATATTAACGAATGGTACTTGTTTGTCACCAGTGACGGGAGTCTTAGAAGTCGAGTTTTGGAACTCGATTGTCCATTCCGGAAGATGCATTGTAAAGAAATCAACAAAATGCCTTTGGACGGCTTGAATCCCCGGAGTTCCTGGAACTCGTGGTATCAAAATTGGCGAAAGAATGGCCCCATTATGTATATCGAAATCTGGGCCTCCAGAAGGAAGACTGTGAAGTGTCTCATCGGATAAAGGTGTATATGCCGTGACATTGATACTCAAGATGATGCAAATCAAGAGAACCAAAGTTGTGAGGTATTGCGAAAACATTGTGCTGAATCGGAAGGCGAACGCCTTTCGTTGTTATCTGCCAAATACTCTCAATATCATAGTTCCTCCAAATGTTGAACGAACAATTCAATTCGATCTTGTGAAGTCAAACAGTAATCTGTTACATAGGTTTCGGCTGATACCCCTACATATGTAAACGCGAGCGCGCGGCGCGGCCCGTGGCGGCTAGCGCGCTTGGTTCATCATCTCAAATTTATTTTTATGTTAGATCCAATTTTGATAGCAAATATCATAAAAACATTTGCTGAGCCTTTAAGGTTTGGTTTGTTATTGGATTAGCCATTTGGCTTCACAAGGAATAATGATCGAATGATTTTGATTCCTTATTCTTTTATTCACGGCATTTTCCATATCAAGCATTCTCGTGATCAGGAGCAGTGATGATATTGCTTGCAAGATTATCCGGACCTAGAGGGTTTGCTACCCACAGGTTATTCCCATGTGTTCGAGCTGGTGCTTTCAGACGTGCTAGTCAAGCCATCAAAAGTAAAACCCCACGAGTAGCAGCTCCACGACCTGTGGCAACGCCACAATATGCAAGCAGAAGACCAGGTGGGTACATTCGTGCCATTTCGGATTATCCAAACTGATTCAAAATAGCATACCCGGAAAGGCTACTCATATATCATTCTGGAACTGGAAGAACTGTCTTTCTTGGCTGTTTGAAAGTTACAACTATTTTCATATTTGTATTCTTTACCTTGGTAGTGGCACCAGCACATTACTATTCAGAGGATGAGCCCCAATGGGTGGCACCAGCTGGTAAGTCATATTTGCGAGTACTTTTAATGTACAACTCTATGAGTTTGAATTGCATTGACGAAGCTCCCGTGCTTTCGTTTGCTTCATCTAACTAATCCAACTACAAGTCCTATTATCTGGAGCTGTACCAATGATTTTCGTGGCATATATAACATCGCCATTTGTCAACTACATCCATCTTAAGTTACCCAACTTTGCTCGACACTCACGGGATTTATTGATGAGATACTCAAAGAATCCACCAAAAGATGCACAAGTCGATATTACTACGATGAACTTTGTAGGGAAACCGAGAGTGACTAGGCTCGGAATTTATGAATTGGAAGCCGTAAAGCAAAGGTTTGGGGTGGGAAACTTTTGTCGAGATACGAAGAAGATCAATGCCGCAAGGAAATGGTGGATGCCAAAGGCTGTGCGATTATTTGGAGTTCATGGCGGAACAGGAAGAGTAAGGGAGTCGGAAGCCTGGGAGAATATCGCAAAGAAAATACGAAAGGCGCCATGATTTTAGTGAAAGTCAGTCATCTTAATATGTATACAGTTGCACATTTAGGATTGCCTTCTGTAAATTCGACGCTCTTCTGTTTCGTGTTCACCGCCCTATTCAGCTCGCGCCACGTCATGTCATGTTTCTCGAACAAGTGCCTGGAGCTACACTGGATTGTCCTCAATTAGCCTATCGCCAGATTAAACCTCGTCTAGTCCATGGTCTGGTGGGAGAACAACTGACTCATGGTTCGACTCTTCGAGCAGGAAAGGTGAATCCATATATCAATTTCTAACCCTTAGTCAGTGATGGAAAGCGATGAAATGTTTCAAGCTTGTTCGTATTCATATTTACAAGGATCTGCGCTGCAATCTCCTGTTTTGGAGCAGGGAGAGAAAGAATTGATAGTGTTGTTGCAGGTTGCTCACAAGGAAACTCATGCCTCCTCTTTGCCATCCTTTACTTTCCCTAGTTTCTCTTCTTTTTGTCCTCCTCCGTCGTCTTATCCTTGTCCTACTTGCACGTCACCTCGTTTCACTGATATTCCCGAATGAATATTTCCAAACCAAACCAATTTAAGTCGTATCGCGAATCGATTCAAGGTTGTCAATCCAGGCACGGAACTTCGGTTTCAAACCATCAGATGGTCTCTGTGCCATCCGTTCAAACTCTGCTAATGCATATCGTATATGCAGTATTCATAGCCACCGAGCTCTTACCCGTCACTGTAGTAGTCATCCATCTTATTCATGTTCGGAGGTTCTCGTCTTACTTCACCACCCTGTACCTGCTATCCCCATCTTCATGCCAACATTACTCTTCGAGATTCTTCCTATTTCCTACAGTCGAAAGCAGAGATTACTGTAATTTGTTAGACCAACAATGATTTCTTAGACTTACCACATTCCCAAATCTGAAATCAGCAGAGACTCAATTTCAGCCCCATTCACACGAGATGATTAATGCTATGAGAGATTTTAAACTTCCTCGAGACTTTCGAATGCGGACCATTTATGATATGCGAAGCTTGAAAAATCAACTGAGAGAGATATTCAATTCCGTTCGACTCGCATGAATTTTCCTTATCTCAGTCCACGTATTGTTAATGTCCAGTGTCCCGTCACATTCGAATATTCGCCTGCACAGGGCAACATCTAGATCCCAATATCGTAGGCATATAATCCACAGTCAAATATTTGCTCGTTTTCTTGTCTTGTCAAGTATTATCATGGATGCAAAATGTTCTTTCCAATGTGTTCGAGCTCAAATTCCCTCCAAGCTCGTTAAATATTTACACGCCTGATCAAGGAAGTCGCATCGAATTCATCCATACCTAAAGATTCAGTATTCAATTACCTCTCATCTCCTCCTCGGTCGCAAAAGTCGCATGTATACTGCACAGGTGGATCTCATCTTTCATCGTGACAGTCATATCAAACCCCGTACTTGTCCAGTTCCCACGGCAAAAATACTTCACAGAATATTCATTAGGTCTTCCAATATTGTTGTTTTTCCTCTTAGATTTTTAATAGCTGAACTCAAGGTTTGTTATCGAAGCTGAATATAGGTAAATTGAACAGGAAAGAGTGAAAGGTGAATGAAGAAGTCGCGCTCTAGAAGACTCTCATCACGTGCGCTTGCATCAAGCGACCCTTCCTCCTCCTCCATACCTTATTATCAAGTTTCTGAGCACAAAGCTTGGACCCCTTTGCGCTGGCAAAGTTATTGGTTCTCTTCTCCATTTTGGATGTTGAGCAGGGGTCACTTGTTTAGATGTGCAACCAAAAAGTGCCTCAACCCCCTATTCGTCCTAATATTCACTTTCAGTGCCACTATACTGCATTAAAGAAGAAGTGTTGCATATCTAAGAACCAGAAAGCCGACCTTAGTGGTCAGGAAACATGGGGAAGGCAAAAAAGCGGCAGATACAAGACGCATGGGCTACTCACAGCAGCATTGGGCTTAAGATCCGCCGGATCTTCAAATATCTAGCTTGGAATTTCAGAGATCTAGACCTTAGAAGTAACCAATCTTTGAACGAGCGCAAAGCTTGGGCCTGTTTACGCTTGCTCAGTTATTGGTGTTTTTTGTATTTCTGAACGTTTGAACAAGGGTCAGTTTCTCAGATGTGCAACCAAATATCTCTCAACCCACCACCGCCCAACCAACCTCAGATATCCCCAGATCTTGCTATTAAATTGCCGTGGCACTACGGATAGCTCCTGACGCTAGTTTTTGGCTTCCTTCCTTCAATATTTGCGCTCGCAAAGCCATTGGGTCAATAATGAACGTGACGTCAATTTCAATGTTCTCCAGATATGCAACAAAAGAAGTTGAGCACACCTTAATTCACTTTCGCTCCACGTGGAAAAACTTCAGATTGTAAATAAGTATTTGCGCTCGGTAGTATATTGGTTCATCAAGACTGATTACGTCAATTTCAATGCCTTTCAGACATGCAACAATTCAGCATGAGAAAGAGGTAATTCACTTTAGCACCACATGAAGGAACTTCAAAATGTAAATTCCTGCGCGAGACAGTCTCTTGGGTTCTATCTATTGTTGTTGTTTGCGCTCGTAAAGCTACTGGGCCCCTTAAGTGTGCTTACATGAACATACTCATTTTCCAGATATGCAACAGTTTATGTTGAGCACCACGCAATTCACTTAAGTTCCACGTGGTGATGGCGTTTCTCTCTAGAACTACAACGCACCAAGACATGTATTTTTGAGATGAATGTTCAGGATAAAGCAGCCTCTACATGAGCAATGACTAGCATTTGGTACCTCTATAAATCCCGCCGATCCATGTGTTCTCCCCAGCTTGGCCAGTTTGATGATTTTCAAAAGTTGATTCTGCAATCCTCACAGTTCACTGATGCTTCAGAACAAATATTACATTGTTTCAGGCCGGGCTTTCTCAACATCTTCGAAGCTTCCTCTCGCTCTGCTTTTTATGATGCTTGGATACATGTTACGGAGGAAAATTGAAAAATCGAATCACATTCACATCAATAGAACAACAAAATGAGAGAAAAGCAATGACAGCTACTTAAGGCATACATAAGATGAACCATGGTGCAATATAAAGTCGATCATCGGAATTTACGTTGCCAACCAATTAATCAAGAGAGCAATTACTGCAGAGATACAACACTTAACTAAATTTATGCTAAAGAGATGAGTGTCGCATTAATTACCAATTGTTTTCATATCTCAGAATATTTCATCCTAGTTTCATATCGCAGAGTCAAGACTTGCTCAGATCCTAACGCTAGTAACAAATCCATGCCCTTGTTTTCTCCGCTGACAGATACCGTCGTTGCGCTACCACTTTCAACGTTCAGCCCTCGATTTCTGTGATAAGAAGATGGCTGAGTAGCTGAATCCAGGCTTCCATGCTGTTGGCAAAAGAGAAGAAATTAAGTCTTTTCCAAGGTAGCCAATGCCTTAATCCACTAAAAAGATCACAATGTTCATGACGGTATCGTGAGAAACAGCGACAAACCAGAATTCCGAAGAGTTGGGCTAGCAGCAGTCAATCGCCGTCTCCATCGGTCAACCCTTTTATTGAAGCGCCACGTTGTTAGGCCTAATATGGCAAGTACGATGATTGTGGGCCTACTATATAGTCATAATTCGTAGCACCAATAATAAGAAAACCCTCTTCATACCTACAAGAACAATGCCTTCAACGTCGAACTTCTTCGCCTATCCCAAGAGCACTTAACAATGATGTTAGGGGCGATGAAAGGTGGGTCTTTGCGATCTTCGGAATTGGCTCAGAAGCCTGTGGCTAGCTAGAGTTACCAACAACCACTTGGGTGATGGAAATTCCTCACAGGGTAGTGCTGGGCCTGCATAAATGATCAATCCTCCAAGCACGAGGCCGAATGGTAGATAAGAAGCACCGAATATCTCGAGTAATCCTGTATTTTAACCGTGACCGTAGGAATTGTGGTGATGAACATAGGGTGTTTACATGTCCGAAGGGCTCTCAGAAATGCGGAAGCACTATACATGAGCTTCCACGTTGTCAATTCAACGTTTCATCTATATGAGCAGTGGTTGGCCACCTGTATATCTGAAAGAAATATAGGTGGAGGGTGATGTAAGAGTTCTGGACTTATTGGGTTTCTTGAGACCAGAAAGAGCATCAGATTGAATTGATTGATTCTCTAGCTAAGCAGTTAAGCTGCGAGTATATATTCAAAAAAAAATGAAGGAATGAGGTTAGGTATTCAGCCTTCGGAATTAAAGTGCTTTGAAATCAAAACATTGAAAGCAAACAAACAGTATACCAAAAAGGAAAGAATGAATTAAAAGTTGAGTTTTGTTTGCTCCTTATATGCATCATGCAATATATATGCATATGCTGCCAAGATCCCAGGAGGTCAACAGGACTCTACTCACCGCACACCGTAACATTTTGTGACAAAATTGTTACGAGGTTTGCCGTCTAGATCACGTGGAAGTGCTCTAGGCTCTCGAGGTGGTTTATAACTAGGCGTCAAGCAGGGACTTAAGTAATGACAGTGATGCAATTCGTAACTAATAGTATAGTATACTAAATGATTGATCTTGAGCACGAAGCTCTATACAACGGAAATCCATCTTGATTATATAGCCCATCATGCTCCGTGGCTCGAAGGGAGCGAGGGGATCGAGCCTCGATCCTTTCGCTCTCCTCGATCGAAGGGCTCGAGAGGCCAAGCCTTCGGGCTCTTCGAGTCCTCGCATCACGTGTTATTACTAATCTCGTGACCTAATTGTTACCTGTCGTAACAAGTAGAGTCCAGAACTCTTATATGTCGTGATTCCTTCCAGTGCGCAGGTGTCCCTTAAATTTATCCATACCACATTACACTTAAGATGACTAAGCAGCGCTTTGCACAGGCTCCACCTGCTGGACCAGCTCTAGAAATTTTGGTCCCCGCGTTCTAAGAAGATCCGCAATATATCAAGATGGGCTGGTTCTGGGGTGATTCAAATGATGGTGATAAGGACAAATCTCAAGATCCTTTAAAGAATCTTGATCCAAGTTTACAAGAGTTTCTCAAAAAGGAATCACCGGTCAAATACGATTCCGCGAAGTCTACGGACACAACAGCTTCGTCGCAAACAAAATCGTCGGTGCCAACATCGACAAGTGCGACAACTGAGGATCCTACCAAACCCAGTGTTCCTCCGCAGAGTTTATACCAAGACGGTCGCTACGCACATTTATGGAAAACATATCAACCACAAGCAGAAATCGAGCAGGCAGCTAAATCAGATGCCGAAAAGATTCAGGATGTTATTGAAGGATACAAATACCGAAAAGCAGAGATTGGGAGAGCAGCTTTAGAGAACTGCGCATTGGAACAATGGGATGTTAATGAGTGTTTTCGTTCAGGAGGATGGCAAGCTCGATTGACTATGTGCAGAGAGGAGAATAGGAAACTGGAGAGATGTTATACGATGCAAGGTGTAAGTCTTTGAAACTTACGCAAGGGAGGTTCATCTACTAATTGGCATAGAAATTCTTAAAAGCTTTAGGATATCTATCAACCTATGATCGTCCAGCTGAAGTCGATGAACAAATCCAAATGCACGCCGATACCTTATATCACCGAATGATTGATCAAGAAAAGCAAATTGAAGAAGCCAAAGCAGAGGGAAGACCTGTACCTATATTCCCTCCCCTCATATCGAAAAGAACTGGACAAACAAATTCCGCGCAAGAAAATAATAAGCTCAAGGCATCTGATCTTCCACCAAAGGTACAAGCTTCGTTCAAAAAGCGACTTGAAGGTTTGAACGACGACGAGAGACAAATTGAGGAACGAGCGATTCAGGCCGAAATTGAAGCTGGTGAACAAGTTGCAGGCCAGTTAGGAAAGATTTATGAGAAACAGGATGAAGAACGAAGGCAAAGGAAAGAACAGGGCAGGGAGACTATCAGTGACAAGTTTTTCTCAATATTCCGTGGAAGATGATCAACAACATGGTATGGCTGCGTGTGATTCGCACCTCTAACCAAACTCGCGCGCCGGGTACTTGGTCTTAAAAACACAACGGTCATGATAGAAGGCAGCCATCAGGATGCACCACACTGTCGAAGTCGTTTTGTTCCCCTTGAAAGCTCACGGCTCAGTTATCCTACGGGTCTACATATACTTGAACTTCCTGTCGTATGAACTTCGGTAATTGAGCAAGCAGATGTTGTGAAGGTTCAGGAGCAGTTTGTGGAAATGTTTTTTTATACATTAAGGAATCTCAGACACACCACTTCACTATATATGGGACCATTATCTATTAGTAGCTTGATTTGTGTAGTTGTTGCCGTCAAACTGAATCCCTAACGACTGAGTATGAAGATAACCCGCCACTGCTGCGGAGGGAAGATAATAATTAATAAGAAAATAACCAATGTTGAACGCCTCGCTTCGAAGACGTGTGGCAGTCTATGTTCCCCTGAACCCAGTGTCTTATTTGTCATAGTGTAGCGCCGTTAAATACCCTTATAGTCGAGAAATGTGAGCAATTTTCATCATTCCTTGATTAAGTTTTTAAACGATCAATATTACCACCTACCACTAGCCGACACAATCATGTTTTCCGGGTACAGTAGAACTAAAAGTATCCGAGACTATTCGGGACGGGTATACTCGAGTAAACCGCCTATCATCTTCAAGGCCGAACCCGTAAACTGCGGACTTCAAATCTTGTCTCCTTACTGATACCTTTATTTCCAAACATTGCTCAATAAATTTCTCTATATACTCTCTAGAATACTTTTTCAACAGAGTGGCAGATTTTTTACAGGGAAGATACTCGAGTGGAAATTATCATATACTGATCATGAGCCATCCAAGATTCATTAACCTTAGTGGCTTGGTCCGTTGTCGGCTTTGCATTGTCGATAATAAACCTACTCGGTAGCTTTTAACTTTAATAATCTTACAAGAATACTAAGTATCTTACAATCGATTTTCTTTTTTTTAAAAAAAAAAGTGTTTATTCTCTATAAATCTTCCCATTATTCTATGAACTCTCAATTTAGTCTACATACACATACTCATACTCAAACTCAATGAATATCCCCATCGCCTCCAACATCCTCGGAACCCTAGGCGCAATATGTTGGTCCATACAAGTTCGTACCCTCCTCCCCCCTATCTACCCACCCACCCACTCATCCAACACATCACACATCACACATCACACATCCCATATCCCAAATCCCCCCCTCCTCAAACCCAAACCCCAATCCCAACCCAACTAACCCCATCCAGCTCATCCCCCAAATAATCCTCAACTACAAACGTCACCATACAATTGGTCTTCAACAATCCATGATGATGCTCTGGGCATGTGCTGGTGTTCCCCTGGGCGCATTTAATATCGCATCCGGGTTTAATGTGGCGCTTTTGGTGCAGCCGCAGATATTGACTGTGTTGAGTTTGGTTACTTGGGGTCAGTGTTGGTATTATGGTGGGGTGTGTAATTTTATTTTATTTTCTTTGTGAATTTTGGGGGGAAGGGAGAGAAAGGGAGAGAGGAAGGGAGGGGTTTGTGAGGGTTATTTATTGTTGCTATACTAACTTTCTGGTGTAGGGGTGGAGTTTGAGGAAGTGTCTTGTGATCACGGGGGTCATTGTGGTGGTTTTTGCGGGGGTAGAGGTCGCGTTGGTTGAAGGGTTGAAGGTAAGATGCTATCTATCAGCTTAAATGATCGTATCCACTCATATTACAACTAGGCCGGTCAACGTCTAGATCTCGAATGGCCTGTTATATTAATGGGTGTATTATCAGCTGTTCTCCTATCGGCAGGAGTATTGAGACACTACTATGATATCTACATCCATCGTACTGTCCGCGGTATCTCATTCATTTTTGTAGGCATCGATGCAGCTGGAGATGTTTTTTCTCTAGTTTCCGTTTGTAAGTCTTTGTCTCCTTGATTGTCCCTTCAAATTCGTATTAACAACTCAGTCTTCCAACCTCATCTCGATATACTTGGCATAGTGATATATGCATCCGAGTTTATTCTATGGTGTGGAGTCTTTGCTTGTGGAGGATATTTTAATCTTCTACCTTGGATAAAAAGCAAAAATCAAAAGAAACGCGAGAATGAAGTCAGAGCTAATGTTGGACATGGAACGGCTGAAAATGTGGTAGCGATTGAAGAAGGAATTTCACATGATATTGAACTAGAAAGGATGAATTCTGCTGGATCAAGAACAGTTTTCAGAACTCCTGGTTCAGCAATCAGTGTTGATAGAACAGATTCATAAAAGAAATTGTTGCTACGGCGGCCATCATATCCTTTGCATAACACACGTCTATTCTACTACCTCCCACTCTTCCTCTCCTTCATCTATTACATCAACTGAAATAATTTCCGCCTTCAAACTCGGACATTCCAATATGCCAATTGGTTTCACGTTATAGTTATCCGTCCACCAATTTCCAGCAGCTATTTCAATTAGTGAATAGTCAGTCATAAAGTAAAAAGGAGAAACGAGGAAGACTTACTTCTCCAGATATCCGGAGAACAACCATTCGTAAGTCCATCTGGTAAATGAATGTGCCCAAAAGAATTATACCTATTTCCAAAAGCTGTTATTGCAATCTTATGAGTTCCTGGTCCTAGTGACGTAATATCGAGCGTTCGAGGTTGGAACGCTATGCGTCCAAGTTTTTGGTCCGTATCGGCTAAAGCCACAAAGAGTACTGGCGAAGAAAACTCAGGGACAGAGAGATAAACGTTTGTGCCATGATTTGTTGGTGGTAGCGAGACATTACAGATGTATGTTAAATTGCCTGCATAGAAAGGTAGACCTTGTTTTGTAATATCTCCCCAGGATATGCTCCTTGGTGGCTCGAGACAAAACCTACCATGTTTGGTGCCAATAGAAAATTCTCCGAGCAAGTACAAACGTTCAATATTGGTAAGAATTCCAAATGGAAAAGAGATTGTGAGCGTATTCGTTCCCTTCTTGATAGTATTAGCTGGTATTCTCAAAGTCTGAATATCTTCATCAACCCACCAACCATCCGCTTCCTGAGAATTCAACTTGGTGTCGTTTATGCTTATTTCCATTGTTTTAGCATCTTCAAGAGCCACTCTTGTTGGCTTAAAAACATCAAACTCGGATCTAATAAGGAAACGCATGGTGACATGTGTCTTAGGAGCTCTTTCTGAAGCTGGAACTGACCAGGGTTATCTAAATGCAGCTCCTTTGCGGGGTAATCTTAGTCGATCCCGAATGATGTTATCAATCTTAAGAACTTCAGTGGAATCTGACCAATGCTCATCAGGATTTAATTTGTAGGACGCGTAATCAAGCATGAGAACATTTGGCTCTGAAAGTTCTACTCCTGTGAAAGTAACTTTGGGTTCCAATAGAGGCGTCTTCTCGGAAGTTTTGATCAATGGTAAAACCTCTTTATTAGACTGGCTTGTCCTTGATATTAATCGCATCAGAAGACTTGCGCACCCTTCAAATTTGTATTGCAGTTGTGTCCAACCACTTTCAACGTGGCTAGGAACTGGGCTTTCTTCTCCATTGAAAGTGTCCATTATAGAAATATCCCAATGGCCTTCCAGCTCAATCTTTGTCGTGACTGGGGAATCACGATCTTTGTTACAGATGAAAACAAATCTTTCCTCTCCATCTTCCCTCATCTGATACAAAAGACTTTTGACAGAGGAGCCAGTATCTCCTATTACTCGAAGATCACGGTATTCATTTAGTGCACATAAAATGTTTTGTTGACTCCAGAAGACGTTAATACTATGTTTGATGGTAGGCTTCTCTGACGAGACTGTGGCATCAATTAATCTGGAGGACCTAATTAGTATATCTCGACCACGAACCATACAACCGGACAATTTCGGCTTGAGGGAAAGTCAGTGTTAGATGAAGTTGTTACTCACTCAGGTGAACTTCCAGCAATGATGACATGGCCCCCAGCTTTCGAAAATGCCTGTAAAACTTTAAGAGTTGATGACCTAATGGTACGTAGATTCGGCACAATGATCACTTCGTATTCACAGTATCCTACTCTCAGCTTCTTGCCGGCCTGGTTCTTACTCACTTGAGTTGGCAATAAGCTCTCAGATATGAAATCAAAGTCAATTAAGCCGTGGAGTAGCCAGTTAGTGAGGTCGGAAAACGCACGATCACGAGACCCTGCTTCATCACCACTTCGATCAGGACCAAAGCATAACCAATAGCTCTCGATAGGATGAATGACCCCGACTCGAGTGACAGCCTTTCCTCTTGTCATTGCCACTCCAACTCTTGCGAAATGATCTTCGACATAACCATATTCCTTGTACCAAAGACTTTGATAATTAATAGAAGCTGGGTAGTCTCTTTTCCCTTCCCCAGCCATGCTTAACCAAGCAAGGTGATGAACACGAAAAGTAATGCCAAGAGCTGCTTGCCAATCACCACAACCTTTGTGACCCTCAAATGTAAAGTACCAATGAGTAACCCCGTATATCTCACACATTGTACCTCGATGACCCATTTGTCTAAAAACACTAGAAGCTTGCTTTGCAGTATTGTATTCGACACCATCAACAAGTAAGTCTATGCCTGGCATATCCATGTTTCGATAGCAACGCATTGCTTCACCTAGAGCTGTAGTTTGAGAGTAAAGAGTTGGCTCCTCCATCATGTGCCCATCTAGGTACAAATTATTTTCCCGGCACCAACGACTAATCTGATCAATGAATGCTGAAACAAATCTTTCAGACATGATCATGATATCGATATCTTGATAAACTTGGTTTATCATCTGGAAGATTCCATATAACCTGGGGTAACGATTCCACAATATCGGCATGGTACTCTTTCTTGAAACTGTCAGGCAAATCAGTTGTCCATGGAAGAAATATATCATCCTTAGCTCGAGGATGAGGAAGACGTATTTTGGTAGCGAATTGAGGTTCGTCCGTAAAGATGCAGGGTACAACACTTCCAAATTTTTCGCCACATTTATCTTTATAAGCTTCATGCGTAATTTCAATAAAGCGAGCCATTGCATCTACACTGAGGGTATCGATGTATGTTTGATCATTGAACCAAGATGAATTAGGATTCGACTCAACATAGGCGTACCAGATATTGTCACCAGATTCGTCTTCCTTCAAGATTCGGTTTGATTTGAGTGCGCCATCATTATCCAACTCGATCATACCTTGCTATTAGATGTCCATTCTCACTCCTGCTGGCTCTGGCTGATGAAGGAGCACCTCTGTTGATAAAATATATCAGAACATGAGGGGAATGTGGTTGGTTTATAACTTACTCTCCAAGTGGTACTGTGCCGTAAGGATGAGGTGTAAAAAGGAGATGTTTCCCTTTATGTTCAGGATACTTCTCAATAACCTTACCACCAGCAGCCCCAGAGGGCCATCTATCATCATCATATAAACAAGCTAACATTTGTTTGGTTTCGGCATAATCAACACAAGCACGAATCATATCCATGAATTCTGTTCCCATATATTCTATATCGAGACCAGTACGAACATGCGTATGAAATCTCCCCAATTCCATCTCAGCAAAATAATCAATCTGGCGAAGGAGTTGGTCCTTGTCGAGTTTTGTATTCCATGCCCAGAAGGGGCATCCTCGATATTCTGATGATGGGTTCTTAAAGAGTTGCGGATTGTAGCGTAAAGAACTCTTGGGATAACTCAAGGGATGGGGGGATTTTGATGCTATGTTCCGATCCTGTGGTTGACTTCTTCCTTGAAGAGTCTTGCTGATGAAGGAAGGGATGGATACGTAATCCATCATAACGACATCAAATGAACTAAAGATTGGAAAGAGGTTCGAGATAAAATGAAAAGATACAAACCTAACAATACTGAAGTCAGTATTTGATACCAACATAATGTGTTTCACTACGCCACTTCAAAGGGATTGGATGAGCATTGCATGATTGGATGAGGTGGGGTGTACATAGTAATATATTGAGGATTACTAACAAATTGCTACAGCAACAGTCCGCGACACGGTGTGGGGTAAACTAGCAGAAGTGTGAACATATTAATTTAACCTCAATTCATCACTGCACGTATAATAACCATCGCGCATCCCAAGTGTTATCTCACGACAAACGCGACTTCAATGACGAGGAGGAGATATCTTCCTCCCCCAATCAAGTAAAATGGAGTCTAGTAAGTTACGTCTTGATTCTTATAATTGATTGATACTAATTGGTCCATAGCTAGAGAAGAACGCATGCAACAACGGCTACGAGGAGCCCAGTAAGTTCTAAGAAGTGACCCCTCTTCATTATGCGGAACTGAAAGTCAGCCGTCTAGACGTCAAGTTAAAGATGTCGACTTTGGTTTTATGTTACCAGCTTTTGCTGCGCCGCCTGCAGCTGCACCTAGCCCAGCTCCAGCTCTGGCAATTTCAAATTCACTTTCAGAAACTCCCGCGAACCCAGAAACTCCTCAACCCGATTTACCTTCAGAACCTATAAGTCAAACGCCAGCTACTGCTACCGGAAATCGTGATAAATCTTCGAATATACTGGGTTTACAATCAAACAATATTACGAGATCCAATACTGGGAATGATGCAAATACGTCCGCGAAAAGAAGGAAGTTAGAAACTGATGAACCACCATCATCTTCCACCAGAAGTATGCGGTCTTCTCGAAGTTCTGCCAGGAAAGATATATATGATATGCCAGAGGACGATGAGGAAGAGCAAGTTGCGGCGGATCATTCAAACTCAATAATTTTAGAATCCTCCAAGGAAGATGTCCCAGAACCAGAAGGTATCGAGATTGCACCATCACCTCCCCAGATACAATCCGAGCCAATTGAGTCCATCGAAAAAGATGTATCAAATGAACCTATGGTGGCAGGCGACGATAAAGAATTGTTTGCGGAAGATAAGCCACCACAAGAAGAAACCGACCTTACGGGCGTGGACGCAGCAGAATCCCCCAAAATAATACCACGCCCATCGCGGAACAAACGAAAGAGAGATGAGCCGTCTTCTGAACCCTCAGGGCTAGATCAATCGGTAATTACTGAAGCCGACCACCTGGATACCACTAATGACAGTATTGAGGAAGTCGTACCAGAGCGAAGACGATCCCGTAGGAAATCGGCTTTGCAGGAGGAAGTTGAAATCATTGAGGATGAAAATCTGGAGGATTCTACGGAGCAAGCGGAAGCGATTGATGATTACGAAGCGGCAGTAACGTTGAAGAAAAGTCGAGGACGAAGAATATCCAGGAATGTTGTTGCTTCTGATGAATCTATTCCAGAGGATTCTGCACCACCCAGATCGCCTATTGCAAAGAAAAAGCGTGGTAGGGTTCGACAGGTCGCTAGTCCGGTACAGCAACGTCAGCCAGCACCTCCGAAATCCAAATCTCAAAGGGCGGAGAAAAGGAACAAAAAGCAGAAGGCTCGCGAAGGAAGTCCAATACCTGTTACTGTGCATCGTTTGACAAAAGGTCCTGTGTACGATGACGATGTTTCCGATGCTGATATTCTCAATTCTGAAATGCCATGTACGACAAGAGCAGGGGTAAATGCTGTGGATGTTCTTAGTCAAATATGTCAAGAGTTGGTCACTGCTGGGCTCGAAACCCTTGGGGAGAATGCAGTTAGAACTCAGGATGCTGCTCAAAGACTTGAGTACAAGACGAAGATTCGAGCTGTAGAAAGTTTTAGTAAAGAATTGCAGGTTCGCCTTCTAGAACATGTAAGTTAAAAGGTCCTATGGGCGTTTAATTACTAACTTTTTCAACGACCATCAATCTCGATAATTCATACTACTTTGAAAAACGCTTGAGGGAAGGTCAGAAGAAGAAGTTATCTCTGAGAGAGGAAATCCTTCGTGTAAGAGCTGAACGAGAAAAGGTTGCTTTACGTATGGATGGGATTCGAATTGCTCACGAGAAGGATTCACATGATGCTCAGGTAATTCATCCCCCCTTATCATGATTTTCATCCACTAATCTTGCCCAGCAACGGGAGTTACTCAACACAACAGTACATGATATTGAGCTTGCAGTTGAGCGAGGAAAATCCACCTCCGACAATACAGATGATGGAAAATCAAATATAGAGCTCATGCTCAAACGTGTCGCATCTGAAGCAAGTAGCACAAGTGATGATGGGGGCATTTTAAAACAGATCAAGGCATTTAATGCTTTCATGGAACGAGCTGCATTGGCGTTGGAGGGAAGGAAAGCTGTTTGAATAATTTTTTGATACCCCTGGAAATGAATTATAGAGATTGCTTGCATACTCTGATTCTCGGCTATATGTGACAGTCTGATGGTTTTATTTTGTTCAAGTATGTATATTCTGTTTCCTTGGATATATCGCACCATATATCCATTCTATACATGTATATCTTCACCCCAAGTACTCAAAAAGTACACATCCCCATCCCATCTACCCCGACTCAAGACCTCACTTAATACCTAATCCCCCTCTCCTCACATCCTCCCCACTTCGCTCACCCCCAAAATCCCACATCTCCCAATCTATCTCCCACATCTCCAATCTAAGGTTAGCGAAAAGCCAAAAGCATTCTCCGCATCCTCCATTCAATTTCCTATACCCACACAAAAATCCATACCCATGCCCATAACCACACCCACAACCATAACCACACCCACAACCATAAATCAATGCATTTTCTAGAAATTTTAAATAGCAGCATTATGATTTTATAGGTTGACGAATGAGTTACTGAGTCATTAATAAATGCACTACCATTCCCATTCATCCTAATCATCTAATTCTCTTTCATATCTCCCGAGTCGAGGAAATGAATCATATTCCTTCATCACTTTCGGATTCACTTCCCTTATTGCTCTTTTCTAGAATCTTACATATGTATGTACCTTTCTTCACTGGTGTGTGAAGGGATGATGGAAACGGTGATGGATTAGAAACACTTCATAAGGATGAGCCAACAAAAAAAATAAAACAATCACAAGATTGGGCAAGGCATTCATTTTGATGTTTATTCTCATTGATCTTATGCTAATAATGCTAATTGTAATCCGTTTTGTCCCATTTTAACCCAAGCCTTTCGTGATGTGGTATCGATACTGAATTTCCTAAACTGACTCCTGTGAAAACCAAAAAATCTCAAGCAAAAAAGCACAAATCCATCCTCCGTTTCCTTAAACTCCAATTGAAAAAGAAGCACAAAAACAAATAGGGAAAAGCCCCATATACAATGCCTGGTGCATTTGATATCTTCCAGCTCCTTTCAAAAACAAAGTACAAGAGCAAGAAAACAAAAGCGACATACACAATAAGTCCTTCAACTTCATTATAATCTCATCTCCCTCTCTCCTCAATTGAATGCATAAGAAACATCCTTCAAACGATATAGAAAATCGCTGTGTGAAGAAATTTGATCGACAAGCATCTTTAAGGATTCCGCAAGTGATCTTCTCAATCTAAGATTTTTGCTCTTATCCAAAGCACGTAACTCAGCCGATTTGGCCGTATGTTGAGCAGACAATTGCTCAATTTGGTTGGTGACATTTTCCATAATCTTCTCGAGAGCTAATTGAGGATCCATAGTTGGCCTCATTGTAACATCAGCATCTTCATCTGCATCGTCTTCATCATCATCTTCTTCTTCCTCTTCTTCTTCCCTATCCAGTGGTCCTTTCTGACCATTCAAAGTATCATCTTTCTTCTGATGTTGGCTTGGTGATGTCTTAATGTTTTCATCTTCCTTTGGTTGTGATGTCTTAGCATCTGCTGAACGTTGTAAATTGTCGAATCGTTCGACAAGATTCTTGTAACGGTCAAGAACCATATCTCGTTGTTTTGTGATGTTCTCAACATCGTTTTTGAGTTCCTCGTTGGTGGACGAGATTTCACTCAAGGTCCTTTCTATTTCCTTCTTTTCTCCTTGAAGAGATTTTGCTTTAGCCTCGGCGTTGGAAACAGACTTCATCATCTGTTCGTTTTCCGTGCGCTGTGTACGAGTGTCAGTCTCTAGTTGATGGATGGTCTCGGCCATATGATTATTTTGTGTGCGAAGAGTAGATATCTTTTCGTTTTCGAGGCGATGCATATTAACTTCGTTTTCCAACTGATGGATGGTCTCAGCCATATGATGATTTTGTGTGCGAAGAGTGGATATAATCGTGTCCTGTGCTCTTTTCTCGGTTTGAAGAGTGGATATGACATCATGTTGCTCTCTTTTCTCATTCAGTTCGTTCTGAAGAGAAGACATAATCGAATCCCGTTCCTTTCGTTCCTTCTGGAGAGAGTGTATAACAAAATCGCGCTCCTTTCGTTCGTTCAACAACATAGCCACTTGTTGTTGAAGTTCGTCAATGGATCGATAAATGTCGACCTCTTCTTTTCCCATAGGTTCGGCGGGTTGCTCAAGAATTTCAACCTTCTTGGGCAATGAAGTTGATGTGTTGTCGACCAACTTGGTAATGTTTTGGACTTCAGGAATGGCAAATGATCCATTAACAGTGGTGGACATGGTAAAGGTGGGGCTTGCTGCTTTCGGGGCGTTGCCAGATCGGTTTGATAAGTTTGCTGGGTGGTCCTTGATGAGAGTTTCGAGCTCTGCTAGTACTTGTCTTTCATTGTACTCAGCTTGAGCGAACTTCTGATGCTTGGAGCCTGCCGGAATATTGGAGGGTCGTTGTCTAGGGAGAATGTTCTCCTTGTTATGGACTGGGTGGGAGAGGTCCAAGGAAAATTCGTGGTCATCATTGATATTCTTGACAACTCGTCTTGGTGTATTTGCAGGCTGAGTATTCTCATTTGCTGGTTTAAGGTTGAATCTGGAGTTATTTTTCGAGACTGAATTCAATCGTTCCGACAATTTCGATTTTGAAAGTCGGCAAGGTGTATTATCTTGGTCCAATCTTGCGAGTTTGGAAGCCAATTTAGAACTGTTATTTGTTCCATTAATTTGCAAAGATCCTCCAGTGAAGTCTTGGAAAGCGTTGTCGTAGAGTTGCATAATTGGGGAATCCTGAGCCTCTTTCCTTGGGCTCCATCGATTATACCTTTTAGCGGTATCGCGAATATTAATTTCAGGACGCTGAGCTTGCTTGCGTTTCCTTCTTTGAATTTCCAAGTCGGTCGACATGGTGCATTGCTCGGCGGAGTTATCGGGGTCGAAGTAGTTCAAGGTGTCATGAGAGTCGTCACTGACTGTATGGTGTTGAGTGTTTGTTGAGTTAAGATTAAGTTCGAATCCACCCGAGGATGTGGTAGAGTTATTGGATTGAAAACGACTCTTTGGTCTTTGAGGAAGATTTTGTGAGCTTGAAATTGAAGACAAAGTGTCTTCGAAATTGCTGCGAGACATTTTTGAATTATTTATCGTATCAATTGAAATTGATTGTATTGAATTGTAAAAGTTGTGGCAGTTGAGGAAAGTACGAGGTGTTGTGGATATTGAATTTGAATTTGAATTTTGAATGTTTGATGTTCGAATGTTTGTTTGTGAATGGAAAATTGTAAACAAGTAAAAGCGCGACAAAAGATAAGAGAGACGTGGGTTGGGAGCGGGAGACGAGATTATGTAGGAATCCCTGTGCGCTATACATCTTGGTGAATCTACCACTAATATTCTAGAACTAACCGAATTTGTATGTGATCGACAAAACATCATATCGTCTGTCCGATGTCGAAATACACTTGACATCTAGTATCTTATAGCGTCTTTCAAGTGTCAACGTTTAAATCCAGGATCGGCGATGGATATTAATTCTTCAGGCTAGGATCTCGATCTCTAGTATAGTTAAGAGGAAAATGAATGACAGTTCAACTCGATGTTCCTTCTAATCAGTGAATACTCCTGAATCAGTCATTAGGCTAAAATCGCTTCCTCCATGTTCCAATCAGTTCAAGTTCAGAATTGGCAATGAAAAAGGTCCTCTAGCTCTTCAATATTATCTAGATGCTGTGATTGCTATGGATTCAACCATTTAAACCGCACATATGGAAAAATCCTCATCATTAATCTATTCGAGCATGACGCTCCGCTTGGCCACTGCCGTGGAGACTTTTTCGCTTTGCTCTAGAATCCAATATTCTTCAAATCGAGGGTCTTCTTTATTTTCTAGTGCGAAGCGAAAAAGTCTCCACGGCAGTGGCCCAGCGGAGCGTCATTCATATCACATTAGATTCATAGAAGACCCCTCATCATTCAACCACACATTTGATTCATCGGCCACTCGTTTATATACTTTGACCTGAATGTTAGACATGTCTACTAAATGACCATCTAGAAGCTCTCATGTTAGTGTTACATATTTTAGTGCATTATGACTAGTTCTTTGCTGAGTGATCAGATTTTAGGGGTCCAAAAGTTCTTGAATTGAGATTAGTAACTCCTTTGTGAGTGGTTAAGTTAAATAAGGGCGAGAATCGTTGGACAGTCCACTACTATGACGAATCTTCTATCAACTTGGTAGTACCGAATAGTTGGAAGCTAGTAAGATGAGCTAATGGCAGAGGCGTTAGATATGCCGATACTAGGGCATCTTTCTCATCTAGTAGTTCTAAAGAGTGAATGAAATTGGTCATTGATATCATCTGCCGAAAGCCTAGAAACTATGAGATTGAGTTTGAAGGCATACTTCATAATTGGTGTTCACTAGAGATGATATGCTGAAGCTTGTAAGCTACATAAGCACTTCACTAACCTAGGTACCAAAAACCTTACCCCTTAGCGCTCGACATTTCAAATTTTTAGACAATGGGTTGATATTCTAGACCGGGCTCATTGAAATAGCTTAAACTTTCGCCACATTCATGACATCTTCAAAGTGCTTACTCCCAATCATACTGTTAGTAGTCTTCCTACTCTAGCTCCATCATGACTCTTGCTGTTGAAACTACCAGATATGGACGTTCTCGTTGTTTTAGCTACTAGAAGAAGGTGAATGTAGCTAGATTATGGTTGCTGCCAATATACGATCAGGGAGATATATCACGATCTAAGTGAGCTGTCAATTCCATCACAGGCGAAGTCAAGTGGTTATAGTTAGCTAAGACACTTAAATTGACTGTTAGTCCCATATCTGCATGATCATGACTGTACAAGAATCGGGTCATACGGCTGGAAGAGTCCATTAATATGCTAGAATTTCATGACAATTCTTCAATAAGCCAAAGGAGTCAATGGATGTGCTCATCATTCATGGTGGCTCATGTAGACCACTTAAGCCGATAATTTCTTCCGGATTGATAGTCGGATCCAGAGATGGGTAGCCATACATTCTGATACGAGCAATCCTGTACCTCACTTGATAGCATTCTGTCATAAAACGTATGAGAACGAGCTGTGAACCAAAATACGGGAAAACTGCGCATACATGTAAACAAAACTAAAAACTCGGCCGAAACATCTCAAATCCTTGAAACCCTTTTCTCTCTGTGAATGTTCAAGATGACTTTAAGGCACACAAGTTCACACATTCCCTGATCCTTTTTCCTTCTGTGGTCACATATATCTAATCCCTATAAATGTTGTGGTTGAGTCAAGAAGGTTAGTCTGACTAATCAATTGCTCCGGCAGAAGCCGGTTACCCGGTCCACCGCGACCCCTCTCCGAAGAAAAAAACCCTAGAGCTAGAAAGTACAAGCGAAAAAGCGTGAAAACCCCCATCTTTTCAGCCTCTACAGCCTTGTCTTGCGCCCGAAAAAACACCCAAAGGAATCTACGCAAATACGAGTATGGCACAAGCAGTAAAAGATAGTTTCCTGTACTTGGAGAAGTATCGTCAACAACTTGAGGATAACATCGCAAAATTACGAAAATCACTGCAGCACTGGCAAACTTGGGATGCTGAATATGATGGCTTGAAAGAAGAAATTCTCTCAGCAGATCATACCCCAAATCGCGATAAGCTCATATCGATCGCACGAAATTACGAAGCAGACTTGGTCAAAGGTAAAGAGATCGAAGAAATACTCGGCACCGGCACTCAGAGAACGGCTGAACAAGTTGTGAATTTGTTGGATCGGAGATTGGATTATGTTCAGCAAAACATCAACACAATCAAGAAGCAGATCGAAACGGCAGAGGAGAAATTGGCAAAAGCTACTATCATTAGTACTCCGGACGTAAGAAATGAGGAGGGGCTTCCTGTAACGGAAATCATTGAAGAGTTGGATGATGAGGGGAATGTCATTTCTTCGAGATTATCAATGCCTGGAGATGTAAAGCCACAATTGTTGGAAGTATTACACAAGGCTGGAATAATTGAACCGGTATCAAAGGATGAAGTTCATGCTGCAGAGGAGGTCGATGATGATGCGCCATCTAGAAAAGCTTCAACACAAGTCGATACTGTTTCCCCACCGACGGAAATGAAGACGGTCGACACAAGACCCAAACCATCCGCCACATCTCCAAAGCCTGTACAAAAGAGCGTGAAGTTTACAAACGATACAAAGATAGAGCCCGTGGAATCGAAACCAGCAATATCCCCTGCTGCAAAGCGCCTCGAAGAGCTTATGCGATCTGCCAAAGAATCGGAGAAACTTTCATCTGAGCCCGCCATCATACCTACCGATGAATCTCCGGAAGATGCAGCTCTAAGGCGAGATATGTTACAATATGGAATTTCGGAAGTCGGATCTGTGGTGGCAGAAATAAATCTAGAAGATGGCAGTGACTGGGAATCTGAAGACTATGCAGACGATTCTGATAGTGATGACGATGAGGATCAATTTGGCAAATCGACCCGTCCAGTTGTGGATGATGAACTTCGTCAGCGTATGATCGAACTCGAAGAAAAACTTGGTGTTAGGATGATGGAGAATGTTGGAAAGAATCCAGATGATTATGGTATGGTCCAAGAAGGAATTGGACGCATATCTATCAGTGGTAAAGATACGCAGGATGCTGGCAAGGGAATTCTTACAACATCTAGCAAGGAGAAGTTGAAGGACTCAAACACTGTCAAATCTTCTACTACCGATGACTCTTCAAAGAAGAGCGTCAGATTTGCAGAGGAACTAGATATTTCACCTGCTCCTGAGACGCCTATTGCCTCCGCCACAAACACGGAGACTAAGGCTGCTCCAGTTGGAGATATCATTGAGAGAAAAGCTCCAGGTCAATCTTCTTCCGCACCTCCAGTACAAAAGAAGGGTTCCCGTTTCAAGACCTCTCGAACTCCGATGAATAATGGTGCTAACGGTGTTTCGAATGCCACCTCGATTACCACAAATCCTTCGCATCTCAAATTATTTCCTGCCACTCCAGCTACTCCCAAGCCCTTTTCCCAACCGATTCCTTTTGCACCGGCGATTGAAAACCCTCGTCCAGTTCCGACTGGTCCTGCAAACCGCACACTTGCACCCAAAATAATCGAACGGGAGGTACAGCTCAACACTAATGCAGCCGCACCTGATGAGTTCGATCCGCAGTTATTACACCAAGAAGTTGCGACTGAATATCATCGAATGAGGAACAAGATGATTGGCAAACAAGGTGGCTTCGCTCGGGAGGAAGAGAGTGAAATCGTGCCATTTACGGAAGAAGAAGGAGGTCCAAAGAAAGTTAGTAGGTTTAAGGCAGCGAGGTTAGCGAAATCTTGATGTTTGGTAGGTGTTTTATAGAATCAAGAATTGATCTTACGACAAATTTCAGGTGGCTACCCATTATGTGTTCCTTTACTACTGTCACATTTTTCTGTTTTTCATTTCCCCCTTTGGTCAATATCTCGACCTGGTTCAATGGAAGTGCGATCAGGCCGATCAGGGTTTTAAGGTCTCAGGTACAGTGAAGACCATTAGCAAGCATTTACTACCATGGCAGTAAGTGGCACAATCTATCTCCTTGCCAGTCATTGATATACACGTATACTATTTGCCTATCGTTGTGGCTACCGTGTCTCACGCATTTTCGGGCGCTTCTCTTCTTACCCTTTCTTAGCACTTCTCACTCATTCGGAGTTGTATGGAACGTACAAATATGACAATTGATGTACTATGCAGCTTTAATCTACTAGTACATTGCAAACGTTCCTAAATTGACTTTCTTGCGCAAGCAAATAAGACAGGGCTCTCTGACGTCGCGACTTTTGATCTGTGGTTGCGGGGATTCGTTTCACCCTGGACATTTCTTTGACTTTGTATTTCTATTTTGTGGTATTTGCTAGGATTGTATTCTACAATTTCACATGCTAGTTATCGTTTCTCTTTTTAGCTTTATCACGCGATGCGATAGAAGGAATATTTATAGGACGCAAAAGGATCACTCAGTCAAGGAGAAATGATTTGACAACCGGATCATAATCAAATACATTAAGCTAGGTCTGGGACAATGAGTCCAATAACTACTAAGTCCAATACTTAAGAAATGACAATAAAACATAAGATCGTGTATTATGCTTCAAGTCGAAGCAAATTACTTCTTGAGATTGAAAGGAACTGCTTCTTTGTAATGAGCCTTGCAGAGTTTCTCTCCATAATAGAAATGCTCATTAGCCTCCAAATCCGGGAAATTGGAAACTCTCGCCTTCTGCTCAAACACCATTACAATATCCGACCCTCCAAAAGCAAAGTGAGAAATCTCATCTCCCTTCTTGACAGTCTTGCCGAGTAGCTCTGTATTCATGACGACAGAGGAAACGACAGCCATACCAATAGGTAGGATAGCAACTCGACCCAACTTATCATTGTTGATAATAATGATTCCGCGAGTTTGCAAGAATTGATAACCTGGTGTGTCAGGAGCGTCGAGAGTGACGACTGAAGCTGGATCCTGTTTCTTCATGTTTGGTGATATACGTCGACGAGGTTGGAGATAGTTGTGACCTCCAGCCTTTTCATCTGTCTTAACCAATACCTCTAAGTAGGCAGCACCTTGGATCACGTCGATGACTTCGACTGTACCCGAGATAGGCGCGTGTTGTCGATGATAATCAAAGGTGTTGAGGAAACAATGTGTCCAAACTCCTTCTTTGAACAAGTCTCCGTATTTGGTCTGGTCGTCCGAACCTGGAACTTCCTTAGTCCCGTATTTACCGAGCAAATCTGATACCTTCCAGGGCAGGTTCTTAAGTATCACCTCAGACTCATCGGTAACTGAGAAGGCGCCGGCAAAAGTGGAATCGGCAGGGAAAGTTATGATGTGATCATCATTTGGTGCGCAGATCTCACGAGGTTCCTTGAGCTTGCGGTGAAAGAACTGATTGAACGTCTTCCAGTTGCTTGGGTCCTCCGCCTCGAAGACACGGTACTGAGGAGAGTTTCGGTAGCTGGTCAAAGAAGTTTCGTTCCATGACTCTGGCTGGTCCATAAATCGGCCAATTTCTTGGGCATAACGTACGAGCCAGTCGGATAGTGGGGTAAGTGGCTTGCCGACATTCTTTGGAAGAATGGAGGTCTGTCGAACGCCCAAAGGATCTTGGGCGAGGACGAAGTAAAACATGCAAAGGATGTAATAGATATCGCGACCATGGGTGGTCTCGGTCGGAATCCAACCTCGAACTAACCAGTCTGCAAAATCTAGAAATCCTTTTCCAGAGATGATGCCATATGTGACCATGTCTGGAATATCGTATTTCAAGGCATTTCTGACAGCAGTATCGAGATCATCGACTTCTCTGAGGAGTTCGTCCCGTAGCTCGTTAACAATGGGAGCGTATGTAGGCATGTTAAAAGGTTCGATTAAATTATTGCAGGAAAGACAATTGGTGAGTCTGTTTGCTGTATAGTATATTTTGAAGGGAGGAAGTTTATTGATTGAGTGTAGGTTGTAGACCTGAAGTTTCAATTCATCTGGCTTCGAGCAATTCTTTAAATACCCTTCATTCTGCGAGAAATCGATCGGAGGAGACAGTCATTACCTGTTACAGTCATACGAATGATTGCAGATGCTTGCATGATCGGAGTCTTTCAAAGAGGGGTTGGACATCGACAAGACGAAATTGGAGGTCTTGTACGTAATGATTTTATGTCCACAACGATCGTAACAATGCGAGTGCTTGAAAGAGGAATTATGGGCTTAAGAAGTCACCAACAGGTCATCGTCGTCGTAGTATACCGCATGTGTTCTGGAAGTTGTGTAAGCTTTTTGGCTGCAGTGCCAGGAAGAATTGTTACAATGCCATTGTCGGTAAGGGAGTACCGAAAATCCTTGATCTTTCAGGCAATTGAATACATTTCTCTGGCGAGATCGTTGCAGATCAGATTGATCAGCGAGTCTAGTGGCTAGCTGAGCTTCACATCTAGATGAATACTGTTCATCAGCTGTAATACCCTTGTAGATCTAACGGTAGTTGGAAGCTATTAATGCCAGCAGCGTTACTTGCAGCGTTACTGTTACATCAGAAAAGAAGAGGGGTAAGGGGCAATAAGTAGCATGCGGGGAAAAGTATTCGCTAATCCGCATTGAGCCGCTTGCGTTAGTTTCACGACGCGCTTCATACTGTTTCAGTAGCACAGCACATCAGCTTTAATATAACAAGCCGCTTAAATGTAAATGACTTCATGAACTCTCAGGAAAAAATCACGATGCTGCGGGGTATGCATTTATTTATCTCGAACATGATAGGATCAACATATCAGGTACATTTCTGGTGGATTTCGGAAAACTTGATATATGCATGCAATTCAATCTGTCTCTGCATCTCCTATTCAACGGATGAATCTGCAACATTAACGCTCGTCATGTCGTGTTAGTGCTGATAAACATGATGTATCTGGATGGAAATGGCCCTCCCCCCACGGTTTGCAAGTGATTTGTGTATGTGTATATTGGAATTAAAGCATTGAAACTTTTCAATGTTCTCTCTGGCCAAAGCACAAAGTACCTGACTTCCCATCCACAGAGAGGGGTTGGGCATCAAACTCGTGGGGTTGAGACTACATTTTTCTTTCTTTTCCTTTTGCTGCATGTTTTGGCTGGCTAGCTTAGGGAAGCTCGCACAGCTTTGATGGACCAAGTATAACGGATAATGGAAGGATATGATATATTTAAATTATGCAAGAGTATTGCTGGCTTGAGTTGAATAATTTCAAGTGAAAAAAATATATTTCAAAAACAAGGATGGAAAAAAGGTGGGTATATTGCAAAGGAAGTACCTATTACGCGATTACGATGATGTGTCGCAGTTCACTTCACCAGCGTGCAAGATATGTGGTGTAAACTTTAATCGAGAGTATGCAGGTATCTAGGGTACATCGCACGAAACTCGTTCTTCAAATATGAATGTCGTGGAGACAAAGCGAGCCCCTGAGCTTTGTCTCTCGTTTCGTTTTGTTGCGAGAAGTGCTCGAAGTCCAGGTCCATAGCATTATATAGAATCAGAATTTTAGAAGCTCAAAACTTAGGTTCTATGTTTTCTCCAAGTCTACGTTGCATCCAGTACTTGCAGCTTCCTAAGTACACAGTACATGCGCTACAACCAACCCCTAGATATTTTCTTCAGTCGAAGATACAGATACTATGGCTGGATCGTTATCTAACCCAGCCCCAGCATGGAATAGTATGTTCCGTTTATCTTTTACCCTTTTGAAAGTCTTGCTAATCACATTTCATTGTCAGATGAATATGATGCCAACCTCACCAAGCAAATCATCAATAGCCAACACATTTTGCACGTGTCTTTCCTTACGAAAAACACCGAGTATCCACCTGTTATCTCGTCGGCAAAATCATCAAATACAGGAACAACCCCGAAGTCTTGTATGTGCACGGCCATGTCCAGGAATCCGTTCTAAGGCATCTCAAAGAAGTTGAAGAGGGCGATCCTGAAATCCGCATCAGTATCGCAGCAAGCACGGCTCATAGTCACTATCTTGGCTTTTCGGGGTTCGCTACCGGTTTCACATTTGCCAATACCGCCCTCAACGGTACAGCTACTTTGATGAAAGTATCTGATGATAACCATGCCGAGAGAGAATGGATAATGAAGCATATCATCAATTCCCAAATTCCGGACGCTGGAATCAGCTTCGTCCCATCGGTAAAGATATAGATTATGTCTCTATCATCAAGATCACCCCTAACCCCAAAAAATCACACACACACGCAGTTCCTGCTGTACTGGGCTTAAAGTTCAAAATGATGTTGAGGACAAGAAGCTCTGCGGGCAACATTAGGAAGGTGCGATTCCGGTATGGGAGAAACTCGGTCAACCGATCTCCGGGTAGGAATAATTTACCAGAGGGAAGAGAGAGAGTTGCTCCGAAGTATATCACTGGTTTCATCGAGATCGAGAATATGAAGAATGAGTATTTTGCGCGGAAAATGGCGAGTAGTGATTATCCTTATGATTATCCCAGACATTGAGGCTGGGGATAGCTACTTGGAGTGGGTGACATTCATACGGAGGATACAGTTTTGGGAATTCCACTTTCGGCTATTGATTGGAATGATTTACGATTTTTTGACTATAATGCTGCATTCAAAATTAATTGGACTTATCTCAAAGAATAATCATGTAGTATACACTCAAGCTAGTATCTATCAATGTCAATCTCTGTATCCATGATCATCCAATCTCTAGAGATCAACATCAGCATCAGCTCTCCACCCCTCCATCCCCCAACAAGCACAGTAAAAGATAAATCACACAACACCACCATGACCACAATAGAGTAACACCAAACACCCCGCTTCATCAACCGAGTATTCTAATAGTTACACAATACCCCGCAGCTTCCATGCACACGATTTCACGACATACCCGTTAAACACCATTGGCTGCCACGATGCTACTGAGTAATCGGTTTGCATCTGAATTATTGTGATACCTGTCACAGATTGATGGGTATATCGACGATCCCCGCATCTTGACTCTTCAGGTGTTACTTGGGATATGTGTTGTCTGGTGGTGTGATGTTGATGTTGATGTGGGTGGTATGGTGGATATTTGGGTTGGTTTAGCAGCTGAAACTATTTTCTTGGGATTGAGGAGGAGAGCTTCTACCAATATTGTTACTAGGGTAGGGAAATGGGTGGCTGTGGCTTCTGTGGGAGGATGGTTTGTGCAATGAGGAGGGAGTTGTGTATATATCCTATCAAAAATTCTACCCAAGTGTTATGATTTTTCATGAACTAAATCACGAAGTTCTTTCTCAAGCACAAAGTTTTTGTATTGGCTCTTGGCTTTTATTATCTTAACAAGTACTAAGTACAAAGTACATTCAGTCAACAATCAGTCATGGCTACCGATAAGCTGGATTTCGTTTTCAAAAAGTACGTACTGGAGTTGATGAATGAGCAATCAATCATTGAAACTGTTACTAACCAACGAATTTTTCATCCTTGATATAGGATCGATGAGCTTGCTGCTGCTGTTGCCCCGGAGTATAACATCATCAATGATCGTAAGTTCAGCATCTGCATACACAACGGTGGAAAGTACACGTTCTAACCCGAGTATAGGACTCGCACCAGCAGTCAAGATCCCATCAATTTCATCTGACCGAAGCCCTGATGGACGCAAAAATGTAGTCGCTGTATGCATACACCCTCCACTCTTTTGAAATACTATTATCACCTTGAATTCTAACACACACGTCCAATTATTAGATGACGGATTTTCTAGAAAATCAACTAAAGGCATTACATGCATCAGTCCATCGCTATCCACTAGGGCCAGAACCCGACACCGACCTCCAACTCCCCGACATAATAATCGCCAATTACCCCTCAACATACGACGCAAACAAAAAAACCATCCTAATCTACGGCCACTACGATGTGCAACCCGCAGGAGACGGCTGGACAACCAACCCATGGACCCTCACTGAAAAAGAAGGAAAACTGTACGGACGCGGTTCTACCGACGACAAAGGCCCTCTCCTCGCCTGGCTCAACGCACTAGAAGCCTACCAACTAGCTAACATCGACGTACCCGTCAATCTCATATTCTGTTTCGAAGGAATGGAAGAATCGGGATCAACTGGTTTTGCGACTTTCGCATCATCGCCTGCTAATAGCCACATATTCGCCCATGTAGACGCAGCATGTATATCTGACAATTACTGGCTTACGACGCGCAAACCCTGTTTAACATATGGATTGAGAGGGATAAATTATTTCAAGCTGACGGTTGAGCATCCGGGGGTCCAGTTGCATAGTGGGATGTTTGGGGGATGTGTGTATGAACCTATGACTGATTTGGTGATTCTTCTGTCGAAATTGGTGGATTCGCAGGGGAGGATTTTGATTCCGGGGATCGAGGAGTTGGTCGAGGGGGTTACGGAGGAGGAGGTGCAGGAGTATGCGACGATTGAGTTTACGACGAGGGATTTTCAGGATACGATTGGGAGTCGGGCGAATATTTTTGAGGATCCGAAGGATACTCTTATGCATCGGTTTAGGTTTCCGAGTCTTACGATTGTGGGTTTATTTCTTTTTTTTTTTGTGTTGCACTTTTTAATGTTCGTATCTATTGGCTTGTTATCTCCTATTCCCACTCGCTTCCTCGTATTTCTACGCACAAATACCTCTCACCCCTCTCACCCCTCAAATCCCCCCCTCAAATACCCCAAATCCACCCACACAACCCCGACTAACCCCCTCCCTCCCCTTTATAGCACGGCATAACCGGTGCCGACTCCTCCCCCAACCAAACCACCTCCATCGCACCCAGCGTAACCGCGAAATTCTCCATCCGCACCGTCCCCTACATGGATCAAAACTCCATCACCAATCTCACAACCCACCACCTCATGCACGAATTCGACAAACTCAGAAGTAAAAATACATGTCGCGTGGAACTATTTGGAGAATCTGCTCCGTATTGGCTTGGGACATCCGATGATGCGAATTTTCGGGCTGGGAAGATGGCCACGCAGAGGGTTTATAAGACTGAGCCGGATTTGACGAGGGAGGGGGGGAGGTGAGTTTGATATTATTATTTTTTTGGTTGTGACTTTGGCTTTTGGCTTTTATCGTGGAAGGGGTTTTTTGCTAATGATTTAATAGTATTGGAGTAACGCTTGATTTACAGAATGTGTTGGGAGAGAAGAGTATTATGTTGTTGCCGGTAGGGATGTCTGATGATGGGGCTCATGGACCTAATGAGAAACTTGACAGGGTGAATTATATTGAGGGGAGTAAATTGCTAGGGGCTTATTGGTATTATTTTGCCAATCCTTATTCTTAGGTTATTGGTTTACGGATGAGCTTGAGTTCTTTTGTGTTGTGTGGTGTTTTATTATCACATCTTGATGATTAGGAAATTGTTTCGGAACCTCAAGTCAATGATATGTATATGAATGAATGAACATCAATATCCATGCAATTGAATTTCAAGTGCTTTCAAACGAATGTCCCATCGCTACTCGCAATCATTTCCAGATTCTCATATATAATCGTCAACGAGTTCCAAATACCAATTTTGAGTTTCCAATTTCTGCACCAAATACCCCGCTCCTCCACACTCCCACAACAAAATCCAGCTAGTTATCCCATTCAATACTTCTCAAACATAAAACTCGACTATTAATACATCCATTCCATCCTATAACGAGTACCGACACTCCTCTCATTTCAAAATCACACTTGTGAATTCCACACCACTCCATGAAACATGATATTACTCAAAAAGTGGATATAATCTCGGATCACTGGAGTCTTGTGTGTTATACAATATCACAGTATTCCACATTCCACAATATAAAGAAAATGAATTCAGCGTATACTAACACGGTGAGGTGATCAATTGGCATGAACTTGGTTGTGAACTGGTATATCATATCATATAAAAACCAAAGGACAATCAATCAAAGAGAAGATCCAAGGGAAATCTTCGTACCTGGTAATTTCATCATCATTATCATTACCATTGATCATTAAATACCCTATAATAACCACCTAAACAATCCACCCTAGAATCTCTACCAAGAACCTTCTAATGTTCTCTTTTAATTCCCTAGCAGCTGTAGAATTTCTCCAAAAATGCTCCCCGTTGGCTACCTCTTCATATCTAAAAGTCATCGTACTCCCTGGTTCTCTACTTTTGCATATCCGCGACAATTTTTCGGTCCAGCCTGTGAACCAATAGTTAGTGCCTGTTCTTCCGAATTCAGATGATGATTGATCACTTCACTTACGTTCAAAAGTTTTGGCTTGAACAAAAAGATCACCGGTTCCATAGAGGACCAAGGTAGGATCGACTGTGAACTTGATATCGGGCTCCATTTTGTGGTTTTGCTTTCCGAATAGAAGATTCGGTCTGAAACTTCCGATACTTGCTAAGTTATTGATCATGCCATCAGGAGGCAAAGGGGAAATGAGTAAGTAGGCAAGTTTCATATCATCCCCAAGGCTATCAGCAGGTTCGACTTTTCTATCATGAGTATGCCCATTCGAATTTTCCACATTCGAATCACTATCATGATCCCTAGGCGTCGAAGTATAGCTCAATCCTCTTTTTGGAGACCCGTGATGAACAAGAGACTTGATTCTGTCTACACTCTTTCTAACGTTTAATGGTGCATCCACGGAGAATGATCGTCTCACACCGGAACCACGTAGATCATGACTAGCCCTTCTAATATCTTCATCACCACCCATTCTAACTCCCGAGTTAGATAGTCGAGTTTTATGATTGGTCATCTGTTCCCCTAATTGTAGACTACGGCCTCGTCTATGGTTTCCCGCTCGGAGTAATGAATATCCAGTTTCAATTACCTCGTTCTGTTGATTAGCTAAGAATCGTGCTCGAGATCTTATGTCTGCGTATGGAGTACCAGAGATTGGCTGTTGAAATGGAGCAAGAATGGCAAGAAGGCTCGGGTCGAGATTAATTGTGATGAGAGTTCCATATGAATAGCCCGCAAGTAGTAGAATAGGAGGGGCTTCGAACCCTCCAAGACTCGACCCGGCAGACGTGTGTTTACCTGGAGAGCTACCATTTGTAATTTCCAATGGGCCTTGTGACTGAATAGGAGCGAGGTCTTGAATTTCGGGATCAGATTGTGTAAATGACGGTGGGCTGGACGAATACGGCACGGTAAGGTGATGCAGATAGGTTACGATGAATCCGATAAATGATATATAATCCTTTTGTTCAGATAGGGAAGACCATGAAGTATGTCCTTTCGAAGAGCCTGCACCACTAATGAATAGTAAGTAAAACTAGAATCCAATAATATTATAAAAGTTACATATAAGTACCGAAAATTGAAAGTCCCTACAACAAATCCCTCCTTCAAAATAGTAGAAGCAACCAAATCCACTACAGGATCGTCATAGCTCCCTCCCAAGGGTGCATAAGGATGCGCAACAATGGCAGCTCTCTTTCTCCAAGGTATAGCCTGGGAGAGAGAAGTAGGTACCAAGCATGGAGGATGGTAGATGCGACAATCAAGACTGGAATTATCGTGGATAGAGGGAATTGTGAAGCTTAGAGTTGGCGGTGGTAGCATGACCATTATGCTTCCCAAGGATGGACGATCTCATCCGATGGCTAAGTCGTATGAAATAATTTTTGGCATCATGAAATAAACTTTTGCCAAAACTATATAGGATGCCATTGATGCGAGGTAAGGTCGAGGTCGAGGATAAGTTTATGAAGTGTGGAGTATGATCAGGTACTAGGATTTAGGGCTGTTACCGGTTAATTTAGGCCCGCGCCGGCCTGTAGATCTCCCGGCTAGTAGCCCAAAAGAAATTACCCATCACCAAAATTCAATGCCAGCATCTAAAATCGCATTTACAGAGTATACATTTATTCGTATCTCGTTGATCCACAGTATCATTTACTTTGAAGTCCGTTGTTCTCTCGCTGTAATAATCTTACAATTTCCCAAGGATCGAAGTTATTCAACCAGCCCATCAGCTTTAACCTCTTGATTTGGTCTTCCGTAGGCCAGAGGCAATCATTTATCCCGAAGCATCATTTTTTGTCAGTCCTGAAAATAGGTATAGAGCTCGATGTGAGCTAGATATGAGGCCAAGTCTACAATCATGGAGATAGAGACGCATTTATAGCATTTGTGATTACCTAGAGTGTTCTAAATTGCCCATACATGGATGCAATGAGCTTCGAAGTTTTGTTGTTGTAGTCAGAGGAATTGACACTTGAGAGGGGTAACGAGTCAGCCACGGTGGATAATTAAGAGGCCAGGAAGACCGGGGAGACAGCAGAGAGTGGGGAAGAGCAAAGGAAGGAGAAAGAATGTATTCAAAGTCTGGAAAGAGGACTCGATTTCGGGTATTTTCGGCTGGTGCCTCGGAAGATGGATCAACAAGATGTGGAGATGCCCTCTGCAAGAAAATGTATATAGTCGGCAATACGTCTTCTGTATTTAAAGCTACATTTTCGTCCCCTCCCTTTGTCTGCAAAAGTATCCTAACTCATAGAAGAGAATACCACTGGTCAACCTTAACCATATCGTCCTTATATCACCACCCTCAGGCAGACATGTCCTCAAAAAAACGCCCAAAACTCCGTGGAATTTCTACCCCAATCGTTCGCCGAGCCGCAAGATGTCTGCCATGAAGTCGTTCCCTAGGCGCATCCGAGATGCATGTCCCCTTTCTCGCACATCGGTATCGAATGTCTGAATCATCTCTTCCTCTCGAAGAAGCCGGATGACCCTGCGATAGCTACCGATTGATCCATAACCCATTCACCAACTCCAAGATATTTCTCGATCCAACCATTGAGCTCTTTGTTTTCGGTCACATCTTTCTTAAGACTGGGTCTAGAGTCCCGAAGAATGGGAATTGTTAGCCTTCTGGTCCAACTTCCTATTTCACCGCCGGATCAAGAAGTCCACATGCTGCATCAGAATTGCAAGCTAATCATTTCGCAGTACGGTCGCAAAGGGAAGTATAGGGGTAAACACACGTTAAACCAGTTGATCTTTTCATACCAGCCAAGAATGCTGAGACTGTATCAAGAACGGTCAGTAAGCTTATCAGCGACCGCAAATAGGGAGAGGATAGTTACTTACATAGGACAGCATCAAATGCATAGTGAGTAAGTTTTCCGAGCTTTCCCGCGAGTCCAAATGTTAGTAAATTGAGGAACTGGGCTGATTAGGTTCTCATGTTCTGAAAGACCTGAAAACTTAAGGGGGGATGAACCAGCTCACCATATTTATCAGTCGAAGGGTTGAGATTTAAACGATTTTCGAAATGCTAATACAGAAATGCGAAAGGTAATAATCCGAAACTCGAATCTTATTTGGCGTGCGGAACGTTGAGTTGTGATTTGTTTGATTTGTTTCGTTATGGTTATGTTTTGAGCTGACTTTGAGTTTTGGTAGTCATCGGGTACCATTCACCGTCAAACATGCGATTACACTACCGGAGATCACCCAACACCGTGCGTTAAGTTGTGCCTTACATGCCTTAAGTGATGCCTTAACATGTGCCTCAAGTTGTGCCTTAAGGTATGCCTTACTTCGTGCTTCACTTTATGCCTTACTTCATGCCTTACTTCATGCCTCCAATCTTAGGCATAAGCGGGACAACGGAAGAAAGGGACAGCGGGAGAACGGACAACGCGTAGAGCGCGCAAAAGTGATTTTAGAGGTTTCAAAAGATTTTGACTTCGACAGCACCGAAAGAATGGCCGAATCCCAATCTAGCTAAGAATTTACTAGTTCTCCATTTGGTATAACCTACAGTTAGTCCGCTGCTGGACCTGAGTTTCTAAAAGTGCCCAGCATCCAGTTGTAAGGGATTTCACCAAAATGCTACCCTGCCAACGAATCAGCCAAGGGTACTTTAACACTTGGGTACTTGTTGTCGATTCAACATTCTGATGTGGGAAAGATCAGAGTCTCGGAAAAGAGTTCACCACTTTTTATATGTGCAGAGTACAAGTACGTGGGTGATGGAGTAGGTGAGGTGGACATGGAGGGGTAGACATACATACACTCGGTACATATACCCAGTACTCCGTAGGTAGGAGAATAAAAGGTACTGTGTCATTCTCTCCATCTTATTATCCATGGATAGATACATCCAGCCTTATTCCTCTGAACCTCGCTGCAGATTGAATATTGAGGGTATTGTCCATATTATATTATATTATACTATATTGTATCAATCATGTCAATCCATCTTGTCCTCCCTGCGAGATTACTTGGAACAATTTGCACCGAGTACTTCGCATATCGAAACTGACTACCTAGTAATACCTACTCCGTACTACCTACTACCTGCTACTACTAGTACTATCATAGGTTCACCATTCAGAGTACTCCGTATGTGACATTCATAAAAAAAAAACTCATTATCGTGGAGCTACTATCTTGCTGCACCTGCACCCTTAAATTCAACGTGTTGATGTGGGGTCAAAGCAGCAAGCAGCAAGCATCAAAGTGAAGTGGGATGGAATGGATAGGATATGGATGCTCATGGTGGGCTGGCTTGAAAATGAGGGGACGATTTGTTTTTTTAAGGGTATTTGTGTAAAAGGGTTCATGTTCCCCCTCCTTTCATCCATCAATTCTTCACAACACAACCACAAGGTCCTTTACATTTATTCTATTCGTTCTTCATTCTCAATTCGACATCCATTGGTAAAGTAAGTTTATATCTCATCTCCCTCCATTCTGTGTATCATCTACTCCGCGGGTACTTGGGTCTGGGTACTGGGGCTTTGGTTACCTGGCCTGGTTACCTACCTAGCTATTAACCTTGATAACTCCTGTGCTTGGTACTCCGTATTGATTCTCAGCTCAACAATTCCGCAGTATTGGCATTCTTGGGTTGTTTTATCATTGACCGTGTCTGCATCCAAGCAACACGGTGGAAGGGAACACAGTCCTACACAGTACTACCCCAAAATACACAAAATCCCTTGAATTTCTTCTTTCCCTTTCCAGCAGATACCCATCACTCTAAAGTTTCCTGTTTGTACCTTTCAAGACTTGAAATTCAACTGTTGGCCGTAATTTTAATTTGATCTTCTCACATTTCAAACTGACGAATGAAAAAGGTCCTTTGCAGTCGTACCAACCCCACCAAAAGGAATCTTACCTACAAAACCTTCCAACCTTTCCTCCCTCCCATAACTTTGAACAATGGCCACTGCAATGGATCACTTAAGTACTGGAACATCCAAGGTTTCTTGGTTGGCGAACCTCAACACTGAGTTCAAGCCTACCAAGAACTATCGCCGTACCTCAATTATTTGCACCATCGGTCCCAAGACCAATTCTGTTGAGGCTCTCAACAAGCTCCGTATCGCTGGTCTCAATGTCGTTCGCATGAACTTCTCCCATGGTTCATACGAATACCATCAATCCGTTATTGACAACACTCGTGAAGCTGAGAGAGTTCAAGCTGGTCGTCAACTCGCTATCGCTTTAGATACAAAGGGTCCAGAAATTAGAACTGGTAGCACAGTTGGTCATGCTGATATCCCTATCTCTATTGGATCAGAGATCAACATTACAACCGATGACAAGTATGCTACTGCTTGTGATGACAAGAACATGTACGTATAAGCCTCAACAACTTTACAGGCGCCTAGTTCCCATTGCTAACCTACTACGCCATCTCGCAGGTACCTCGACTACAAGAATATCACCAAGGTTATCGAGCCAGGACGTATCATCTACGTCGATGATGGTGTTCTCGCATTTGATGTTTTGGAGATTGTTGATGACAAGACCATTCGTTGCCGCGCAAGAAACAACGGAAAGATCTCTTCCAACAAGGGTGTCAACCTTCCAAACACTGATGTCGATCTCCCTGCTTTATCTGAGAAAGATCAAGCAGATTTGAGATTTGGTGTCAAGAACAATGTCGATATGGTCTTCGCCTCATTCATCCGTCGTGGTGAGGATATCACGGCCATCCGTAAAGTTCTCGGTGAAGATGGAAAGCACATTCAAATCATCGCTAAGATTGAGAACAGACAAGGTCTTAACAACTTCGCTGAGATCTTGAAGGAGACCGATGGTGTCATGGTTGCTCGTGGTGATTTGGGTATTGAGATCCCAGCTGCTGAAGTTTTCGCTGCTCAAAAGAAGATGATTGCTATGTGCAATATGGCCGGAAAGCCAGTCATCTGTGCTACTCAAATGCTCGAGTCTATGATTCTTAACCCAAGACCAACCCGTGCTGAGATCAGTGATGTTGGTAATGCTGTCACCGATGGTGCTGACTGTGTTATGTTGTCTGGAGAGACTGCCAAGGGAAACTATCCTAATGAGGCCGTTAACGAGATGCACGAATGTTGCTTGAGCGCCGAGAACTCTATCGCATATGTCTCTCACTTCGAGGAACTTTGCAAACTTGCCGAACGTCCAGTCAGCGTTGTTGAATCATGCGCCATGTCTGCCGTCCGTGCCAGTTTGGATATCAATGCAGGCGCCATCATTGTCTTGTCCACCAGTGGAGAGAGCGCACGTCTTCTCTCCAAGTACAGACCAGTCTGCCCTATCTTCATGGTAACCCGAAATGCCAGCGCATCCAGATACGGTCACTTGTACCGTGGTGTCTATCCTTTCCACTTTGCTGAGGAGAAGCCAGACTTCTCCAAGGTTAACTGGCAAGAGGATGTTGACAGAAGAATCAAGTGGGGTATCGCTGAGGCTATGAAGCTTAAGATCTTGGCCCAGGGTGAGAGCGTCGTCGTTGTTCAAGGATGGAAGGGTGGTATGGGTAACACCAACACGTAAGTTTTAATCACTGCAATTCGGCCCTCGACTTTACTGACACATCTATTACTAGTCTCCGTGTTATCAAGGCTGAGCCAGAGAACCTTGGTTTGGGACAACTTTAAAGAGTTACGGGACGAAAATAAGATATTACTATCATGAATCTTGGTTCAACTCTTAGAAACTATACACCCTAACCTTGCATTGAACCAAGCTTCCATGCTACTGTACAGCCTTTCGAGTTTGTACCACTATTGGTTTTATCATTCTTTCATGCTTCCAACGGTTATGATAATGAAACAAGCAAACCAGAAGGTCACGGATTGGGTGCAATAGTACAGAATGTACCGCCTTGTTAATAGAAGAATACCAAATGCTTTACGCCTACAAATGTGCCTTCTCAATGATGTTCTATCGATTTTCCTGACAGCAGTGATATTTTGATATAGCTCGATTCATCCTGAACCCTTTTTCTTTTCATGAAGTTTTCAGCAGTTGGACTTGGGATAATAAGAATTGGAAGGATGAAAAGTTACGATAGCCTGACAGCTCTCAGCCTCGTTCTCGCGCACGTCCCTCACAAGGCTGGCCTCATGTCTATCGCATGTGATAAAATACCATAGCAACTTGCATGACATATTGCTACCTACCTACTTAGGAATTTGTTCAATGGTTCGGAGTGGAATTACCAGCGAGCTTGATTCACATTCTTTACATGTGCTCATATCATTCAGATCATTCATACAACGATTGCAAATTCCACCCATTAGCTGCAGCTCTATCGAATTTCTATTACTCTTAGTGTTTCTCCGTTCCAAGCAGGCTAGTAGTACTCACGACCTTTACAATCGATTCCATCACTTCACGGCATCAGTGCTTAAACCATGAACACATTCTATACCTATTAAATATGCATATTTGAACAACGAAACATTGAATAATCTACCACACCTACGATATCATAAACATCGACACAAAGACCACGAACCACGAAATCAAAATGTCCCGCTCACGCAATTCATTCTTCAGCAACTCTTCGGGAACGAATGATCAGCAGCATCCTCTTCTATCAAGAGAATATAATTCGCACAATGGCATTAATCTGCGTGATCTCTCTCCTCCTTCAGCTTCTCGAGCCACGCCGAGTCCACCGCCGGAATTTTATAGGGACCTTAGATCCCCTACTAGTACAAATGCGAGAACGATATCTCCTCGACCTGTCTCGGAAGCAGGATCTGCGAGTAAAATGAAAGGAAATGGAAAGGCAAAGGGAAGGAGGATACAATTTGCTGCTCCTCCTCCACCCATTGCGGGAAGCGTTGTGGCTCTGGGAATGGGCGGAAAGATGGGAATAAGTTTAGATGGTAGTAGAAGTCCTAGTTTGAGAGGGAGTTTGGTGAGGGAGGCGAGAAGAAGCGTCGGAGGTTTGAAGTCCATAGGGGTTAGTGTTGGAGGCTCAGTACAAGTCGATACTTTGTTGGGATTGGAAAGGAGGGAAAGGGCTTTGCAGGCAGAATTACAAATGTTGTTGGATGCGCAGGGTGAGGGATTATTGGCAGGGTTTGGTGGAGGAGGTGGTGACATGAGAGATGGAAGTGGAAATAGCACGCCCTACGACGAGATCGTTACAACGGGGTAAAGACAGTCAAGGGGTTCGGAGTAAAGACGGATCACATATGCAGACAATTCCTGTTAGGCAACCGAAGAAAAGAACAATTGGATTAAAGGCAGCGAGGAAAGGATTATTAAGGGATATGAGTGAATTGGCGGATGTTAAAGGTGAGGAAGGAGATTTGTTAGGAGAAGAAATTGAGAGGAGAGAGATGTGTATTGCGAAAACAAAGGATTGGAAGATTAGAATCGAAGAGGCCAAGAAAGAAATTGGGGAATTCATCTCAGTGGACACAACAATTGCGGGATCGACTTCACTGGACAGAGAGAGAAATGAATCTACTCAAGGCAAATCCGAAGAAGATCGTGAGATAGCCGAGCTGCGGACTGAAGAGAGGGCTGTGGCAAACGAGATACGAGAAACGGAAGATAGATTGTTACAAATGAAGGCTCGAAAGAATTGGTTAGGGGAACGTATTAAAGAGAGGGTTAATCAGAGAGAATCTCGATTATCTAGTTACCGTGGAGCTCTAAAAGAAGTAGAATCCGAAGTCCAGGAATTTTTGACTAGACCACCAGCCATGGTATCGATCAGTATGGGAGATGAAGAAGGATTTATGGCGCTTCCACCTAAGCGCCGCACATTAGAAATTGCAGAAGAATGGTGGAATAAAGAGATAAATTCGTTGCAAGAACGGAAACTAGAGGTAGAAAAGGAGAAAGAAGCATTGGAGGATGGAGCAAAGTATTGGGAAGAATCCGTAGGAACAGTGATACGATTTGAGGATGAATTGAGGGAAAGTATGAAGAGTGGAAAGGTAGGCGATGTTGATAGATTAAAGGGACAAATTGGAAAAATGAAGCAGGTTATTGGAAAACTTGCTGAAACGGCAAAAGTGGCCGAAACTAAGGGCTGGAACTTATTGGTTGTCGCTATAGGAGCCGAATTACAAGCTTTTAGGCAAGAGAGAAGAAATTTTAAGGGGAGCATTGAAGTCTATGCCGTGGACGGGATTGATGATGAACATGATGGAAATGATGAAAATGAC